TCGAACATCTGAGCTCAAGCGAGATTTTCGTGGGCGCAACCAACAAATCTTCCTCAATCCCGACATCAGTCCAGAACGACATGGCAGCAGCATTGGCGATGACTTTGAACTCTGGTCAGGTCGACTGCAAGGTTTCGGATAATATCAGACAGGAGCAGTTCGACCGAATGATAGGGTGAGTTTATTCGGATTCGCTTGGATTCAAACTTTGCATGCTAAACGTCTCCCAGCCCGATCGCGTTCCATCCCGCAAGTGTTGTGTTCGATACCCCAAACCATACACAACTCCTTGAAAAAACCGGTGTTCGTTCACTGGTAATGGGCATCATTGACGAGATGATGGAGCTCGCCTCTGCACAAGGTTGCTCATTCCCCAGCGATTTCCGGGATAAGACGGTCCAAAAAATGATTGCATTGGACTCTCCAACCACAATGTACTCAGATTTCCAGGGCCGACGGCCCATGGAGGTTGAGACTTTCCTAGGGTCACCAATTAAGTTGGCAATTGAGTCCAAGGTTCACATTCCCCGAATCGAAACAATGTACGCAATGCTACATCACATCAATATCGCAAACCAGAAGCCCCGGCAGGATTCTCCGCCTGCATCCGTCATGGGTCAACCGCCTCCCCGTTTGTCTTCCGCGCCTCCACAGCAACGACCCATGATGAATGGTGGCCCGCAACCTATGCGTGGAAGCCGAACGCCCTCGGGCATGGGCATGCCTCCACAGCAAAGACGAGGCCCACCACCTGGTATGATGCCGAGAGGCCCAGGCGGACCTATGCCCATGCCACCCGCCAACCGAGTTCAGCGCGACCCATCATTGGAGGGACTTGAAGAATTCAGCCATTTGGTTCTCTATGACGAGCAGGGCGAGCCAAGTATACCGCAACAAAATGGAAATGGGCACCCCGAACCAGCACCTGGCCCTGCCTCTGAATTGACATTACGGGAGCGAGAGCTGGCTCTTCGTCAACGTGAGCTACAACTACGTGAACAGGAGATGAGCATGCGCCGGGGTCCCCCGGGCCCAGGACGTCGTGGACCGGCTCCCTCCCGGCCTGCTACTGCCTTTGACGAAGAAGATGAGGATTACTTCGACCCGATGAATAACATGGCGATTCCCCACATCGACCCTGACAGTGTTGACATGATGAGCATGACTTCCCGGCGAGGGCGCAAGGTCCCCCCCAACCACAGCCAGTTCCGTAAAAACCCCGAATTCGGTGTAAACGTTCCTCCCAGTGGAGGCGGCCGCCCTTCCTCATCAGCGTTCGGCCGCTACTTTGGCAGAAAACGCGCGAGCGACCGTGTGATGCAAGAAATCCCGGGTCTCCATGATTCACTCATGGACAATCCCATGATGAGCTACTCCTCCAACAGATATGGAGCCGTTGACAGAAACCAGATGCACGCTGATTCTCGAGCCAATTCTCTAACGGCTAGCCACATGGGCGACTACCCACCTCGTCCCTTCCCACAGAGCCGTCGAAACAGCCAGACTCCTGTAATTCCTTTCGGCGGTCCCCCGGGACCCCAAGGACCCCCTGGCCCAGGAGGCCCCCGGATGGGCCGCCCTCCGATGGCGCGGGAACACAGTCTTGGCCCCCCTAGTGGACCTCACAATGGCCAGCCGTCACCTCCTGGTAACGCGCGTACGCCGGTGCCGCGGTATCCCCCGGGTCAAGGAAACGCGGCAGGGCCGCAGCAAGTTGAGCAACACTATGGGGTGAGCAACGCGTTCCCCGCTAAGGGTCCTCCTAAGAACCAGAATCTGACCGGAAGTGCGAGCGCCAGCGCGGGGAGTGGTGATAGTGGAGCCAGTGCAAATATTGATTCAGAACCCTCATCCCACAGCAGTCAGGTCAGCCTCGGCGGACAGGGGGTCGCGGCGCCCGTTCGTTAAAAAAAAACGGAGTTCCGTTCGCTTTTCCCAATGACTGACCGGCGTTCCATGATGGAATTCCCTTTTCGGCATTGCATTCTTCCTCGGCTTGGACGATCATTGTCCGCCGAAAATTGGTCATGTTTGGACCTTTTTTTGCATCATGGTGTCATTATGCGGGGACTTTATTCTTCGGTCCCGTGCTCTCGAAGCACCGGTTAATACTCTGCTGTTTGCTTCTTTACATATACATGAGGGACATAGGGGTCTTCGTTGCTCTTTTTATCTGTTTTCTGTTTCGGAGTGTGGTTGGGATAACGAGGTGTGCGTGCGAGTTTTGTCTTTTTTTTGTGTGATTTGCTCTGCATCGATACTCATTCTGTTTCGCGGCATTATCGATTTTTAATGAGGCCACTACGCGAGCCTAGACTGGGACATCCTTATCCTTGCTGTTTCTCTTATCCTACCTCCCTTTTCATCTTTACATCATGTCGATATAGCGTCGTTGTCGGCTCCCCTGCCCACCTTTTCATATCTCTGCATGACTGTATAATATCAGCGGGCGCATTCCTTTCCCCTCCCATCTAGAATCGTATACGCCTATTGTCTTCATTTTGTCTGTTTTATCATCATTCGCTCTTACCCCCGGGTACTTCCTTCATTTGCCGTGTCTTTTTCCTTGTCTCTCATCTGGCTTGATCCAAGCAGCCTCGTCTTTTATTTTGTCGTCTAGTCTGGTCTCTGGCGCATTCCAAAAGAGCGGGGGTTGAATTTATTCGGTTCATTGAGTTGTGTTGATCTGCTTGCTGGGTTCGCGGTTTGCTGAGAGAATTAATGACCGGTGCACTGCAGTGTTCAGTTTCGCTGTGTCTTTTGAACAGCGCATTATTCTTCCGTGAAACACAACAATTGATAGAACTTTCCATTATATCTTTGAGGTTGCTGCAATTCATTCGGTTTAAATACGTTCTAGTTTAATAAACTAGAGAGACTTGAATGCCCATGTGTGTTCTGTCCGAAGTATAAAATAGAGTAATCTATATTGGCACGTGATCTACTGATAGTAAACAATCCCGCGGTCAAATAATATCAACAACCAACACGACCTTGCCTGAAACAAATTCCAACCTGCACACAGGCAAAACCATACCCAACCCCAGTTTTCCCAAGCCAGTTTTTAAATCAAATCACACCCACAATGCCACCCCCTCCAATCCATCGCCGCCAAGAATCAAACACCACCTACTCCCGTCCCTCAACCCTACCGGGAAGCAGCAATTACAACACAACAGGAACCCACACATTTAACACAAACCCCAACACTACATACACACCCATTTACAGCTCCAATGCCTCAACCCCTTCTATGTCAGCTGCCAAATCACGGCAATATGCCCACCTCCATTCCCAGCTCGCACAGCTCAACGCCAACCTCGCGGACACGGAGAACCTACTTCGTATGACTGCCGTGCAGGCAGGGGACATGCGTTTCCTAGGTGGGTATTCTGGGGCACTGTTTATGGGGTCTGCGAAGATTCTAGGAGAGGAGGGTGTTAAGGGAAATGCGGACAAGGATAAGAAGGCCACTTCCGAAGAGGGGGGAATCAAGAGGGAGGAGAGTGATGAGGATTGAATTGATGAATTATCAATGATCGAGTATTGATTTGATATGATGTGGTAAGTCGGATTGGTCATGATTGTGTTGTGGTGCTTTACAATAGGCTGTGGGTGATGATTTCCATGACTTATGCTAACGTATGTCTAATGTCTAACAGCAGAGATATGGACTCCTTTCTCCTGTTCCCTCTTATTCGACTGAGGTGTTATCTTACTCCACCACGAATTGACCACCGAGAATGATCGCTGGTTCATCGATGTTATGGTGTTCATAACTATTTTCCAGTCATGTTAGCTGTGCTCCATACACCACGGCAGATGAGGAAATTTCCTCTGCCTAAAGGCCGAGCCTTACCTGAGTGTGCCTATACCACCAGCCTCGAGAATCAGGGATGTTTCCGTCAACGACTTTCCAACCCAGCGCATGGCAAAAGCACGCAGAATGTGGCCGTGCGCGACAACAAGGACATCGCCCTTGGGCTCATCCGGGTTCTCGAAGCAGGGACGCTGGTATTTGTTCTTGATATCATCGATCAGAGCATCGAGGCGGCGAATGACATCCTCGGGGGATCTGGGAGGAGGGGAATGAACGTTAGCATGGGAAAACTACACCACAGCAATGCCCAACGCGTAGCTGGAAGCACAGCCTAGAATCACAAGATAACGAAGAATAAATCCACTTACTCTCCACCGGGACATCCATCGGTCCAAATATTCCATGGCCCCTCACCCCTCTCAGCCCGCTGCTCGCGGATCTGTTTACTTGTCAACCCCTCATAGTCCCCATAATCCCACTCTCTAACCGCCTCCGTAACCTCAACCTCGGCCTCGGTCCGGATCGCCTCATTGTGTTCGGGTTTTCCTTGTTCACTCCAAGGCATTCGTCCCCGACAGCCAAGCTCGAGGAGCTCTAGGGTTCGCTGGGCGCGGGCGCGGGGTGAGACAAAGCTAGAATGACGTGTTAGTTACTTTTGGAGTGGAACGGTGGTAGTTTAGACAGGTTATTTCTTACACATGAGCGAGCTTCTTGGGAACAACCAGTCTGTCGTCTCCGACGAGGGCTTTGCCTGTTGCTTGAATGCGCTTCTCTCCATTGGCTGTGAGTGGGAGATCAGTGAGACCGGTGTGTCGGCCATTAAGTGACCATTCTGTCTCGCCATGGCGGATAATAAAGCACCGGGGAGCCATTTTTTGTGAATATTTGGATTGGATATAGTGGAAAGAAAGAGGAATGAGAAATGAAGAAAATAAAAGAATCCGGTTCAAAGTTCACCAGGGCATCAGGGCTGGGTCTCTTTGCGTCATGGTGGACCCCGATAACAGGCGTATCATCCTTTCTCTACCGTGCAACTTCCATTACTTCGTATACATGTCCAGTTGAGCTTCGAGTATTCGACTTTGATTTTTAGTATATTAAACATTAGATACTTTTCTTTTAGTCTATACCTCCTAGCCCACCGAATAAACATCCCCAAACAGGGATACCAAAACATCACTTATGGCTGACAAGATACCTCAAAACTCTGAGCTGTCTTCTTCCGCGAGATAGGTTTGCACTTTGTAGTAGTTTGAGTCTTGATCTCTTCGACCATCGCATGCCGTGAACACTTCTTGTCCCTGAACAATTTCACCTTGCAGCTCGGATCGATATTGACGTTGATGAAAGCCTCTGCACCTCCATCCACGAGATTGCTGCGGCAGCCCGAGGACCCTTGCCCCGCATAGGTGACTGTATTGCCGATGCAGTGCTTCTTGTGAAATAGGTCAAAGGTCCAGTTGGGCCTGTGGGCCTGGAGTTCTTCCGTCGGAGGGCGCGAGGCTGGGAGGCCAGCTATGGTTGCTGGGAGGAGGAGGGTTAGGGCAAGGATGGGTTGTTGGATTAGCTTCATTCTGGGGTGATGGGTTGGTTGTTGTTTTTTGTCTGAATGGATTATGCAAATTGAGAGGAATTGAGATGTTTTCTTTCTCTTCTATGAGCTTAAGGTGTTTATAGTGCCTTTCCATGATTGCGTAGTTATGACTGCCGTGTTGGGCCTTACCGCGGGTTGACGCGCATATCTTGTACATCCAAGTTTGTGGCCTATGGGATTACACTTGATGTAATTTTTAAATTGCCTTACAAGAGATAATTTGTATACATCCATGGTAAGCGTCAAGGTTCTTAGCTGTTCCAATCAACTAGTTTTGGTACACAGAACCTTGGCCATATGACAATGGTCTTCTATCACTTCTCATAGCTGATGTCAAGGCTATTTTTACCAAGCTAGGAGTATCAATTTCACTACAGAGTATAGACAACCTAGGTACTCAGTTACGCTCTCTCTGGCCTCCACTCCAATGCTTCTATAGATGGAGCCTACCGCCTTTCTCTCCGCTTTGTTTGTACTCTTTGCATCAAATGGGAAGGCCAAGTTGTCGAATATTTTGCTAGACAAATATCGCATTCGCTCATCCACCAACATGGAACGCCGACTCACATCTAGGAATGTGAGCCTGGACTGGGTTGAGCGAGGTGATCAAGATGGAGACAGTGTTTCGGCACATCTCATTCAAAACACATACGCCCGGCTGAAACTCCAGTATGCAGAAAAGTTGCGCCAGAATTGGGTTGAACAACTCGAATCACCCAATCAAGCCCTTGAGCAGCTGTCTCTTGCTGCATGCCTGATTGAACTGTGGAGGAGCATGTATGGCGCTCTACCAGAAACAGAACAAGAGAAGTCATCGAAAAACCTAGTGCCGTTTCCAGGGTTCGTGGACCTTGCTTGTGGCAATGGTATCCTCGTATACATACTTCTCATGGAAGGATATAAGGGCTTAGGGTTTGACGCCTGCCGTCGAAAGTCCTGGGAGACATTCCCAGTCGAGATACAGGAATGCCTGGAAGAGAGAATCTTCATCCCTCGGCCCTTTGTGGATGTACTGGACTTGCAAGGAATTGGCGTCGAGATACACACCGGCGATTTCCCCGATAATACATTCATCATATCCGACCACGCAGATGAGCTCACCGTATGGACTCCAATAATGGCCGCTCTATCAAGTCCCTCGTCGCCATTGCCATTCTTTGTGGTTCCGTGCTGTTCTCGTTCGCTTGCTGGTTCTTCGTATCGCTATCGTCCGCCAAAGGAGAGTGGTCCAGTACAGCGCAGTGCGAATGGCAATCCTTCCACAAGGAAATTAGATGATGCTATAGAGCAGAATTTACAGCCTGCTTCTGGCGACTTGAGGGCACTTCGTGCAATTAAGATCGAAGAGAAGACCGAAAGCGGATTTTTAAATTCCATGATTGGATCCCTCGCTGCAAAAACAACGAGTATTGCCGAGGAAATTGGGTTCGATGTTGAGAAGACATGGTTACGCACTCCGGGTGCGATTAACATGGCGTTGATTGGAGGTCGACAGCGGGTCACAAGGGAGTGGCTAAAGAACTCGGGTTCTAGAGATTCTCCAACAAAACGAGACCAAGGAGATACAGTTTTGAAGAATATTATGGAAGTGGTTGAGCGTGAATGCTCCAAAGATGGTGGCATCCAGGTAGCTGCTAATCTCTGGGTTGATCGGACGAAGAGTCTCCACCGAGGACAGGGAACAGTGCATCAAGCTAAATAAAGATACCCAAATGAAGCTAAGCTAATCATCTGTCAATAGCATTCATATATGACTGTTACTTACCCTTTGACCTGCCTTGCGTGATTCAAGTACCTTTTTGGTAAACGTGCTAATAGCGAAAAATGAGTCAAATATCCCGAAATCAAGAGCACAAAGAATGTAGAATCTAGCAGCAGATAATTCATATAACAGAGATAAATGGTATTGGCATGTCATCAGATATGGTCTAGATCTATTCACACCTAAACAGAACATAAACTATAGAGTGAGGGGGGAATAGAGAAAGGAGTTTGTTAATGTACAATAATGTTACAGACCTCTCCAACTCCGTTGCTATTAGTTGAAGATCCAAATTAAAACGCTTAGGCTCCCATTTCAAGGCAATCAAACCGTCATACTTTAATCATATCATGCATCAGGCTTAATGTGACCTTCGGGGCAAGCGGTCTCTTTCCCATCACCGTTGCCATTTTCCGCACGAGCATTTTTAGAGGCTGCCGCTGATGCCTGCATAGCAGCCTGGGAACTGGCAGGTGAGGATTTCAAGTTCCTCGATGCAGCTTGAGCTGCAGCCGCAGCTGCATTCTCTTTGAGACGTCTCATGCGCTCAGGTCGCCCTTCCCCTGGGAGACTGCCCCAGACCGGTTCGATCGAATCGGCACGCCAGTTATTGCGATTCCCACCGAGTGCGCTGCGCTTTGGGGATAGGGGGGCAAAAGTGTCGCATCCCACGCCGGATTCACCCCACATGCGGACCCGTTGAAGCTTGCGCAATTTGGAAAGACCGTAGACACAGACGAGACCAGTCAGAGCAAAGCAAACCACGGAGACACCTCCGAAACCGAAGTCTGATTCTTCAATGAAATTCTTCAAGTTCATGCCGTAGAGAGCAGAGAATAATGTCCCGGTTGCAAGGCCGAGTGTTCCAATGCTGAATTTGAGATCCATGAGCATGAGCGAGTTGCGGTTGGCGTCGAGAATTGCCTTGACTCTGAGATGTGTTAGAGGTGCTTTTCGCATATAATGAACGATCATACTTACACTTCCTCCGTATTGCGAATATTCGTCACCAGATTGCCACTGGCCTGAACAATCTCATCACACACTTTGTGGTATGACTCTAGAAGCATTTCCACTTCTTGATGGTCATCCTCTTCGCGCTCTTTGCCGACCGATCTCTCAGATAAGTACATCGCTGCCAAATCGTCATCGGCCTCCAGCAGATCATCAATAGCATCTCGTACTAGGCGAGCTTTCTGTTCAAATGTACCTAGTTTCTTGGAGTATATCAAGAGGTGCCGGAGCTTATCTCGGTCGATGTCCTCTTCAAGCGCACGAAGAACCCGCACGACGGGATCTCTCACTCCATTAAACTCCTCCTCCAGTCCACTCGTGACACTAATGAGAACGGCTTCCAGCGCGCGAAACTCGTACGGCAGTGATTGACTAGGCTGAGCGGCACCCTGTGATTGCTTCTGGCGGAGCTTTCCTTCTAGATCGTAGATGAACAGCGATTGCATGTATGAGTCTGTTGATCCATACGCGTCGAATACGAGTACCCGGTCCGCTTTAATGAGCACTCGCAGATGCAAGAGATTGATTAGAATCGCCCTAGGTCGCACTAGGATATGTGGGAGAGTTGACGAATCAATCTTGCGTAGATCTCGAGGAAGAAGGCCGTACTGTATCATGATTCATCTGTTAGCAAATGTTGGACTCTCAAACTCAAGTCCTCTTTACCAACCTTGGCAATCAGCTCCTGCTTCCGGAACTCTCCGTTCACAAGTGTGACGTCTCCATTGATATCAAACTCCGTGCATCGAATTCGTAACTCATTTGACGCCTTGGCTGATAGGCTGCGGCCGATATTAAACATCCCCTCTGTCCCTTCATCCACAAGCCCAGGGTTAGTCGGGCCCTGATTCTTGTAGTCGGAAGCTTTGTTCCGCTTAAGGCCAAAAAGCCGTCGGAGGAAGGGTCGGCTTTTGGTTGACGCATGACGGGAGAATTTCAGTTGCGTAGGCACCAATGGCGGCGACACTATTGCTCTAGTGGGGTTCGATTTTCCATATTGAGTGCTGCAGAGTGCGGTATCAAGTGTTTCAGAGCCATGGGGACCATCGAGACGCGTCCAGCTCGAGAGTTTCGGGGATGGCCCTGTCGAGAAGCCTTTATCGCGGCCGACAAGACGCTTCGGATAAGCACATGCTGATGGTGCGGCTGAGACCCCAGACTGTGATCGTAGGAAGCGCAATAAAGAGGCAGAAGGCGCAGACAGCCTCGGAGACAGCATGTCTCTGGATTATCGACCGAGCTGTACGCAAGTTCTCCCGATCAGATCAGATACGCTTTTTTCCGTTTCCCGGAATAATGTTGGCCCGAGAATTTAGTATACAAGCACCTACTATAAAAACGCCGCTTGCTGTTTCTCAAATGTCTTTGATTCTGATATTTGGAATAGTGATCTTATCTATGTACTGCTACTTACTGCCTAAGTAAAAGCAGTTCCTTCTCGGCTCAGTGCCCAGTCAACTAAGGCATCGCCCTTCTCCTTCTCCATTATCTCCTCTTTGCATTGAATCACCCAGATCAAGTGTGCCTCTATCGCCTCGTAGTTGTTGAACCATAGCTCATCCCAGGAGTTGTGTTCGAAATAAATTCGATTCTTGGGGTCTAGGTTCTCCCACACAGTGACCCACTCCCGAAAGCCCAGCTTCAACGTCAAGATATCGTCGAGGCTAATCTTGAGATAATCGTGATCTTTCTGAACCTTTGCAGCAACAAATTGAGCGTCCAAGACGACATTTCTAACCTCAATCATGTCAGTTAGCAGCTCAGCCCGCCAGTATCGCCTTAACAGCCTCTCCCAGCCACCCAAAAGCAGATATCCCAGGCGCCCTCTCTCGTTATCCAAACAGCAGTCCAACCATTTCACAAGTACTTCACGAAGCTTTTCGCGTCCCTTGCCTTTAGAAAAACAATAGTTACAGGATAATTCATCAATAAACTTTCCGGTGATCTCGGTTTCGTCCCAGTTTTTGAACACCGAGATAGAGTCGGTAGTAGGCGTCCAGTGTTGGAAACCAGCACCAAGACGGAACGCACGCAGTTCCTGCCAGCGCGAACATCCTGGGCATCGCACCATATACATAGTCCAGAGAGAATCAAAAACGTTGTTGCGATACACGCATTGAACAGGGGCATTCGCGGTCGGGCGCACATTTTTCATTATGACGGAAAACCCTGGGAAAGATCGGTCCAAAGCACTGGGAAATGGCAGAAGACGGCTTGGCATTATGGGTACCTTGTCTGTGCCTCGCTGCACAATAGATAAGAGTTCACCGCGCCGGAAACGACATTCATTACACTTGCGCAAGTGCCGCTTAAAGCCGCATCGCTCTCTCTCAATGAGGCGTGCTTCATGGTCAAGAAGAACCTGCTCTTCCTCTTGTGTGATACTGCAATATTGGTCTAGACTAAAGCCCTGGAATGTGATCATCCCGCTGTCCTGAAAGCTGGCCAATCTTTCAGCCCTGTTGCGCATAGGACGGTCCGGTCTCAATGTGTTACACTTGGAAGCGAGATCATATCGACGCCGTATTTTCCGGTCCTCATCCCGGTAGTTGGATTGTTGTTTGTGTAAATGGTACTGTTTGCGGAGTTTCCCATCTATTGTTGGCTCCCAGCTCGTGTAGGGAGTCGCTGCTGGAGACCCTGGTAATGGCTTGCGGTATTGCAGTCGTAGGATGTAATGATTGTCAAAGGCTGTGTGTGGAAGCATATGCAGACAGATACTACAGGCCCAACGCACAGAATGCCATTCTTTGGACGTGAAGTCGGGGTCGATGTGGTTGTCCTTCGATCGAAAGATGGGCGTGACTCCTCCAACTTCTTCTCGGCATTCAAGTTCAAGCAACCTCTCCAGTATATGGATTCGTTGTGGTTGAACCACTGTGCGGAATTTGGAGCTGGTTTGGCTGATGGATATAAGGCCAATAGGGTCCAAGAGACGGAAGATAGAGCACAGAATTTCAACAGGCAAAGACCCAAGAGATGGAGTATCAGGCTTCATCCCGGATGAGACGCGGTGTTTTTTTTTGAAGCGAAACTCAAAACTGGTGGTTATAATATAGGAAGGAGAGAGACAAGAGACGGACCAGGCTTTACTTTGTATGCAGTCTTAGAGATAATAGTAAGCGTTACGGTTTATGCCTAGATGATTTACTATTTGTGGCGGTGTAAGCTAAACTCCACTTGGCCATAGCCTTGGAGGCATGTGCATGCAGGCCGTATTGGACTAAGAAAGATAATTTTTAAAAAAAAAGTGACATCTACTTCCTCGTACTGAGACTATCTCTCACACCCACCGCATCTACCATTAAAAGCTATATACAAAGTGCATTGCCCCTCTTTCGTTAACACTTGAAACCAAACTTTTAGGCAAAACGCTGGACCAAGAAACAGAGTGCTCAATGCTCGCAAGAATGCGCAAAAGCCATTGGTATCTTGAAATACTTGAACAATCCCACCGAAAACTAACCGCTCACCAATCGTCGTCGTTGTCTTTCTCGTCATCTACAAACATAATTAGCAAATAGATCCGCGGTTATATGTTGGAATTGACATACCGCTTCCGCTGACTCTCTGTTTTCGCTTGTTGAGAGCATCTTGTAATGCGCCGGCCAAACCACCTTGCGGGGCGCCTCCTTGATTGGGGCCTGTAGCCGAGGACTCGTTGGCTCCACCAGGTACCATGGCTTTACTTCGATCTTTCTTTTCCGTTTCCTTGACCTTGCGCAAGCCACCGCCTCCATGGCCACCAGAAGCTCGGATGGATGCTAGCAGATCGGTGTGCCCACCGGCGGGTTTTGGCAAAGGTGGCGCAGCACCCCCAGGGGGTGGAGGCGGGGGAGGAGCACCACCTCCAGGGGCCCCAGGCGGCGGAGGAGGCGGTGGTGGTCCACCCGGTGCGCCCGAAACAGGTGCCGGAGGAGGTGGAGGTGGAGGCATTGAAGGGCCACCCCGGCCCGGAGGCGGAGGGGGCGGGAGGGCACCGGGTGCTCCAGAGCTAGGTGGCGGAGGCGGCGGAGGAGGAGGAGGAGCAACGCTAGGAGAATACGTAGGTACCGAGGGCGGGGCGGGGGGAGGCGGTACTGGTCCTCTCGGTGGTGGTGGAGGAGCTACTACAGGAGAAGATGGTGCAACTAGCACAGGTCGAGGCGGTGGGGGTGGAAGTGGGGGGGAAACAGGGCCTCTGGCGGGTGGAGTGGGAGGTCCAGTTGTAGTAGTCATGGGTGGGACTTTGGGGGGCAGTTGGGGTGCTGCCGGGCTTGCTGTGCGAGGCGGCGGGGGGGGAGGGCCACCTGGTGCAGGGCTTCGGCTGGGGGGCGCCGGGGGCGCAGACACCTTTCGGTCACCAGAGAAAGGCGGCGGTACCCCAAATCTCGATTGACTCGATTGATTATGTTGGCTATCGTCCATCGGTGTCTTTGGTGGCCGCGGGGGCGGCGGAGGCCCAGGCCCAGCATTGACGTTGGAAATTGCGCGTGGACGCCGCGGGGGTATAGGGCCGGCGGGCTCTGCGAATTTTCCTGCGTCTGCAAACGGAGGCGGCGCATTGAACCTTCGCGCAGGTGGAGATGGCTCACGAGGGGGGAGGGAAACGGGTTCCTCTGGAGCTTCAGAACGTGTTTTCCGTGATGGCGGCGGCGGCGGAGGTCCCCGTCTGCTTGCCGTGCTAGAACCTGTGTCTTGAGGACTGATCGAGGTTATTTTCGGAGCGGGAGGTGCAGAAGGTGGCGGTGGAGGAGCGGCCTTTGGCTTATTCTGGTCCTCAGCGGGAGCAGCCTCGGCCGCCGCCGCCTGTTTCTGGTCAATCCAAGCTTTGATAAATTCGGAATTCTCGGCGATTTGGTCTTCGGTGATTCCCATCCCCTTAAGCTCATCCAGCAGTCCTTTCCAAGATGGGTCACTCGTGTCAAATGGCAAATCTGGCTTGGCTGGTGGCACGCTTGGGGACAGCGTCGGAGGTGGAGGAGCAACCTGTATTGAGGGCGCAGGTGCTGTCGGGTGTGGTGCACTCGGAGCTGCGCTCGAACGATGCAACAAGCTGCCAAACAAAGACCGTCCTATTTTACCATTGGTAACAGGAGCAGGTCCCTGGCCTCGAGTAGATGCAAAAGGAGTCTTGGTGGTTTCTTTACTTGCATGTTTCTCGCGCTCATGCACCTTCTTGATAAAGGTCTTGGCTTCCTTCTCGTCGACAAAGGACAGGCCGGCGGGGCAAGTTTCGAGCTCAAATGTATGAAAGAAGGTTCGGTCCTGGTTGTAAGCGAAGTTGTCATAGATCTCCTGGTCCCAGATTACGCCCCTGCCAGCGGGCTGCATAAAGCAACGCATTGTCAGCACTTCTACTCTTATCTCCAACACCAGTATGGACCGCTTACCGAGACATCGACTATTTTAAGCCAAAAAGTCCTTCCAACAAGGTCATTGCAGAGGACAACAGCCCCTTGAATTCCGGTATATGTCCATTTCTGTCCATCCGGGTAGGCGACGTAGAGTCGCGCGACAGCTACGGCGAGGATCTTGTTGGCGGGTTTGGGGACATTCCGCTTAACAGTTTCCTTGTCGGTATCACTGAGGATGGAGGGCATGGTGAATAGAGGTGGTCCCCCAATAAATGGAGAGGGGAAAGGTGATAGTTCGAAGGGTGGTTACGTGAGTAGAGCACACATTGCAGCCGGGCGGGTATCTTCGAATGATGGAGTAGCGCCCTCAACACACCGACTAATACGGCAGTAGTAGAAGGTACAGGGTTTCTTTATGACTGTAGATTCGAAGGCCGAAGTGTTAAAGAGGAGCCGACCGGCGGTTGCCTTGGGAGTTGGAGAGGGTGAACCGGAGGTGAGAAGGAGTAGGCGGGGCGGATCCAATATACACCGGAGTGACCTAGGCCTACCGCAGCACCGCCATACCGGCACGTGGTACTTTTCTTGTACTATTTAAGTGTGGCTAAGCACTACCTAGGTACATATATGTACTTGCTTAGTATTTTTTTTTTTTCTGTGTGACATTTTGATGTCTACCATTTTAAAAATATTAATTGATAAAATATGATTGACGAGGAATGAGGAATGCGGTTTAGCGGTTTAGCGTGCCTATTTCCAATATGTTCTATATCACACAAGCATTAACATTCGAAGATGACCTCACTTCATTTCTAGACTGTGTGACATGACCCAGGTGATCACGGCTTAGCTTAGTAGCTAAATTGGATATTCAAATGTGTCAAGTACTTGTATTGTTTCGACTAGTAAGACTTACCTATCTTGACTATATAACATATAGATCATGTTTGTCGCAACTGGGTAGAATGCAAATCAAATGCACTATCCTGATTTGCATTTTAATCAAGTCACAGCTACTCTACGACATGCCCCCAACCCATTAAAAATAACCAATGAATTATAGATACCATTAGATTTGCAATTTGTTCTTGTTTCTTATAGAAGTGAATATGTTTAGGCAACTTCTATCTTGCTATTCGTTGCAATCCGACCACCGACGTCATCCCGCTTGCGATCTATATAAATCAGACATGCAACCAACCTTCAAGACCTGCTTCTTCAACTCATCATCAACAAATCACCAGATTTATTTGAGCTATCTACAGTGAAGAAGAGCTAGTACCAGCTAGTGACAACTTTACAAGAAACTATTCTATATCTTCAAAATGCCGGTCATCCCCGAGTCGTCGGACTTCCCATCTGTGCTCCAAAAGGGAGGCAATGAGGCTGAGAAGAAACCGGGGCAACAGCCCCAGAAAGCGAAAGCAACGGACTTCTTGTCGAAGGGACCTCAGATTCCAGACAGTAAGTTGACCACCAGGCCTACGCAGGCCCGCAACTGACACTTTGTAGATATGCCTCCCAAGGCTTCGAAAGAGGAGCTCGAGGCACGCGCAAAGGAACTGAACAAGTCGTCCAAGTGAGAGATCATTGGCCAACAAATCTTCATCTATCTGTACTTAATCCAATAACAACTTCTGTCATTCCAGGCCACTTACCCTTGTCGATTGTCTATGGCGGGTCATTACCCAAACTAGGTCTAGTATACAACGTACGGAGTGTAGCTCCCTGATAATTACAAAAATCACTAGACAAGAAATAGAATAAGCGCAATTTTTGTGGAATTCGGCTTTTTTTTCAAAGGCTACGTCTACTCCCAACCAAGGACGTCCTAAAGCCAGGTTAATCCATCGATCGATTCATTACGTCATACATAGTAGCGCACGTGATCACGCGACATCTCACTGACTGGACCCCTCACTCCTCAACGCGTTAGGAAGTGCTCCCAATGCCTCCAGAACGGTCTAATGTGCCGGTGAAGCTGTCTCTGCCACTGGTAAATACTCCATCAACCCGGCGCAGGCTTGCCACTAACCCCCATTCAGCAATACCAGCAGGAAATCTTCACTGAACTACGCGCCGAAGATGAGCTAGTCATACTTGCACGAGGCCTGGGACTTCTACACCTAATAACAAACCTCCTCCATTTTTACGATGCGGCGGGAAACAATCTGGTTCTGGTGGTGGGTGCAGATGAACGCGAGAATGAATGGATCGGAGAGGGTATGTGGATTGGTTTCCATTTCAGCTCAGACGCTAGTGTTGGAAGCTGATGGATCCTGAAACCAGCGTTGGCGGAACATTATGCTACCAGCAAGTCGCCTCTTGCTAGGGGGTTGAAGGTGATCAACACCGAAAAAGCTACGGTGCCGATGCGGTGGGTTTCGCGTTTCCGCCATGTCGATTGCGGTATATTGACAAATTGCTAGGGAGAGAATATATGCTGAAGGGGGTATTCTGAGTGTAACCTCCAGGATATTAGTTGTGGACTTGCTATCGAGTATGTATGTCTAGTAGAATGGCTTAAGACACTCACTGATCTTTCCAGAACTTCTTGATCCCGAGAAAGTCACTGGGATGGTCATTTTGCATGCTGATAAGGTTTTGGCGACGTCCCTCGAAGCATTCATTGTCCGGGTCTACCGGCAATCGAACAAGCTCGGCTTCTTGAAAGCATTCTCAGACTCTCCGGAACCATTCACTACGGGCTTTGCCCCGCTGGCTAATATGCTGCGGAACCTTTTCCTACGCAAGGCATCACTATGGCCTAGATTCCATGTTTCTGTTGCTGAGTCCCTAGAAGGAAATCGCAAGGCAGAAGTGATCGAGTTGGAAGTTCCTATGAGCGACAAAATGAGGGAAATTCAGAATGCTGTTCTGGAATGTGTAGAGATCAGTATCACTGAACTCAGGAAAAGCAACAACGGGCTGGATATGGAAGAGTGGACATTAGACAGTGCTTTGCACAAAAATTTTGATATGATCATCAGACGTCAACTAGACCCAATCTGGCATCGTGTGAGCTTTAGAACAAAACAAATCGTCAGCGATTTGACAGTTCTACGAGCAGTCCTTCAGTGTGTCTCCCACATGTCTTTCCATTCCTCTATACTAACAGCTCTGCAGTGCTTTACTCAGCTATGATGCGGTATCCTTTGTTAAATACCTTGATACTATCGTGTCCACGCATGCTCCACCTCCCGGCTCCAACAGACATAATTACTCTCCGTGGCTTTTCCTTGATGCTGCCCATGTTCTTTTCCAGACAGCTAAATCGCGAGTCTACGAAGGCAAATTGAACAACGAACTAACCCGCCTTTCATCTTCAACTACATTTTCTTCTGAGTTGAACCCAGCTCTAGAGGAACTGCCAAAATGGAGTGTCCTATCAGAGATCCTTGCAGAAATCGAACACGATGCTTACCTCCATCCTGCGAGAATGGATCAATCGAATAGCACCATATTGATTATGTGTAGCGATCAACGAATATGCCGGCAGCTTCGCGAGTATATTGGCACTATGTATTCCAAAATTGCTCAGGGGTCCGAATCCAAAGAAGATGATGAGTCTAGCGAAGACAAGCCTTCTGCGGAGCTTATGATGCGGCGTCGGCTGCGAGACTACCTCAATTGGAAGAGGTCTTTCTCAAATGTCAACAAAAATTTGTCCCAGTCAGGAGAGGACGACAGATCTGGAACGCCTTCCGAGTCATCAGCGGCCCGGAGTGCACACCAAGGACGACCTCCCCCAAACAAACGTCGCCGAGTACGCGGTGGCGGTGCAGTCACCTCGGCTGCAGGTCGTGTGCCAAATAGCAGCGTCCAAACCGAAGTTGAATTGCCCGGTCAGGTTGTCAGCTTGCTAAGCGAGATTGAGCCTACCGAAGTGGAAGAAATGCAGAAAGAGGAAGTCATTGTCGATGAACTGGAGGATATGGAAGATTTCTACGAATTGTATGATATGAACGATCTGGTCATGATACACCCTTACGACGGTGACATGGATGAACATATACTTGAGGAAGCGCGTCCGCGATACATTATCATGTACGAACCCGATCCCGCATTCATTCGAAGGGTTGAGGTGTATCGCAGTTCTCATTCGGGGCGAAACGTGAAGGTTTACTTCATGTATTATGGTGGCTCTGTCGAGGAACAGCGGTATCTGAGTGCTGTCCGACGAGAGAAAGACTCATTCACAAAGCTAATCAAAGAGAAGGGGGTAAGCTACCCAGCCACACACTTCAAATTTCCAGCTGACGTTATTTTCAGAACATGGCAGTCACCTTGACGCATGATAAAAAGGATGAAGACCCCCAGGAACAATTCCTCCGAACAGTCAACACTCGTATTGCTGGAGGAGGACGACTGGCAGCTACAGCATCTCCTCCTCGGGTTGTAGTTGATGTGCGGGAATTCCGAAGTGCCCTACCATCTCTGTTACATGGAAACAACATGATTGTGATTCCCTGTCAGCTCACCGTGGGTGACTACATTCTCACTCCAGACATTTGTGTCGAAAGAAAATCGATCCGTGATCTCATAAGCTCGCTCAAAAACGGCCGCCTCTACAACCAGGCCGAGACCATGATCCAGTATTACAAGAGCCCGTTACTATTGATCGAGTTTGATCAAAACAAATCTTTCACTTTTGATGCATTCGCCTCCGTTCCAACAGGGCCGACATTCATGACAGACTACGGTTTCTCCTCTTCCGGCACTGCAACTAGCACTACCAGCAGCTCGCTTGCCAATCCGTCCAACCCAAAGTCTGCTCAGCATCTACTTGTACTCCTCACTCTCGCCTTCCCACGCCTAAAGATCGTCTGGTCTTCATCCCCTTACCAGACAGCAGAGATTTTTGCAGAGCTCAAAAAGAACGCCCAGGAGCCCGATCCACTCCGCGCGGTTCAGCTAGGCCTTGATATTGATATAACTAATTCGTCTGGCTCTGCCAACCCCATGGCTGCCGCTGGGATTGAGCACCGTACTTTCAATCTTCTTCCACAAGATATGCTGCGAGCTGTTCCGGGTGTTACACCCCAGGCTCTAGAGCGGTTAATTATCGAAACGGACAATATTAGTGATATCGCCAACATGGATGTCGAGCAGCTGGATCCACTGGTTGGCAAAGAATCTGCACGTAAGATCGTTGCTTTTTTCCAGAAAAGCGTATTTGATTAATGGGGAATATTCGAGCTGGAGTCTTCAATACATTCTTACTCCAATCATAATTTCGATACAAATAATAAGTTCACAAAAAGGCTGCCCAAGTGTGTACATCAACAAATGCGGTAACGTGTAGCAAATACAACTACATCATCCCACATGTGCATCACATCTTCGTATTTCCTCCAAATCAGCCAGAAAAGCCAGAAAAAAACAAAATAAAAGTAGTAGGTAACTGAGACATCCGAGTTCTGGACTCTTAATCGATTTGAACCTGGTCTATGTTGTACCCCATAAGAATTCTTTCCGTCTTGGCGACGATCGTGCAGATCAGCTAAAAACAGAACCGTCAACAGCCGAAGCAAGGACCCCTGAGAAAGAGTGGAGATGTGAATCTCTTTGAGGCCAGAAATATTACGATTCCTGACATCTTCAACTTATCACCATGCATCTCAAGACTGTGTTGACTCCGGTCGCTTTGGCGGCTGTTGTCAGTGCTGCCGGGAGTATACGCGATGTTGAGCCGTGTGCTCAGATTAGCAAGTTGGTGGAAGACGCCAATCAAGACCAGAGTATGTCATGGGCTTGAAATCATCGGTCGATAACTAACGGTCGCAGCAAATGCTATTGTGCCTCATGATCTAGCACATCAATGTCTGCTCTCTATGCCCTTTGACTCAGACCGCGCCGTTGATTTCCTGGTTCAGGTTCGCAAGATCCTCGAGTTTCAATCGACTATCGATATTTTGAAGGGTAAGCGATATTATTTCGAATGAGAATCTGTCAAACTAGCTAACTTTGTAATGTTAGATCCCCCGTCGGGGTATACTATGCCCTCCACGGATATCATGGGGGGAATCGATACAATCATGGGCAAGGCCAAGAGCAACAGCTACACAAGCCAATTTGAGATGGACTTGGAAATTAACCACCTTATCAAAACGGCCCATGATGGTCACCTGGCCTTCCAGCTATGCTCACAGTCAATCTTCACCTATCAAATTGATATGCCTCTAGTGTCAATCTCAACAGATGGGCTCGCACTTCCCCAAGTGTACGCTTTAGGTATGTTCGGCTCGATATCTGTATCAAAACATCGAACTAACATGCCAGATGATGCGAAATTGCAGAAGGTCGACCCAGACGGCGTCTCGCCTCTAGTGTCTATCAACGGCACTGACGTGGCTACGTACCTTGAATCATATGCCAATGATCAGAACCTGCAGGATCGCGATGCACAGTAGGTGACCTTCTGCAACTACGGTATTGGACCACACTAACCGTCGCAGGTACAATCGAGTATTCCCAGCGCCAGCCCGGAGTGTCACCAACACTCCTACTAGCGTAAATGGAATCTGGGCTTCCATTGGAGATTGGACTGATGGCGCTCAGCTGTCCCTTAAGTTTGGAAATGGCACTGAAAAGACTATTCAGAAAACAGCCACACCGAGTGAAAAGTTCTTTTCTTATAAAAACGGCACGAGGCTTTACGAGATAGAGTGTCTTCCTCGAGACTTGTCTACGGCTTCGAGCAGCCCATCTGGCGCTGAGGAAGCCTCCTCGGAGATAGTGGGATTCCCCAGCACTACGTGGCGCAACTCAGCTAATTCAATTGCTGGGTATTACTCCAAATTATCAGGGCTGGAGGACACAGCAATCATCTTTTTGCCCACGTTCTCATCCAGTGCCTCAGAAGTCGCTAAGATATCGGTTGAGTTCCTACAAAACAGCACCGAATCTGGAAAGAAGAACGTCTTAATTGACCTCTCATCCAACCCCGGTGGATATATGTCTATTGGCATCGATCTGTCCCGGATCTTCTTCCCCGATGCTGCCCCATACACAGCGACGCGGTTCCGAGCACACGATGCAGCCAAATACCTCACAAAAGCATACTCGCGTGACAACAGCACGGACACAAGCAATGTTTTTGCGTATCGGCAGATGGTTCAGCCTGACCAGCGAACGGACTTCAGCTCATGGGAAGACCTCTATGGGCCACACGAAATTCTAGGGAGCTCTACTTCTAGTCTACTAGCCAACTTCAACTACACCTCCACCTCTTCGGAGAACTTCCCCATCAACGGTTACGGGCCAGTTCCATTGAACCCAAGCAAATCACTCTTTTCGGCAGATGACATTGCTATTGTAAGTGATCGTTTCCCACACAAAAATACAGAAAAGAGAATACAAACTAACACAACCTCCAATGACAGATCACAGACGGCGACTGTGTCTCAACTTGCGCGTTCTTCGTCAAGCTGATGAAACGCCAGGGCGTCCGCACGATCACCTTCGGCGGCCGCCCACAAAAGGCACCCATGCAGGGTGTCGGCGGTGTCAAGGGTGGCCAGTCACTTGGCATCAACTATATCAACGGATATATCGAGCAAGCGAACGGGCTGATTAGAGACTCGGCCAACAGTAGATCACCACTCCTGACATCTGCCGAGTGGAAGGCATTCAATGAGTCCAGCCCGAGCACGACAGCGTCACTTCAGTGGAGTGGCAATTTGAATCTGCGGAATGAGTATGACCCGGAAGATGGTCAGACACCGCTGCAGTTTGTTTATGAGGCCGCTGAATGCCGGCTGTTCTATACGCTGGATAACTATTTGGAACGGGAGACTGTCTGGCAGGCGGCGGCGAAGGCTATGTTTGGGAGTGGACAGTGTGTAGAGGGATCGACTAAGGGAAAGGGTAGTTTGGGTTCTTGATCTGCTTGGCCTTTCAGCAAAATGACACACATAGAAATGCATTGATACATCTAAGATACGGAGTACACCTGGCCTGTACATAACATGAGCTGAATAGGCTGGATGCTTAGTTATGACAATTCACTTGATATTTCTGATTACTTCTTCGAACTGGTCTACGGAGAAAACAGCAAGTATAAAAATGATATTTTCAATTCTCGTGGCCCATTCATGACTCTATCATAAAAGAGCGAAAAGAAAAGCAAGTTGAGGCTGAGCAGAGTGAACACACCGCATACAATGCAATGCAGGAAAACAAGCACACAGGTTCATGATGTGTGCGTAGCAATCATTTTAGTCTCTGTCATGATCCCAAGATATTTGCAAAAAAGACGAAAATGGTATCGAGGATTATCAACCTTGGAAAATCCAAAATCGCCAATGGACAAACACCGAGGGTCCTCTGTTCGATGGCTTCAAGCCCTTAAATGTTGTCGCAGTAGCGCCATAATGGAGGGGTGTCCCTATCCTCATGCAAGCCGAGGTGAGGAGCAGCGTCGTAGGCCGGGGAGGTGATTGATGCTCTTAGTCCGTTCGAACGAATGTACAGAGGGAATCGGATGTCGAAAGTGCCTCGCGTGGCAAGTAGTCAAAGACAGTTTCGGAGCAGATGAGCGACGGCACTGTGCCAACGGCGGCGAGTAGGAGGAGAGGGATTTGGCGAACATGGAGAATACCGAGGGGGGATGTATCCGAGGTATTCTTGCAGGGCAGAGCATCGAACTCTGGGGGTAGCAGGGGATGAGCTTAGAGCTCGTCGACATCGATCTCCTTCTCGTCCTCGCTTTCGCGGTCCTCGTCGAACTCGACGTTGTCATCCAAGCCTTCACCGCCGTAGGTATCGGTCTCGTTGATCTTAGCGTGCTCGGGCAGCTCGCCGTAAGCCTTCAGAGAACGGGCCTCGTCGGCGGTGTACTTCATGATAACATCACCTTTCTCGTCCTGGTAGTCACGGAGCGAGAGAAGAATGATATCACCCTGGTTGATCCAGACCTTCTTGCGGAGCTTGCCACGAATGTGGGCCAGACGCTTCTCGCCATCAAAGCAGAGGGCCTCTAGGCGACCGTTGCCCAGCATCTTGACGACCTGAGCGTACTCCTGGCCCTCCTCCTTGAAGACGAGTTCACGCTTCTCATTGTCGTTCTCGTTCTTGCCGCGACGGCGGTTCTTACCGCCCTATACTTGGTTGTTAGAATGTGTCACATGAAGTAATGTTGGTGGTTTCGCAAAAAAAAACTCTTCCACGAGTCCAAGAAGGCGCCAGCTCGAGGGTTAGGTGGCTACCTTCGAGTGGGCGACGGTGGATGTGGCGATGAAATTATCATCAACAGGAGGGGCTGGATATTTTGCGCGCTTACCTTTCCCTTATTCTTAGGCATATTGGAGTTGTTTGACCTTCACCGGGGTCAAGTGTCTCTGTAGTAGATTTTTTCCTTAGATCAACGAAGATCTGAAGAGGCCTAATCGAGGTTGATTAGGGAAGAGAGAGTGGAAGAAGGAAGGAGGTGGGGGGTTCTGTGCACGGCATTCAAATCTTTTTTGTTATGTAATCAGGCACTGGCTGCCCAGTGCGTCAGCGATTTCGCCCCCGCTTACAGCAGACTTTTTTTTGCCTTGATGCCTGATTTTGGGGTAGATTTGACCGCCTGTATCGGATTGGCAGAAAAAGATGAGGCGAGAAAGAAACAATGTCAAGTCTGGGAGGTTTGCAAGGGCATTTTCGACGAATTCCCTGAAGTCTTGCAATACATGGTCATGTCAGATCTGCCAAGAGACTGAGTATTCATTTCAATTACAGCTGTCTTGGCCTCCGTGTGTCCATCCTGACAAGCAAGCACGAGACTGCTTTATCGACTCATTCTCCGAAGATTCAGCGCCTCCCGAGCACATTCACAATACATTTGTGATACATTTCTTGGTGACTCGATCATATCTCTCTGAACCTGTATCCTGAACGTCCAAAGATCGCTCCGAAGTGCCCATAAGCCCTCACCGGCTCTTTTGAATGAACCTTGTGGTGTTCAATCCGACATGATATCAATGTGCTACGACTCTCCTTATATTTCACAGTCCAAAACAGCATACCTTTACAACCACCATTAGACCTTTTTACCCTATCATGGCGACGAAGTTTGGCACATCCACAAACAGTCTGGTTCTTCGGTATTGGCCCAAATGCAACACCCCCCCTGTTGCCGCACGCTACCTGAATTCCCCTACCCATCCGATCCGGCCCAAAATCGTCGATCTCTGCGGACATCGTGAAAGAAACACATTATGGTGGCGGGTTTCGGTGGCAAACATTCAGCAAAGCAAGCGGGTGGTTCGCTCCTGGTGCGCGCGCAGAGTGCGCATTGCTATTGAGCAGGCTCTGAGGCAGCAAGGATTGGATAAACTTGGGAAACCGCTCGTTTCTGAGTCTCCTTCACAGAGCAAAAAATTGGCAGGCACAATGGAAATCTATGTTCAGCCACCGTGTATAGCACAGGACTTCGAGACAGTCCAGAAGGATGCACATCACCTAATATCCTTGCTTCTGAATCGTGAATCACCGCGGAAATGACCTATTGTCCATGAGCCACACTCAAAGGGTGAAGCCCGGGCAGGTTAGGAACACCATGCGACCCTGTGGGATTTAATGTATATTACCATAACATCTTGTATCATACTAGCAGTCAACTGTTGGACTGTTGCTGTACATCACCAAAGCAATATTGCGATTATAGCGTTTGGGGGAAATCACTTTGCATCTGAGATTTAAATCGTCTCAACTCTTATTCATTCCATTCATTGTACCACCCCATTTAGAAATCATTGTTCGTTGTTGGCTCCGAGGTACAGAAGTAAATAAAGAAGCGCGAGAGTATCTTAGCATTCCGTGTCTCGCTAAGTGCCGATCTGGCGGAATCAACGACCCGGGGTCTAGGCTACGATTCACTTGACAACCACCACCACTCATCTTAAACTTCCCCCTCTTCCATTCTCGCTATGTTGGTTTCCTTGACAGTTGGCAAGGTAGACGCGGGTGTCGCGGTCCTCCTCACCCAAGACAATCGACTCGTAAGCTCAAACCCCTGGGCGCCTACTCCCTAATCCCCAGACATCGACGACTTGCAATTCTACAGAACATCAATATCAAAGAAACACACTTTACTCACAAATATACGCGCAGATTGAATTCCCTTCAGTCCTCCTTCCGAACAACATTAGCTCGGGCAGCATTGTCGATATCACCGTTTCGCGCAACCATGCCGCCGAAGCAGCGAGCGCATCTGCTTTCCAATCCCTTCAGAAGCGAATCTTAAATACATACGGTGTCAAGGCCCCATCGCCACCAATTCTGCGCCTACGAAATGCAACCCAGACCTCGCTCGTTCTCGAGTGGGACCCAATCGACCTAGCCACTGCATCCCTGAAATCGCTCTCCCTCTACCGAAATGGCTCCAAGGCCGGCTCGATACCCCGCCCGCTCGAGACGCGCAGCACGAAAATCAGTGGTCTGGCCATTCATTCCGAGTACTCCTTCCATCTGGTCCTGCGGACCACCGCTGGTACATACCAATCGGAGAAGCTGACGTGTCGCACACACAAAATGACCGACCTGTCCGGTATCACTGTCACAACGGGCGTCCTTGATCCGCAGCAGAAGGAGGCTCTCGGCGCTGCATTGGACCGCATTGGAGGCAAGATGATCGACTCGGTCCGTATCGACACCACTCACTTCGTATGCACGGAAGGACGGGGCGCGCAGTGGGAGAAGGCTGTGGAGATGAACATTCCTGTCGTAGTGCCGGAGTGGGTTGATGCTTGCGAGACAGAGGGGACTATTGCTGGTGTGCGTGGCTACTATCTCAACGCAGACCCCAAGGCCCGTCAACTCGGCGTGATCCACGGCTCATCCCACCAGCGTACGACTTCTACACTTTCGACTGCGACAAGTGCCAACCAGGGAAGACTCAGCGCTCAACCCCAACGGAGCCCTGCGCCAGAGCATATTCCCGAGGAGCCTCCTCTGACTCCATTCCCTGGGGGTGAGACGAGTAGCCAACTTCAGGCGCAGACGCAGACACAAGAGGTTAGATCACAAGATGAGGAAAACGACCTCCCGCCTCCTCCACCCCCGCCCAAAGATGAAGCCGAAGATTTAAATGAGCCTGCTCAGAATGGTGAGGCAAAAGCGGCACCTGTTCCAGAGGCGAAGAACGAGGAACCCGAAGCCGAAGCTGCAGAGGAGAGCAATGAAGAGACAGAGAAAGAGCAAACACTTCCACAGAACAGGCCCGAGGATGAGTCCGAGTCAACAAACCTCGGAGGCGCAAAGGGCAAAGGCAAAGAGAGCGAGGGTGACTTCAATGAAGTTCCTCTCTGAATGGCCCTCTGATGATCTATCCTGCTCTGTCCTTGCTTCGCGGTCAATCTCTTGACATCCCTATCCTGTTTTGTCCCCCTTGTCGACCAGCGTCTACGACTTTATCCAGTACAGTTTTACCTTGTTGTGGTTAGTGGCGTCTCTTCACTTAAGCGGACAAACCATAGGATTCTTACGAACGTGCTCCGACTTTGATTCCTCATTTTTCTTTCTCATGTTTCGTGTTTGCTGTTATATGTACAGTACGCAATTTTCCTAATGCAGCCTTGTTCATTGACCTCATTGATCTGGTATGTCTGGATAAATGTTTGGAGATTACCTAAATGATTATATTGTAGGTAAAGAACACCAAAACTGCACGTGTGGCTATGGTTTTCTAAGTTGGAATTCTATCATGAAACGTCGTAAATCAGATGGGCCCGCCAGATGTAAAGTCAGTAGTAGTCTGCCAAAAAAAAAAAAAACTGCAATCCTTTTTGAGAAACCAAAATGCATATCGAGGCAGCCTAAACAAAATAAAATTCAAAATAAATCCAATTCGGACTCGTTTTGAATTTAGTTCTCGTTGCGAATAACATCGTCAATCGCCTGTGCGACGTAAGCGACGTTCTTTTGGCTCACTGTGCACAATGTCAGCTCATGTTTATGGGTATCCGTGATTGGGGGTCCTTACGGCCACTGATGGATGCTCGGCCTGACTTGAGCAGGTAAATGTGGTATTTGTCCTTCAAGGCGTAAACTTGCTTGGGGGAAAGGCCGGTGTAGGAGAACATGCCGTTCTAAAAAGATAATTAGTACAAAGTATGTTGAACATATAGTAAAATCTAGATAGCTTACCTGCTGGATGATGTGCTCCCAAGTGCCGGGGGTCTGCAGACGGACCAGCTCATTGTACAAAGCCTCACGCATGGCCTTGATGCGCGAGCTCATGACCTGCAAGTCCTGGTGCCAGTCGGCAGTAAGCTCCTCGCTGGTAAGAATCTTCTTGACAATGCTGCAGCCAACACGCGGACCCATGGAGAACTCGCCACGGATCAGGTGGCATAGGTTGTTCACAACGATGTCGCGTATGGCGGTTGAGGCGCGGTTGGTGCAGTAGTGGAACGCACCAACGCGCTGGCCATACAGGCCGAAGTTCTTGGAGAAACTCTGTGCCACACACATCTCCATGTCCGGCTTGTTATTGAAGAAGTAGCGGACGGCCCAAGCGTCCTCCTCAACAGAGCCCGAGGCGAAGCCCTGGTAAGCCGAGTCGAAGAAGGGGAAGAGCTTCTTGCGCTCGCAAAGGTCGGCGATGGCAACCCACTGCTCCTTGTTGGGATCCAGGCCAGTGGGGTTGTGCGCGCAGGCATGCAGCAGCACAACATCGCCCTCCTGTGCCTCGGACTCAAGGGAAGACATCATGCCCTCAAAGTCGAAGGACCGGGTTGCGGCATGGTAGTACGGGTATGTCTTGCGAGGCACGTCGGCCAGCTCCCAAATTGTCTGGTGGTTAGCCCAGGATGGGTTGGATAGCCACACGGTGCCGGGCTTCATGTGGCGGGCAAGGAACAGGGCGCCGAGATGGTTGGCACCGGTACCGGCGACGGTCTGCACGGTACCAATGCGTGCCTTGGCCTCTTCTTCGCCCTGCTTGCCCTCAAATCCGAACATCAGATTCCGCGCAATGCCTAGGAAAGGCACATCGCCCTCGATCGCAGTGTATTCGTGGCGGAAGAGGTCGTCGTCTACCACCAGCTCCTTCTCAGCCTTTTGCACGACAGGAAGGGGCCATGGCTTTCCATCGTCTGTCCGGTAGACACCCACGCCCAAGCTAACCTTCTGCGGGTGGGGATCAACTGCGTAGGCCCCGTTCAGGGCAAAGATCTCGTCCGGAGGCACCGGGGAGACGTCGAGACGGGTGTCAATTTTGCTCATTATGATGTATAGACGGTGCAATTGGAATTCCTGGGATTCTTGGGATGGCTTTTAGGCAAGATATGGCGAGGCCGCGGCGAATATAAGTCTGTAAAGATCAAAACTTAAGGTTGGAATCGCTCGCTGAGTCAACCCGATATCGCCGTCATTTTGCCCCGCGGGAAATCCCGCTTAGGACCGGATATTGGGGTCCATAGCTGCTTGGAAAGAACGCAACTTGCAATGCCTTCATCTGCGTTTAATTCAAAGGAAGAGATAGCCGTCAATAGCCTTCTAGTTTCATCCATGTGCTGGTTGATAAACAGCCTTTGAGATACGTTGTTAACCTCATTTTGGAGGATTAAACTCTGAACATCAGCTTGAAATGTCATCGGAGGTCTGCTGACGCGCTTTGTAAACGTACTGTATTCTCAGGTGAATAATATGAGATTTTCTTGTATGGTACTTCATTCAAGGGGGGGTTGATTATTGCTCGTGGTGTGTTGTTGTTGGAAACTCTTGGACGAGGCGGCTGTGCATAGATATATAGTAAGCGGAGATATACATCGAGACAAAATGACATTTTTCATCCTGACATCTTCTTCCACAATAACATTTGTAAATTGTTTTGTATGGCTCCTATTATCCTTTTTTTTGCTTGTTTCTATTGACATGACAATGTGGAAAAGCCTAACCAACTAGTTATGTTAAGGTGAACACCTAGGAGATATACTTGAACAGGGCAAAACCAAGGATAGTGAGAGGAAAGCCTCACGAGCTAGCCATAACTTGTTAGATCTTGTTCGAGCTATTATTCCAATTCATTCATTTAGATGTATTGATTAACGAGGATAAACTTGAATTCGGGATTCTGTTACACAAATCACTCAGCTTGTACTGTGATACTAAATAGATACCCCGACACGGACATTCCGTGCATACCTACACAAGGGATGGACATAGACCGAAGTTGGTACAAAATATGTATTTATCAAAATGATACTCCGCGATCTGTGCTACGTGGACTTTGTTAGCCTGCTCCAAAATACATCCTCTTCTGTACACCACCCTTTAAATGATACATCTGATAGATCAGGAAGCCCGCATTCATTTTTTTTTGCCAATATCCAGTATGGCCTCTCAAACCGTAGCTGGGAATTCTGCATTGCGTAAGTTTCAGGTTCCAACCGTTGTCCAGCCACTTCACAATAGCATCCCCCTGGAGCTGCTCCCTCGGTATGACCCAATCTACGTCGCATACTATAATGCTTTTAATGCCGGGCGACTGCATACACATGAGATCCCGATCGAAGAGTTCCGCAGGAACCCTGCTCGTTATACTATTTCCTATGGCCGAGCTTCGGGCCCTGATATCTTCCGCATCACAGAACAGAAATGTCCTGTCGATGGCGGTGAAATCACCATACGGATATTTGAACCAGCGCCCCTGCTTGACGACCAGGATCAGCCGAAGAGAAGAGCAGCCTATGTCAACTTCCATGGCGGTGGGTGGGTGTTTGGTGGACTAACCTACGACCACGATTTCTGCAAGCGAGTTGTCCATGGTCTTGACGGGGACCTTGTCGCATTTGACGTGGATTATCGACTAGCCCCCGAACATAAGTATCCTATTCCTGTGAATGATTGTTGGACTGCTTTCAATTGGGTAGGAATCTCCTAGGCCATGACCTTGGATGAGAACTACATGCTGACGAGGAAGCGTCTAGATTCGCTCCCAGAAAGCAACTGAGTTTAATCTGGACCCAGATAGGTTCGCAGTGGGCGGCGCATCAGCTGGAGGCCAGCTTTCGGCCGTCATCAGCCATCTCTGTCGCAATGAAAACATTCCTCTGCGCTTGCAAGTCTTAACCGTGCCGGTGACCGACCTACACCGTGTCTTCACCCCCGAGGGCGAGTTTGACCGCGAATGTTGTCCCTACGAATCATACCGGGAGATGGAGTTTGCGCCAGCGCTACCAGCAGCGCGCATGGCATATTTCCACCGACAATTTTTGGGAGTTCCTCGACCGGCGGATTCTGATGAGGTAAGTTCGGACATGGATTCATTGCAAATGTGATACTCATTTGTCTAGGATTGGAAGATATCGCCCATTTTGGCACCGAACTTCCAGAACCTGGCCCCTGCGTTGGTGTCTACGGCGGAATTGGATCCGCTGCGCGATGAAGGAGAGGCCTACGCAGCTAAGCTCCAAGCTGCTGGGGTATCTGTAGAGATGGACCGAATTGCAGGTGCTCCACATTTAGTCGCTGGACTCGATGGAATTCTGGAGGGAGGTCAGCGATATAACGAAAAGGTGATTACGACAATGAAGCGGCAGCTTCAAGGGATGAGAGTTCACCCCGTAAACAAATAAATACCATAGTATCATACCGGATAATACCAATTATTACCGATTATTACGAGCTCCATTGCCGAACAACCCGTCCCTTTGGTCCTGCCGATACCGGGAAATTTCGGCTGGGGACTCGGAGAGTCGAGTTGACCTCAAATTTGAGACTTTCCTTCAAAGGAGACTCTCGATTTCACTTTCCATAGAAGCTTTAGAAGCTTGGTGTGAGCCTTTGTATACCTTCTTTGGTTCACCAACCCAATTGTCACACAATGAATCCCACTTCCTCCCGAGCCGCGGTGCGCTCTATGGCCACCTTGACACATGCGGCCAGAGCCACCCCCGCAGCTCGCACCGCGTTGTCGCCGTTTGCTACCCGGTCGCTGAGCTCTAATACCCGTCAATTTACTCAGTTCCCCCGCCTTCAATCTTTGAACACTTTTTCCAACAAGCGAGCCTTTGGAACTACCGTCAGAATGGTATGCTGTTTTGAGAGAGCGCGGTGGACAAACAAATTCAGATAAACTGATGTGATCTAGTCTGTTGACGCTCGTACTGAGAGCGATGCCTTCGGTGAAATCCAGGTGAGTGAATATCTACGCAGCAATGGTGCCACATAAAGCTAATGGGTTTCTCAATAGGTCCCTGGAGACAAGTACTGGGGTGCGCAGACCCAGCGGTAAGACGCCCCGCCAAATCGATACGTTACAATGGAAAAAAAAAGAACAAGGTCGCTGATGGATACAGCTCCCTCGGCAACTTCGACATCAACCAGCCCCAGGACCGCATGCCCGCCCCGGTGGTCAAGGCCTTCGGTATCCTGAAGGGTGCTGCTGCTGAAGTGAACATGAAGTACGGCCTTGGTATGTGAAACTCTCGCGGAAATTAGATACTGCCAGGTTATTGACTTGCATCAGACCCCAAGATTGGTGAGGCTATCAAGCAGGCCGCCGCTGAGGTTGCCGAGGGTAAGCTGCTTGACCACTTCCCCTTGGTCGTCTGGCAGACTGGTTCCGGTACCCAGTCCAACATGAACTCTAACGAGGTTATCTCCAACCGTGCCATTGAGATCCTCGGTGGCACCATGGGCTCCAAGAAGCCCGTCCACCCCAACGACCACGTTAACATGTCCGCCTCCTCCAACGACTCCTTCCCCACCGTTATGCACATCGCTGCCGTTGTTGAGCTCGAGCAGTCCCTTCTGCCTTCGCTCAAGGGTCTCCGTGACGCCCTCCAGGTGAAGGTCGACAAGTTTGAGCACATCATTAAGATTGGCCGTACCCACTTGCAGGATGCCACTCCTCTTACTCTTGGCCAGGAGTTCTCTGGCTACGTCGCCCAGCTCGACCGTAACATCGAGCGTGTCCAGGCTACTCTTCCCCACCTGCGCTTCTTGGCTCAGGGTGGTACCGCTGTCGGCACTGGTCTCAACACCTTCAAGGGCTTCGACGAGGCCGTTGCTGCCGAGATCACCAAGCTGACCGGCACAGAGTTCAAGACCGCCCCCAACAAGTTTGAGGTTCTGGCTGCCCACGATTCCATCATCGAGGCCTCCGGCTCCCTGAACACCCTGGCCGCCTCCCTGTTCAAGATCGCTCAGGATGTGCGCTACCTGGGCTCCGGCCCTCGCTGCGGCCTGGGCGAGCTGAGCCTGCCCGAGAACGAGCCTGGCTCTTCTATCATGCCCGGAAAGGTCAACCCTACCCAGTGCGAGTCCCTCACTATGGTCTGCGCTCAGGTTATGGGCAACCACGTCGCTGCCACCATCGGTGGCATGAACGGCCAGTTCGAGCTCAACGTCTTCAAGCCCGTGATGATCGCCAACCTGCTCCACAGCGTGCGCATCCTCTCTGATGGCATGAACAGCTTCCGCTCCCACCTGGTAGAGGGTCTCGAGGCTAACGAGGAACGGATTAACTCCCTTCTTAACGAGAGGTATGCGCTTAAACACCCCCGCCCCCCTTACTTTTGATGGCAAATTCTAACTGTATGTATGATAGTCTGATGCTTGTGACTTGCCTGAACCCTGTTATTGGTTACGACATGGCCTCCAAGGTGGCTAAGAATGCCCACAAGAAGAACCTTACTCTTAAGGAGAGCGCCATGGAGCTCAAGGCTCTCAGCTCGGAGGAGTTCGACAAGTATGTCCGCCCCGAGCTGATGCTGGCTCCCAAGGAGTTGAAATAAATGAACAGCAATGCTGTCCTGTGATAGTATAGACAATTTCCGATAGGATGTGTACACTGAAAAGAATTTTATATTTAATCATCCTGTGATGTTACAAAGTTTTTGTATTTGTATGTCGTAGATCTTAACTTCTTCTGGGGTTATAAATAGCATCGATCGCGAAGCCGATCAATAGCACTAGTGAATCGGAGTTGCCGAGATCATTTCAAAACTTCCATTTGAACATTTCAATAACGTCGGGAAAGTTTAAATACAGAAATAAGCAGATCATAGTACTAAAAAAAATCACGAAGAGAAACAAAAAAGAATTCACTAGTCGTCCCTTGGTATGGAGAGTATTTATAGAAAAGCCCCCCCTTAGTGGCGGTGTCTCACCTGCAGGGCTGTACCTGAACCCTCCAAAGTCAAGTACTTATTTCTCAATACCTTGACAACTTCTTCTTCCTCGCATCAAAACTCTTGTATCCCTTCTCAATTATATATCAAAGTTCACGAAACAAATCAGTTTACCCAAATTCAAGGCCGCCGATCTCCCTTGCGACCCCGGCCCCTGATAAACAACCTGCCCTCAACACTCAATCTCTTCAACACTCCTCCTCCCCTGCTCTCACCATCAAAATGACCGCACACGCCCTTCCAAGCACAACAATCCCCGACGCTACGAAGACAATCATGAGCTCAACCATCACCCCAGTGGACGCCGCAGTCGAACCCCTCACCGATGGTCCCCTCTTTCCATCCACCCTCATCTCCCCCGAAGTGATCTCCCTCCTGCCAACAGACTACACAATCCGGCCAATGCGCCGCTCAGACTACAACCGCGGCTACCTGGATGTGTTGCGCGTGCTGACAACTGTTGGCGATATCACCGAGGAGGCGTGGAACCAGCGGTACGATTGGATTACCTCGCGCAACGATGAGTACTACATGCTCGTGGTCTGCGATGGTGCGGACCGAGTCGTCGGAACCGGCAGTCTGATTGTTGAGCGCAAGTTCATTCACTCGCTTGGTATGGTTGGGCACATCGAAGACATTGCCGTTGAGAAGAATCAGCAGGGCAAGAAGCTTGGCTTGAGAATTATCCAAGCTTTGGATTTTGTTGCTGCCCAGGTTGGCTGCTACAAGGTATGTGTTGTTCTCTCTCATATCCCATGATTCTATTGTGGTGTCATTGTTCATCGCTGACTCGTTTACAGAGTATTCTTGACTGCTCCGAAGTCAATGAGGGTTTCTATGTCAAGTGTGGCTTCAAGCGCGCTGGCCTCGAGATGGCGCATTATTACTGAGCGTTTCTTGATTCTTGTTCTTTTTTTTTTGGTTCCCTCCTGGTTGCGCCGGTTGTTTGATATAGCGTTTGGGTCATGGTCATTGGGGTCATTTAGTCCGGCGAGGCTTCGGCGAGGCGCCGTTGTTCATGATAAACCTACGCAAACCATGCGATTGTTGCATTTGAAAGAATGGAGCTGCCATTGACCCTAATCCATCGTGATTAGCATGGCCCCTCGGCACATAACAAGGAGCAACTGGGGCATTTGTAGGACATTGCATCCACCCTCACTTTTGGCAATCAATTGCGCACCATGAGAGTCCTAGGGCTGGGGAGTACTTGGTTCACCAACCGTGATCATGACGATGGTGTTTCTGCCATTGCGGCGATCCCCATCTTAGCTTGTAACACTACTGATGTTTGTATTATCTCTGCTTTCTCGAGAAGTTGAAATCAATGCATTGCGGGGATGGAGACCTAAATGGTCCCGGTAGAAGTGTGCATGAGACATGACAATCATATATCGTTATAATTCAATTGGAAGATCATCTATCTGGTCAGAAATGGGAAAGTTCAGTCTGACGGTGCGCCTATTTTGAAACTAGAAAGAAGCTTTGTACCAAAGTGACTGTTCCTTTGCGTATGTTTAACGTTAAAAGTTTAGAACAGCTCAAAACATGAAATTCAATTATAGATCGAGAGGCCGAATCTGGACTACTTTGTTGACAAGATCCGACAGAGATACATATCCAACCACTCATGAAGTAGGCCTGGTGGACATGACTCTCCAGGGAACAAGCAAGAAACGTTCCATTGCTGGAGGTTGGATAAGAACATATTTTTAATACTCGCATGGGGGTTCATTTTTTGATTCCTTTGTTCCCATTTTTCTGCATGAAATTGTATTGCATAAAGTATTTCCAGAAACAAGGTCAAGGCCCAAGGCCAGTCCTCACAGACAGTACTCCAGCTCCGGTGCCCGTAAGTTCCATCATATCGCAACCGTCACAGCCTGCTCCTATCCGAACACCTCCATTCCCAACTATTTCATAAAGAAATTTAGCGGGACTTGGCGGCGACCTTGGGAGCAGAGCCCTTAGCACCCTGCTTGCTCTGGATGCGCTGGGCACCACCCTTGGAGGCGGCGACCTTGGCCTTCTCAGCCTTCTTGGCGCTGGCGGAAGCAGCCTTCTTCTCCTTGGCGTCCTTGATGGCCTGCTTGCGAGCAGCCTCACGGGCCTCGGGGCGCTGGGAGCGGCGCTCCTTGATCACATCGAGGGAAGCACCAACGATACCACGCTGGTTCTTGACAACACGGCGAGTGCGCTTCTTGGCGACCTCCTATATATCCAAAAAGATAACCCGGTCAGTAATCTGCAGTCGCATTTTCCATCATTTGATCTGAATCATGGTGGTGACGTGGTAATTCCTCCTCTTGCTCCGTCTCATGGTTTGCGGCACCATTCGATTCGGCCTTTTGTCCCTCCACACAATCTAACAATAATCCAAGGGGAGGGGCGACCGACCTCAGAGATACCCTTGCGGTGTTGGCGACGGAAGAGAACAGTCCATGCGATGCGGCGGGGGTTCTTGCGCTGAAGGAAAAGGGACTCGGACTTTCCACGCTGGAAGCGGAAGATCTTGCTGTCGCCACGGACAAACAGCTTGCCCTAAAACATTGAATATCAAAGATTAGCTTCTAGCAGCAAGAAAAGGACGACGGAATTTATGTGCGGCGGTTCGGATACGACGGAGAGTGACAATTGTGACGGTATTGAAATATCGAAGTTTGAATGTCGAATCCGTGATGCCGGTGTTCCCTCGCACACAAATTCCTCCCAAAAGCGACGACGGGAATTGCAAACGCACCTTGCCAGGGTAGATCTTCTGGCCGCTGAAGGCGTCGTCGTAAGTACGCATCTTGACGGATGGAGATGCGCTGACGGGGGTCGGTTGGCGTTGAGTGGTTGTCGTAAATCGTGGATCGCGGTGATGCTACTGACCCAATTGTGGTGCGGGCGCTCGCTAAAGTGCGACACGTGACCGCCTCTGCCCTTTCCGGGTTGACTTATCGATAAGGTCACATGATATGTCTCTCTCTTCCAATACTTCGATTGCTCATGATCCCTGAACAGGGTAGTTGCATAGCTTGAATTTTATCACCTAGTCTCTGCTTTGAGTTATATGTGGATTTGAGTCCAAATGATAAAATACTTAAAGTGATATCCAATTCACATTTTTTTACTGACAAGTTCATGACTAAACACAAAGAACATGGAATTTTCGCTGACGAATTACTCTTGGCCCTCGATGAAGTCGAATTCATTTGAATCTGGACTACATATGCAGGTGGAAGCTTTTCGTGGTAGAGTAACTCAAGCACGATCCTCATCTACAATTATGTGTTCCCAGTCTATGCCTACACGGTTGGGGTGCATCTTCTCTTCAATGGCCCTTTCCATCAGGGTTGGAAGATAGGAATAGATGAAGCCCTCGGGTTATACATAGAGAAGTGCTCTGGTGCTCTGTACGTTGGCTTGAGCTTTTATTGCCTTCTTATACATCCAAACATCCACAAACACGCCGGTATACTTTTACGTATAACATCCCTAATGTCATCTTGGGCCGAATAGATCAGATTATTAGTCTCATGTCATCAAGGACTGAGGCGATAAGAGCGGTCGATTATTCTTGTAGACATCTATAAAATTCTCAAGGTGAGGACCACACCGGTACAATAAACGATACAATGATCTGGACACCGCAGGGACTGTAAGTGGCTGGACTACATCAAATGTACGATCAAACACTCTCGACGAGGTTTTTAATCTGCAACGCCTGCTAGAGAAAGCTAGAATGACTTGGGAATAGGGTAATGGGAGGAGTAGAGAATAGAATCCTACTCAAAGCAACAAGGTTGCCCAATAACAAACGCTTGGAATTCAATGCCTGCTATGACAAATAGAAAGGGTTGTCCCGCACTTCATGGTCGCATAACACTAACGGACTTAGGTCATAGCATGTGTCCGAGTCCACTCCTTTGCTGTTTGGATCGCGGCGGGCTCATCGTCCTTCCATCTCTGAGCAACGTCGTTGGCGAGCGGGTCATCGGGATTCGGGGCTCCAAGCAGTGCCTGAATCGAAAGTAGGATCGTACGAATCTGGAGAGCTGGAGACCAGTTATCTAGAAACCAACGTTAGATATTTGCAGCTTGAGAACAAATCATATTGTGTCTTACTCTTCAAGACATCCAAACAGATGCGACCCAGACGATCGATGTTGGGGTGGTAGATCTTGGTCAGGAAGCGGATTTTAGGTGGGGTCATAGGATAGTCGTCAGGTAGGAAGAGCTCAAGTCGGAAGATGCCACCTGTAGAAAGTGAGTCAATATTTCAATTGATGCAAGAATATTGTTACCGCGAGCCTACCCTCGTATGGAGATTGCGCAGGTCCGTGAATTGAGACATCGAAATAGCGGAGGTTATCGTCATGGGGCACAGCATTAATACCTGGAACACTGTAACCCAAGCACAACGTATTAGCTATGCAAATGATACTTTGAGCGAGATGAGCTGCTTACGGCTCTGCCATCAAACGTTCCGTCTCCTTAATGATTCTCTTGGGTAAAGCCATGGCGAACCGGCTTATCGACACGCGTGTAGACCTGGTTTGGTAATTTCAGACGAGGAGACTGTTCCTAAAGAAGACCCGGAACTTGTAAACTTTCGACGTGGAGTAGAACCACAAGATGCAACCAGACAAAGTCAATAGAGAAAAGAAAAGCACAAGTCAACACGAAAAACAGATCCAGATCTCGACGTAACCGGCCGAGGGGCTCTTGCATGGCGGGGTTATTTCGCGTCCCGTATACGAGATCATGTGATGTCATAATCCCACAGTGACAGCCACAGCCACAGCACCAGCCACGCACGTCCTTATCGCGTTATCGCAACCTAACTCTCCAGTCTTCGCGACAAGTCGAGGAGATAACATCTTCAACCATGGAACAAGTATAGCGGATTGCCATTGTGGAAAATGGGAAGAGGTACATGACTACAAAATACACATGGTCTTGTGTTATATGCATGGGTAGACCTTTGACTTCCCGGTTCCTGCAAGATCGCGGCCCGACGAACACCGGAGATTAAACAGAGCGGCAATTGCAGTCACCATGTCTAGCTCGATGGAACCGAGGCCTCTCACCTCGGCTATGGAGAGCCCGACGTTTGAAGAGGACAGCTCCTTTCATGTAGAGCAACCAGTGGGTTCTATGTCAATATCCCCCTGTGGACGCGATGTCGTTCTAGCGTCCAAGGAGGGTCTACATGTCATCGACCTAGACTCGCCATATTCTCCACCACGATATCTCCCTCACCACACACCATGGGAGGTGGCCGATGTCCAGTGGTCGCCATTCGCTGCGCGCGACCAGTGGGTTGTCAGTACATCCAACCAGAAAGCGTTGGTCTGGAATTTGGCCATGAAAACATGGCAGAACTCCATTGAAATTGTGCTTCACGCCCATTCTCGAGCAATCACCGATATCAATTTCTCAGCATTCCACCCAGATATCCTAGCGACCTGTTCCGTGGACAGCTTTGTGCACTGCTGGGATTTACGTACTCCGTCGCGGCCAGCGGTCTCATTCTCGGATTGGTTTACTGGCGCAACTCAGGTGAAATGGAATCGACAAGATCCTCATATCATTGCAAGCTCTCATGACCGGTTCCTTCGGATTTGGGATGACCGTATGGGCGCATACCCGATCAAATCGATTGAAGCACATGACACCAAGATATATGGAGTTGACTGGAATCGCGTTCGACGAGGTGCTCTAGTTACATGTTCTTTAGATAGAACCATCAAGTTCTGGGACTACACCACCGATTCAGACGTTCCAGAGAAGCAGATTCATACACCATTCCCCGTGTGGCGGGCACGCAATACGCCGTTTGGATGGGGGATGCTTGCAATGCCACAGAGAGGCAACAATGATCTTCACCTTTACAGCCGACAAGCTGAAGAGGGCGCAAGCCCAGAGGACGATTTGCCTTTGGTACATAGTTTTCCCGGGCACAAGGGACAAGTCAAAGAGTTCTTGTGGAGACCGCGCGGAGGGGTAGCGGATGGAATTGACCATCGCGAATATCAACTTGTTACGTGGGGAACAGACAGGGAGCTTCGACTGCATAAAGTCAACCCTGAAATTCTGGCGCGCGTCGGGTACGAAAAGGGAAAGTCCTTTATCTCCACACGAGGTGTGACACGGCTCGGTGCCGTATATCGGAGTTTCCGCGATGTGAATTCAGATTTAGATCTCGATGATGTTGACGTGGCTTCCTCTGTTGGACATCAGAACCAGAATACTGCGGCAGGTATGAACGCCATCACTGTTCCTCACGCTCGTGGTTGGACAAAAGGAGGCCATGTTGATCGAGTTGGCATGCAGCCGAGGTCAAATTTACGAGCCGACACAAATCCAATTGCTTGGATGCGCGGTGTGAAGATCTCAGGCTGGGACATTGAAACATTAGGAGATGAAATCAGCCAGGTCGGTGAAAAGTTCACTAAGGTGGCATTCGATTCAGTTGATGTCCGACAAAGAAAAATTTCCATCTCTCTCAACGGGCCCTGGGGTGCTGACGGAGCCTCCTTGTTCTTGAAAGTTGATATCAAGTTCCCCATGAGCTATCCCAAAACTGCTATCCCCACCTTTGCATTCCAAAAGACGGCAGCTGTCACCGATGAGTGGGCTGCGAAGACTACCGCTGAACTGCGCACAATTGCTGAAACCTATATGTCCCGAAATCGAGGGTGCCTGGAAGGTGCTGTGCGTTATCTTTTAGGCGAAAGCAGCCTGGAGGACAGCATCGCGTGGATATTGGGTGAAACTGGCGATACTCTCAAGTCACCTATCAACGGTGAACTAGAAGCTGAATCCAGCGACGAGGATGAAGTCGGCATGACCCAGAGCCAAGAGCTGGGGATGAGTTCTGAGCTACTTCGTCCTGTCAATGCGAACGTCATGGTGCCTGTGGCCAAAGCATGCGGAGCGCTTTGGGCAAACGATGGCCGCCTCATTTGCTTCTTTCCGCCAAAACCAAAGAAGGATAAGTCAGCCGAGTTGTTTGAGAATATGGGCTTTAAAGAGATGACTCGTTGGTCTAGAGGCGACAAAGTTTTTGAAGGCTTCGGCCGGTTAAATACCAGCTCGCCCGGCCCACGCGGAATGGGAACGATAACAAGCACAGATGATGGTACCTCGGATGATTCGGACGACTCATACTCAGACACATCGAGCTCTTCGGGCTCCTCTGACGTTCTTTCTGGCCTGCCGACACCTTTCCCAGCACCTCGAACATGGCGCAGTGTCGGCAGCTATGGCATCCACCGGCCGCGATCAACAGATAATTCTCAGCGATCGACTGGAGGTGGAGCCACAGTTAAATCAGAGGCACCCCAGAATATCGTATCTATTCATAATCTGAGTGATATGTTACCTGTCAAGCGGGAGTTGGCGAGTCAATATCGGATCTGTGGCAAAGGAACAGAGGTATGCGCTCATAACGCGGCTGTTGCCCTCGACGCTGGCTGCTACGAATTAGCCCAAATCTGGGGTCTGATCAAGTTGGTATTGCATGTCCGGAAAAGTCCCGGCACTTTGCCTGAGTCAGGGCTGTTGCAAAAGCGTACACACAAAAAAGGGAGCGGAATTGGTGGTCTAGGAAGAGATGGGCTGTATAGAGACTTGAAGGGCAGCATTATTCGCTGGGGCGACCACCCCCTTGGCAGTCATTGGCTTGTCCCTGCTCTCTTCAAGCACTTTGAGCGCATTGGTGATGTGCAAATGGTGGCCATGCTCTCATGTGTACTACTGGAAGCCAACCAAGAGGGATTCTTGGAGAACCAGGAAGCCAAAAAGACACCCGGGAAACAGGATTTCTCATTAGATTTTACCCCTGTCCCATCGGTAATTCCAACAAAGCTACCAGTTGCGACGCCAGCTTCATCTGTTCTCAAAGAGGTCCAGGCTATGCCCGCGCCCCAGACCTCAGCACGCTCGTCTAGTGAGATCTGGCGTCTCGATTCTACTCCCCCGTATTCCACAGGCACTACTCCTCCATTTATGTCCCGCCCCCGAGGCATCGCTGCTGACCGAAAGAATCCAAGCCACAATGTCTCTATGGCTGCATCGCCTGATCAGCAATCCCAGGCACGGAGTGGATCTGGGTTTGGATCGGTGTTGGCGTCCTCATTATCTCGTTCATTCACATTCGGACCGTCATCTGCGTCACCACCGTTGACTAGGATGGACAAGAAAAAGCCGACTCCTCAAAATAGCCCGAGCGTGGCAGCCGGACAAGTGGTGAGTAGTTCTAATCCTATTTCGAGATGCCTGCAAAGTTTGATCTGTCTAACCTCCGTTGCTCTCTAGTCGCAGACTCAATCCGACACTGAAAGCGATCACGCACCCGAGCCTACACCACCACCCGCAAGATTCAAGGTCACATACAAGAACCAAAGTGCATTTGAAAGCGATGGACCGGCACAAGACTCTTTCCTTGAAAGAGATGATGAGGAGTTGCTGTATCGGTCATACCGCGTTGCCTATGCCAATCTATTATCGATTTGGGACCTTCCCGTTCAACAAAGTGAAGTGGTTAAGATTGGAGCTGTGGCTGATCGAGTGGACGACTTGACTTCAAGCCATTACTGGAACAGCACCGGCTCCGATGAGACTGTATTGAGAGATCCACAGCAGGATGTTACCCCGAAAGCTCTTGACTTCCAGCGCCATTGCGCTAGCTGCGGCCACGCGTTGCAACTCTCCATCTTTAATAAAGAACCCCTAGTCCCGAATACCCCCTCCAAGCGACACCGGCGCAAACCATCAGGCCGCCGATGCCCTAACTGCAAGCCCCGGCAGCCACTACCAACCAGACTACCTTGCGTCATTTGCCGCGAGGTTGTCGACGGTATGCTGATCCCCTGTTTAAGCTGCGGACATGTGACCTGTTTCGACTGCCATCGGCGTTGGTTCCTTCGACCGGCCGACACATTCGACAGCCCGTTCGATCACCCAGACCAGAACAATTTCCTTCCTTCCTGCCCAACAGGATGCGGCTGCCAATGTTCCGAGCACATTGCTGTTGATGTACCCATGCCCTTGCGGGAACCAGTATCCCCTGGCCCCAAAGAGTACGCACCCATTACACAGCACAGCCTTGTACAGGCAAAACACTCTCATCGCCGACAATCTGAACCTCTGGCGTTGGCTCCCAGTCGAAAAGAGGCACCGTCCCCGAAGGGTGTTGGCCAACTCGAACACGATTTAGATGTGTGGCAGGATTCATCGCCATTTGCATCTCTGGCGCGTGGTCTCGGCGGTGGGCTGAGTCGTGGCTTGCAGACGAAAGACCGGAAGAAGAATAAATCTGTCACCGTGGCGTCGAAATTAAGGAATTCTTGATTTTTCGAAGTTGGCGTTGAACAGTGTTTTATGATTTTTGCGTATATCCATTGCTTTCTGGGAAGGACTTTCAACTCTTAACAACTTAATTGGATAATTTTATCCATGATATTGAACGATTGACACTATCCATTTAATGCACCATTGTGAAGTAGGCTGTAGATCAAAAGCTTCATTCATTCCGATAAAAGGGCCTACGGAGTATAATATAATAGATTATTGCTTCCACTTAAAAGCTATTGCCAATTATGTCCAGATATGTCATTGCGCACAGCTTGTAAAGTTTGGATGCTTGGCAATTGACTTGCTGACGATCTAGATCTTCCATCGAGGCGTTGAGCACGGACGACAGTGGCACTGGCCTTCAGCACTAGTCCAATATCAAAGCAGCGCACCAATCAAAACGACAACGTATAGTTCTAAGATTGTACCCATGTTATACAACAAATCAGCCTTAAACTACGATTTACTCCGGATAAAGAGAACAGAGAAGGATATAAAGAATGAACTCGTGGCTTCATTAAAAGTATTTCACTCTTCAGGTAACAGAGCAAGCAGCAGGGCGATCTAAAAATTCGGAAAACCGCCGAAAGCAGAGGGGAGGAACAGTGCTGGATATTTGCAAAACACATATATCGCAGCCTGACTCCCCAATCACCCATGAAACAATGCGCCAGCCCATTTACCCAAATCTATTTTCAAACGAGTGAATCTACAGCTGCTTGAGGACAGACTCGGCCCGGGAGAGGTCAAGGCTGTTCTTGGCGGCCTCCTTGGCGGCGTAGATGACCTTACCGTGGTCGATGACGATCACGTAGCGGTAGGTGCGGCCCTCCTCATCAGCCCAGCCGATGCTCTTGGAGAACTTGGCCTCGGGGTCGGAGAGGAAGAGCTAGAAGAAAAAGACGGAAGTCAGTCAATTGAGTCTATGATTTTTTTTGGGGGGGAGGGATTGGCAGAGGTTGAATAGAGGGGTGATGGATCACATACAATATCATCTCCGGTGACACCGTTGGCCTTGCCCCAGGCGCTCATGACGTAGGCATCGTTGTAGGCAAGGACGGCGACCTGGTCGACACCCTTGGCGCGGAGCTCGGGGAGCTTCTGGATGTACTCGGGGACGTGGTTGGCGGAGCAGACGGGGGTGAAAGCACCTGTAGAGCAGAGTTGCGGTCAGCGTGAGAACCTTGCAGGAGGCATGGAGAGGAGGGGGAGGGGGATTGAAAATTTCGAAAGAGCGGTCACGTACCGGGAAGAGCGAAGAGGATGACCTTCTTGTCAGCCCACTCCTTGGAGGCGTAGTAGTTGATGGGGATACCGCAAGAGGTGATCTCGCCAGCCTCCTCAGACCAGGGGATGTAACTGTTGTTGCTTGTTAGTTGGAGGGACGCAATTGAAGATAACTCAATAACTCACGAGAAAGTCACGTCCTGGGGGAAGGCATCGCCAGCGTTGAAACCCTTAGTAGCCATTTTGAAGATTGAAAGTATTGAAGAGAGAGATAGAGAGAGAGAGAAAGATTGAAGTTAAGATTGTGGATACAAGAAGAAGAGGGGAAGGGAAGAAGTGCTGTACTAGTAGGTATTTAATAGGTTACGGCTTACACATATCGGCCCATCGGGATTTATGGCGAAGTGGGGACTGGCCCTGAATTTACAAAGTTACGAAGTGCCCAGGTGAGGTGATCCGAAGAAGAAAGATACCGAAACACATGGATTATCAAGAAAAGACGGCCGAGACTGAGTGTTATCTGATTTGTATTAATCATAGACGAATCGGATGAGAGATGAGTCATCTCGGATCATTGTAGGTGTCGGCTATTAAGATAAGTTGGCTTCGGATTTAGTATTCCTAACTGTTCCTGGCCGTTCTCGGGGGTTCTTGGAGACAAGTCCTATCTTTTTGTTATTGGCGCAAAATGAGGGACCGAGGTGGGGGATGATGTTATAGAATGCTTGAATGCCTGATCTATAAGGCATAAGGTGGGATGATACGGTCATGTGATCTTGGTGCCTGTGTGCCTATATTCCTGCCTTAGGCCATACATTACACCTTGGATGTCATATCTTGCATGCTACGGAGTACACCGTATAGACTTAGCGAATTTCAAATCACAAGATCTTCAGATCAATGGGACTGATTCTAACAGATTGCCACTCGTGCTAGCTGTTGCTCCAATGATGCAGCCCTCGCGAAAACGCAAGGTGTCATCTTGCATTCCTTGCTACACCAGAAAGCAAAAGGTATTGCTTGTGCAAAAACCCACGTAGTTCTGACAAGAGTCCCGGGACGACCGCCCTAACTTGTACAGTGTAACCGTCAGAACCCTTGTAACCACTGCACCCGCCGCCGTCGCCCGGAAGACTGCGCATACTATCCATCGGAAGGCATCCAACCCCCTGATAATCCGCTATTGCAAACCCGCAATCGCCACAATGAATATGATCAAAGGAACTCCCACAATGGGAGCGAGAGCCTCGTCTCTCTTGAGATCATTTCTGAGGTAGAAAAAATTAGGAGTTCAGCAAGCAATACAATGTCTTCGTCTCTAACGGACGTCTTTGGCTATTCCAAAGACAGCCAAACTAACACGATAGCGCTTTTGCGGAGGGTAAGTCCATTCACAATTTCATATTCTGATATGATTTGATATAGAATTTCCTAACAGTGATATGCCTCATCAATAGGCGGAGCAATGGGATGGAGAGGACCAAAATTTCAATCGTCGAGCTTTGCCGAATCAAGATGATTCGGAGATTCAACGGTGTCTAGACAAGATTCCTGACGGCCCAATCTTGGACTTCTTACTGAAATATTTTGTGCGCGAGGTGAATTGGTAAGTACTGCAAATGATGAGGGGAAAACCTAAGAACTATACCAGGAACTCATCATCTAACTAACACGGTTTGTGATGCCTAGGATGGATCAGCTTGTTCATATTCCATGGATCCTAGACGAATACGAACGCTGGCGAACTGTCAAAAAGCCATCATCTCTCTTTGAGATTGAGTTCACGGTTCTCGTTTTGAGAATATGCTCATATGCATCCGAATATCTCCCTTCTCCATCATGTACCATTGAACGGATCCGGGACATGTCACTGGCGGATATTCGCCACTCGTGCGACGAAGCTGCTGACAGTCTCACGGAAATCTGTCTCCGTCTGAATTCCAAGGGAAGCCTTCTTCGCGTACAACACTTGGCCTTTGTTGGCTTAAAGGCCAAGTGTGAGGGCCGGATGAAGGACTTCCGAGATGCACTCAGGTCCGCGATACAGGTGGCTCAAAGAATTGGGGCAGATAAAGATGTTCCTTTGGTGGTTCTAGATATGGGTAAGTTGGAGGAGGAAACGCGTCGCAGAATATTCTGTAACCTCTATATATGGGATAGGTGAGTGCATGGATATATTCTCCTTGCTGTCGTATCTCTGATAAATAGTCTGTGCTGACTTTGCAGCTATTTATCACGACAATTGGACCGTATACCTATTATACCCAGTGGGATAGAGCCGGAGAACATGCCGCGTATGCGCCTTGGCTCTGATGTTGATGACGGCCATGGCCTCGAGGAATTCACTGAGCGCATCCTTCAGGTTCGCCTGGCCAATTTCTGGAGGAGCATGTGTCCAACATTAGGGTCTAATTATGATGTGATTGTTGCCGAAGAGAGATACGAAAAACTGTGCAGTAAGTTCCTGACTATGCTGCCATCCGCTTTTGCCCTCCAACCAAACAAGCAGTGGGATGCACGACTTCCGATGCTTGCAAAACAAAGAGAAATCTTATTCATATCGATATTCGAGTCTCTTTGTTACAATTTCCGGCCAGCCATATTGCTGGACGCAAGTCATCTTCCTAAGTACAAGCAAGTCTTGCTATCATCCCAGCAAAAGGCTCTGGCGGTTTCTGCGCTCTATGTTCTGCAAGGGGTATCTAGACTGCATTCTCTGATTGGCGGCTCTCAAACACGGTACACAGGAATTATTCAACCGACGTTCGAATCTGCAGTTCTTCTAGTATCACTATGCATGAATCAAAGTTTCCCTGGAGACGTCGAAAGTCACAGCTCGAGGATCACCAAGGTTGATCCTCTTCAGGCAGGTATGGCGAACTTGACACGAGCGGAGTGCATCAAGGCTATACAAGATGCACTCAGTCTCCTGCAAATGTTAGCGGAAGTCAGCAACATGGCGGATGTGGGAGCACAGAGCCTTGCCAAGCTAGTTCACAAAGTCTCTAGGCAGCCAACAGGCGCATCGGAAATGAAAAACCCCTCTCATCCAGAGGACGGAGATTTCCCGCAGGCAGGAGAAATCTCTACTGAAATTCATTTGCCAGAATACTCAGATTCGGATGCCGCAGTCTCTCTGGCTGATCTGGTTTCCGTGGCGGCTTTTGATGTTGATATGAATATGAACTGGGATGCTTTAGCTTCAAATATCTGAGCTCTATGATCTCTTCAATTTATTGCCGGTCTACATACAACCGGCACTACCCTTGCATGGTCCTTTATCTACATGACCCAATACCCGGAGGCGCTGTTATTCACTTATACCGATGCCTACGCAGCAACACGCCCCCCTTCGCTTGTTGAGCTTAACAAAACTCGAGTGCCATATCTAGAGGGCGTACTGGAGGAGGCCCTCCGGTTACACGCGACCAGTGTAGCGCGGCAAGCCGTCTGGGACACTGAAGTTTTTGCACCATCGCTTTCCGTCGACGAGAAACTGCGTAACAAGCATACTAAGGCCAACGACCGGGATGAAAGTCGCAACCTGAGCGCCTTCCACCCTGAGCGTTAGCTCGAGTACAAGAAAGGGAGCTTTGGAGAAGATGAGCTCGAGTTCAACGCAAATGCAGTGGGCAAGCCTGGGGCTAGGATACCTGGTCAACTGACAAATGACAATATACATTTTGCATAACTAGAGTAGCACTAAAAGTGTGCAATTATTAAATTCTTTTTATTTGAAATTCAGCCTATTTTCCCATTCTCCAAAAAAATTGGTTACCGAAACACACAAAATCCCAGGTCGAAAGGAGATAGATACTATTTAAACAGCACCGCAGCTAGAAGCACAAACACCGAAGCTGACAATTATAACTCAAATGTAGTTTGAGAAATTTGAAAGATATTTGAATAAGAATCAAGTCATTTTGGAATCTATGCGCCGTAAACCAATGCCATATCTCACGCCGCATGGACGCCGCTTGGTACACCAAACAACTTTTCGCGACGCAACAGCAGACTCAATACAGCCACAAGAGCGCCACCGGCAATAGTTAGAATATAAGTGTTGCCAATGGCTTTGACGATAGCATCAAGTAAGCGAGTCTTGAGTTCCGGGGAAAGATTCTTGACCAGGTCTGATTGGGCACCTAGAATGGCAGCTTGAATATCGGCCGAGGGTACGTTGGGAAGAATAGCCTCAATCTTGTCAAGACAGCCATTCAGGAGAACGGCGTTAGCAATAGCAAGAGCCATAGTAATGCCTACGAACTGCGCCAGGGTGATAAACCCAATGGCTGGGGCGATGTTTTCAGGTGAAACGACGGCCTGCGCGACTGAAAATGAAGCCTGCATGAACATGCCAACTCCGACACCCAACGGCACGGTGTAGCCGTACACTCGGCTCTGTGAGGTCTCTTGATCAACGGTGTACATGAGGGCTGATCCGAGCACGATCAGCAGGCCGCCCAGCAAGTACCAGGGCATGTAGTAGCCCAGTCTTGCCATAAGGTTGCCGTTGGTAAAGACAAACACCACCATCACTACCACGAATGGAAGGAGTCGCACACCGGCATCGAGTGGACCGTCGTTGCGCGTGAATTGGAAGAAGAGAGGAATCATGTAAATTGGTACGAAGGCGCATGCGCCCCCTGATGCGCTGGCAGCGAAGAGGATGAGAACAGTTTTCGATCGGAAGAATTGCACCGGAATTATGCGGCGTGATAAGGACACACCAATTGTCCGGACCTGTTGGATACCCAGAGCAATAAACAAGACTCCCGACACAACAAACATCGCGATAATGCGACCAGAGTTCCAAAGGTAAGTGACGCCCCCCAGGTTGATAGCCAGGATTAATGCAGTCAAAGCTCCACATTGAAGCACAATGCCGGGGTAATCAAGCTCAATAGAACGCTCTTTGATGGAAGCACCGGGGCGAGGATCCTTGTTGGGGATCAGGAAGAGGTAGAAGGGTGCACAGACAGCTCCGATGAAGAGATTGATATAGAAAGCCCATCGCCAGCCCACAGAGGACTCGCTGAAGGCGCCGCCAATCACAGGACCCAGCACAATCCCCAGACCCCATGACAAGCCAGTACAGGAGATATAAATTGGACGCTCGGAGATAGTTGTAGTCATCGCAATGAGCGTCATACATCCCACATACAGACCAGACCCACCCACACCGGCAATGGCGCGGCCCAGGATCATGACGTTCATGGAGGGCGCCGCACCGCAAATTGCAGAGCCGACCTCGAAGAGAGTCACATGGAAGATATAAAGCCACTTGGTATTGAAGTGACCATATATACGGCCCCAAACTAAGTTGGTAGCCGTCGCGCTCAACAGGAATGCAACGCTGAGCCATGAAAGCTTAGTGACACCACCGAGATCCTGAACGATAACTGACTGGAGATCGGCTACCACTGTCGCATCAAGTGCATAGAGGAAGGTCGATGCCAGAATAGACGCCAGGGTTAAGTACCACCTCCAGCCAGTGATGTCCCGTGGCGGGGCCTCCGGCTCGGCGAGGGGAGCATTGTCATTTGCTGGTGGTGTCTGCTTCCTATCGTTGTAGTAGTCTTCCGCACGACTAGATGACCCCGAATCGTCAAGCCCTTTGTCTTCCAGGTTGCTCCCAGGCAATCCCTGGTGGTTTTTATCAAGGACCACCATCGCAGCGACTGTATGGCCAGTCTGAAACTGGGTAAGATGGGTATAGTGCCGATACTCGCCTGTGGGTCGAGCTTGTATGTCTGCCTTCTGGGAAGGAATATAGCAAGGAACGGAGGGAGGTAAAGGGCCAAAAATGTGGACGGCGAAGCTCGTCTAGACCAGTGAATATAGTTATAGAATAATATCTTCGAGGAATTTCCTTGTAGCACTTACCTTTATACTTACCTTTTCCCACAGAGAAGAAAGAGTGTTCTTAATAAGCCTGCCAAATTCTTCTCACGACAGTAGATTTCTAAGCTTAGGACGATTTGTAAGGGAAGTTTTCGATTCCTAACAACCACTTTTACATTAAGCGGCTATAGTAAACTACATGTATAGTAAACTATACCCAGGTAGTAAATGGGACTGATAATCAAACGAGGCCTAACCTAATCCGGACTACCTTATCCCGACATTGGCTGGGACCCACTTTGTTCGACCGACATTTTTCGGCCCAGATTTATAATACTTCGGCCGTGAATCCTGAACGGACAGATTTTACAGATTTCTGTCAAACAGCTTTACACCAGGATCATTGATATTGAGAGAGAGGATCTAGGGTATCTACTATGTTGTATGAAATGAAGATGGTACTGGAAAATCTCTGAAATGCGCGAAGAAGAGAGGAACTATCCACAGGTACGAACTGGACTAGAGTGCTAACAGGAATGGGAAGACTCACGATAGCAACAGTTAGTTGATGTTTGTGAAGTTTACAGAATCAAGATTCTACTCTACATGAGGTCGCAAGGTAAGTAAGGTAACAACCTTGGAAGGTGCACGTGAAATATGAACTACAAATAGCTCTTCAACACCAATGAAATCTGCTCCTCAAATCCGTGTCCACTGTTGGATCAGAACAAGTTATGGAATGGATCTTGCTTTATTGGATGCATAGTAAGCTGTCTGCAACAGGAAGGCCTTTTGGCGGGTTCAGCCAAATTTTGGTGGGATAGGGGGCTATTAGCAATGTCTCAAATAAAGATTAGCAGAGTACTCCCTAGGTACGGAGTAGAATAATAGCGCTTAATGGCAGATCGTGCCCGGGCCCATATGACATGTGCCTCTAACTTTCTTTGGAAATGATTGACAGAAATCCCCCGTGGACCGGGTTTGATCAACGTCGGAACGGGTTTGGGGACCGGATTTCGGAATCTAAGGGTGAGCTCCAAATGCCCTAATCATTTAATGTCACGCCATAATGTCACTGTGATTTCACGACATATATATACCATGGCAGAAGTAGATTTACCGTCAAGGGAAAAGCCATGGAAAAGCCATCGCCGATCACCGAACCGGCTGTACAAGAGCCTCTTCGTGCACCAGCAGAAGAACAACATCAAGAGCGCGAGGAAGCACCAACGCAATCTAATAGTGACCATCCCACTCCAAAGACGACATGGCGCTTCTGGGCCGTGTTCCCAGCACTATGTGTGACGACCTTTCTCTCGGCCCTCGATACATCCATTCTCTCGACCGCCCTTCCCACAATCGCCCTTGATGTTAATGCCGGCGAGCTGTATATGTGGATTACAAACTCATACATTCTATCATCGACAGTTGTCCTGCCACTGTTCGGTCAGACCGCAAACATCTTCGGTCGGCGATGGATGCTGATCATCTCAGTTGTCATATTTGCCTTGGGGAGTGGTATGGCCGGTGGTGCGAAGAACACTGGACTTCTTATTGCGGGGCGAACAATCCAAGGCATCGGTGGCGGCGGTATTAACACGCTCGTTGACATCGTCATTTGTGATCTGGTCCCCCTCCGCCAGCGAGGTAAATATGTCGCACTCATGGCAGCTGTGTGGGCAGTTGGAACAGTGATTGGCCCCGTTCTAGGCGGCGCATTTGCCCAGTATGTCTCATGGCGTTGGGTTTTCTATATCAACCTGCCGCTTTGTGCTGCGTCACTTTTATTACTAGTGCTCTTCCTTCGAGTCACACACCCGCCCAGAAGTGGCACCGTGTGGCACCAGCTCAAACGCGTGGATCTCGTTGGTAATTCCATCCTCACAGCTGCCGTTATCTCAATTTTGCTCGCCCTCACTTGGGCTGGAACAACGTACGCCTGGTCTTCGTGGCGAGTACTTTTACCTCTTATCCTAGGTCTCGGGGGCCTGTTCCTTTTCTACCGTCATCAAGTGTCACGATTCTGTGCCGAGCCCTCGATTCCACTCCAGCTGTTCTCAAGCGGAACTGCGACATGCGCACTGTGGATTGCTTTTCTTCAGTCTATCCTGCTGTACTGGGTAGGATATTTCCTGCCTGTCTACTTCCAGGCTATACGTAGCTCGACTGCCACGGAATCTGGGCTATATGTGCTTCCTATCACTGCCGCAATTGCGCCTTTTGGCATCATTACGGGAGTGATCATCGCCATGACTGGCAAGTACCGCGTCTTCCATTTCCTAGGATATATATTCCTCACCATCGCCAGTGGCCTCTTCTCGCTCCTAGACGACCATTCACCTGCTCGCGACTGGGCTGGCTTCCAGATACTCTTCGGTGCTGGCTCTGGTATGATCTTCTCCAGCACACTACCTCCGATTCAGGCATCTCTACCCGAGTCCGACGTGGCCACTGCAACCTCCACCTGGGCGTTCATGCGTAGCTTTGGTTGTATATGGGGTATTGTTGTTCCAACCACTATCTTCAATGCACGTGTCCAGGAGCTGCTGTATCGCGTCAGTGATGTGAATTTGCGCGCAAAACTTGCTAATGGTGGTGCATATGCCATGGCCAGTGAGGGTCTGATGCGTACTCTGCATAATACCCCGAACCTTATGGCGGAAGTGCTCAGTGTGTATCAAGATAGCCTGCGATGGGTTTGGTGGATTTCGATTCCGTTTGGCGGTATCGGGTTGCTTCTGTGCCTACCTATTAAGCAACTGGAGCTCACAAAGGATTTGCATACGGATTTTGGATTAAAAGATACTGAAACAAGTAGGGGCGGGTGAGATTGTCAATTCTCTTTTGTTATAGATGGCTGTGGCTATTGGTCACATTCTTAGAAGCCGGGAGTCACGAGTCGTCGACGATGTTCCAAATTTTTAATGTTTACACTTCGAAAGGGGTTAAAGCGCTATCGCGAGAATGGTACTAGTGGATTTGTCTGTAACAAAACCTTGATATCTCCAAAAGAGATTTGTAGTTGTCCTAAGATTTGATAGATTGTGATTGTAATATTGGGACCTGTGATTACCATTAGTTGCCAGATCAATTCATCCAAGAACATCAGGGCTGATAAAACATCTAAATAGAACTCAATTAAGTGTCGCTAATACATTCAAGGTAGGAAAACGACCATCGAATCTAGAGCGTGCCAAATCCATGTAGAAGCTATAGCAGCAATGGCAACAGCTTGCACGGCCAATCCGCAGAAGCCTATCAGTCAAAGCAGCATACCTATTTAATACAGTCCCCACTCTACCTTTTGACTGCCCGCGTCACCACTACACTTCATATATCCCTTCGCACCAACATGGCCCTCCCATTCGTACTTTGAAATGGCCTCGGTGACAATGTTCACAATATCCTGACTGCCGGTGTTGTAAGTGACATCGCCTGTAACGCCAACATTCTGGACGCCGAATTTGCAGGTGCCGTATTTAGCAATTGCGCGCTGTCCATCGATGCCGGTAGTCCATTCGCCGCTCGTGCCGGCGATGTTTTTCATGAGGGTCTTGCAGTCTGAGACAGAGGGGGAGGCGGATGTGGTCTCATCCTCGTAAGTGTAGCCGCTGCATTTGGTTACGCCTTGGAGAGGGTTGCAGGGGTACCCTGAGGCGGAGGAGTTGGACTGCGCTGGGTTCGTCCAGGAGGCCCAGGCAACTTGCGCAGTACATACCGGTAGGCGAATATAGCCGGGCGTGGTAATGTTCTGATTCGACAAGTCCTTGAGCGTTAGTGCATCCATCGGATCAGCGACAGGTCCTCCATTCGCGTTGCCGTTGGCGATGTATGTGTTGACAGATCCCTCGATCAGTTCAGATAGAGTGATGCCTCCCCAGGTAGTTGAACTGAGAGTGTCCAAGCCAGGCGGAGCAGTGAAGTATTTTTTAACGCATTTTTCCTCATGTTGATCACTACAACCATCCTCCGTGCCATCAGGGTAGACCAGATAGTACAGGTTATCGTTGTAGCATGCATATGTAGACTCTTGGGTGGAAGCAGTCATATAATCGGTCAGTGGATTTTGTGCACTGCATGGATAGCCCGAGTCGATGACGAAGGCGGCAGAACCGGAAATAGTCCACAAAGTTGGAATGGAGTACCCGAAGAAAGCTTTGCCAATGAAAGCCTCGACATCGGAGGATGTTGAATCCGATACCTGGTAGCCAACCGATGGGGCGCCGCCGCTGCCCTCGATGAGCTTACCGTCGCTAATGAGGGTTGTCAGAAGGGTGATAGAGGTCTCTGAACCGTTGAAAAGCGTATAAAGTTGGTTTGCCGTGGCATTAGACCAGCCGTAGAGTACGGAGCCCATAGTGGCACTGAAACTATCCTGAGACTCCGCTGTCCAATCGCCCCTGCACAGAACTCATCAGCCAGATTGCTTTTGTAACAAGAGCTCAGCATATTCGTAGTGAGTTTTGCCACAGATGATCATTTGAGCCTGTGGTATCATAGCAAGCGAAGATAGTACTTACGGTGCGGCCGAAGGCAGAGTACTTGTAGCAATTGAAACTCCATACGCGATGGCGGAATATGTAACATCTTGAGCGACTTGAGCACCTGCCTCTCCTAGGGCTTCAAGGGCCGGTAGAGCTCCAAAAACTAGGAGGCATTAGCATGGGCAAACGGGATAACTGATAGCCTTCGACGAGGAAGAACTTCAAATTAGGAGCTCACCTCCGTCAAAGAACGGCGCCGCGACCGCAGTAAGACCGAGACCCAGCAAATCGATGAGGATGTCCAGCCACTCATCGCTCTTAGCTGGAGGGACCGGTGCAAAAGTATCCTCAAAGTCTGAAAGCTGATTGTCGATGTACGTTGCAGCGATTCCATTGATGGCGTACCATAGTTGAGAGTATGCCTGGTCGACGAGTTTGTCTGTCAGCTGCTTTCATCATAAGGACATGAGCCCATCTGGTGCCTGCACTGCTTTTTTCCTAATCGGGTCTTGTCCTCAAGCAGCACGTAAGAGACTTACCTCGTTGATAACCGTGAAAGAGTTGTAGATAAGCATTGCCGCAGGGCCCGATTCACCGCTGTCGCCAAACCCTTCGAACCAGGCGCAAGTTTCGGTGGTGGAGCAAGCGCCGTTCGGAGCAATACTTCCACAGTTCATCGACTCCCCAGCATGGAAGGTGTTCATGATAGATAAAGTGAACCCAGGTTCAGTATTCCCGAGTTTTGGCTCGTCGATAGTAGTCCAGACATTGATGGCATCTGACCACGCATTGGATGCGTCCAGCTCCGACCAGCGCTGCGAACAGGGCATGTATAGCGCATCTTGCACAGCGGCGTCTGAACAGGTCAAGGAAGTCCAGTTGCCTGTTCGGTTGCCTTCTACGTAAGGGTCAACATCCAAAATAACGTCGCTGGTGAATTTAGTCCAGGATGTCGAGGTGAAAGGAGCATCGTTGAATTTCTGCAAGTCAGTAGCCCAGTCGGTCCAGCCACCCATCGATAGGCCCTGGTAGACCGACTTTCGTGAATTTTTGATGCCCTCGCTCATCCATCCAACCCACTGAGTGTCATCATATACAAGGATATTGGTGTTGCTATCAATATCAATGTAGTTTTCATTGACCCGGCTGGAGTTTGCGAGAATCGCCAAAATTTCGGCATTGGCGATGTAGCCTGCAGACTGGGTACACTTTCCTGGTGTAGCTTGCGAGTCGTCAGCTGATCCCAAATATGTGCAATCTGGTCCATAGCAGCCCGCTTCGGCCATGGCGAACGATCGTCCGTAGCTAGTCACTCCGACCACGACCTGGTTGGAAGGAACACCGGCTTTCGTGATCTTTGTACGAAGAGAGAAAAACAAGTAGGTTAGCCAATAAGAACACGTACTGACCTCCAGTCTCTATCTGCACTTCGAGCAAACTCACCATGCTTAAAGCGCCCTCTGTTTCGGTAATGTTCACGTCCGAACGTAAGCAGGCTCCTGTTGGACACCCTTCTTGTGACCACTGGTTGTGGGAATCCCACTGTGCGGACGTAGAAAATGTTCAGATTAGTCTTCATCGTTGCGTATCAAGTACCTAATCATCACAGATGCCATACCTGTCCATGTAAATCGTAGGTCATGTAAATGACGTAGTCCACGAGTTCAGCCATGTCTTTGATGGGGAAGCCCTTCAAGTACCAGTATGACGCTGGCGCCGCAATTGTTATCTCCTTGTCAGGAAGGAGGTTTTTCAAGACGGCAAGGAAGGCGAGATAGTTGGTACCGTCATCGGTACTAGCAGCAGGGATACCAGGGATGTCTGATGCCTAAAACGCGAAAGTCGAAATGTCAATTGGGAATCCCAACACAAAGAGTCATGAAAAGCAAGGGCGACGATAATACGTACTCCTGGATACTCCCAGTCGATATTGACGCCGTCGAGGTCATGGTCCTTGATGAAGTCGGCAATGTTGGTGGCCATTGTCAACCGATTAGCAGAAGTGACACCGTCACGGAAAATCATGTACGTGCTCGGATCGGTGGAAAATGCCCATCCACCGATCGACAAGATACGCGTTGTGCCTACGATCTGTTTGAACAGGTCGAACTCGTAGGTGGTACCCGTCGCGGTGCCGTTGGGGATCTGGACCTCATAAGACGAGGAGAGGGCACCAAAAGCGAAATAAATGTGTGTGTAAGCACTCAAGTCAATTTGAGAGACATCCTGATAGAGGCAAGGCCGCTGCAAGTTGAAACCCTCGTAGAAGCCAACTTTCCTGTATGTGGCAGGTTTATCACTCTGCACAATAGCTGTGCCGCAGTTAGAGATACAGCCGTTGGTACCATTCTTGGCGGTTCCAGGGGCGCCAGTGCCGGTGTTGATACAGAAGTCGGATGTTGTACCGCACTGGAAGGATTGTCAGCGACTTTGATCGATTGTAAAAAGTCAACTCAACCGTTGAGTCAGGGGTCCGCTTACTTGGCCCCACACATCACAGCACGCATTCAGAGGGCACTCGTTGAGTGTGGAAATATTCGTTCCCCTCGCGGGGGTCAATGTTCCGGGAACTTGTGGCCCACATTCTGCATTGGCAAGAGAGGCCGGCATTGGCGCATTACCCTCACTTAGACAAATGATGTTGTTCACGTAGAGAGGATTGCAGCCTTCCCAAGCCCAGGTATCATTGTTGTAATTCTCAAGCTCATCCACCGTGAGACTGTATGAAGCAGCAATCGTCTCACAGTTATCATTTGCCTTGATGGTGTATGTCGTGCAAGTACCATCGGATTGCGGCTTAGGAGAAAAGTCTGGCAGTTGACCGGCTGAACAACAAAAGTGCTCACCTATCACCAAGGTGGAACAATCGTCGTCTGTTACTTTATTGTACTGAAGGAACTTGGCTAATGTGATACCACATTCAGACGCCAAAGAATCATAGCAATTTCCAGAAACGACTTGGACTGTGGAACAGGTTGTCCGAGGGGCGAGTGCCCTGCCCCGAACAGAGGTCGCATTGCTACTAGTTGAGGTGGCATGGGAGACTGGGGGACGGGTGGGATGGACAGTGGTGGCATAATAGGAGGCATTAAACAAGGGTTTCACGAGCGAGAGTGTGCCAGTGATGTTTTGAACCACCGGAAATGTCAAACATTTTGCCTTGGACCACGAAGAGAGGGCGGCCTGTACGGAATCAAAAGTTCCATTGCCCGTCGCAATCAGGCCGAACACATGGTGCGAAGTTTGCCCAGGTTCGCAGAATTGCATCGCTACACTCGCGGCAAGGCTGGCATTGGCAGACGCAATTGAATCTGATAAAGAAGACAGCACATTTTCCCCAATACCTCGATTATCCAATGCTTGACCGATATAGAGACCGACGGAGGTGGAGCCATAGCGGGCGAAGAGAATGGTTGGACGATCGATGGAGCCTAATCCCCTAACCAAGTACTGCCGAAGCTGATTGGTGAGTGTGACTAGAGAAGATAAAACCGAAGAACCCGTGGCGGCGGGCCAGTATCCAATCTGATAGGTACCATTCACGGGCTCCGGAGCGTCTGATGACTGCAAGAGAAGATTTGTGGTATTTGCCGGTAGATTTCCCCAATCTGGGCCAAAAGAAGTACAGGCGTAGATGTGATGGCCAGTATGAGCATCATCAACCGGATCAAGGAAAGAGAAAGAATAAAAGAGAGACTCCTGACACGAAGCCAGTTGATCAAAATTGTGGTACATGGACCAGTTGGCCGGGTTGGGTCCCGAGACCGCACATCGAGTGGGACACGCATTAGACCTGCCTTGATACCCAGGACTGGCAGGGAGCCGAATGGGCGCCGAGATAGCAGCAGATGGAACAGAAAAAGAAAGAGTCAAAAGAGTGACATGAAAGAGAGTGAGGAATGCACTCCGCGGCTTCCGCCACGAAAGCGAACTAGACGACCACGACATGAGCTATAGAGAAATCCCACAGCACACGTCGGGATTAGGAAGGAAAAAAATGAGCGGATAGAAGACTGGTTTGCTTCTTGTTTTTTTTCCTTGACGAATGATGAGCCTGGGAGCTTTATAGGTTAGTGGACTTCTCATTTGAATTCGATCAATCCTCATCGGAAGCAGTCCGCCTCGTGCTGGGTGGAGACGAATTTTAGGAGACAAGGCTCGTGAAGCAAACATAGATCGTTTCTGATGTACAACAAACATGCTAGTACTAGCGCAGTGCAATGAAAGTATACCACGGCACACTAAGGGGCACTATAGAGCACTAAGGTAAACTAGTATTATTACAGGTTCCTGTACTCCGTATAGTTGAATACCAAGGGGAAAACCTAACGTCCCCTGCAAACTGAATCTTCTTCTCCTTTTCCCTTCTACCTCAATATCTCATAAACTTCTTCGCAACTCTTCATTACAACTTAGGGCTTATACTCGTTCAACTTCTCTGTCTTGCATCGATCGCTGGCCCAACGAACACAATGAGCTACATTGCCAACCCGGGAATTTTTGAAGTCGACTTGGTATTTCCACGCAATACTACATATACCCCACAGGCGCTGATGCCCATCGTGTGGGCGCTACAGAATCCAAGCATGGCTCCCCCGTTGGCGAGCTCAATTACCTGGAACCTATGGGAAGGCAACAACCATAGCTCACCAGGCTCCGTCGGCGGGGGACTCATTGAGCTGCTTGAGGAGATCACTTCCAGTGAACAGCTGATCTCGAAGTTCTTCAACACCATTGCCTACCCAGATGGACATTGGACTTTGACTTGGACTCTGGAGATCTTCAATTGCACTCAGTATACGGGCCAGTCCCACTCCCTCAAGAAAACTGGTTCTACCGTCTTTACGATTAGTAAATCGGGCCAGGAACCCGATCTGGTGGCCGCCACTGCTGCCGATCAATGTAGCGCGATGGAAGCATATGCGTTCAACGTGACATCCTTCGGTGATGCTTGTGGTCATCTCGGCCAGACTCCAAACACCAGTCCGTGCGCCGTGAACATGAGCTCGTCAGCCGCCTCCAGTCTATACGCCTCGGCCACCGCCGCGGCCTGTGCACCCAATGCTTCCCTGAATGCCAACGTGACCTGTCCGACCAGCACCAGCAAGTCTTCTGCCGATAATCCTGCGAGTCGATCGCACATGGCCACAGTACCGGTCTTGTTGATGCTGCTGGTCACGGTAACCAACTTGATTTATCTTAGGTGAAAAGCAGAGGGGGTGGGGATGCCTTGCAACTTTCAAGGTGTCGCCGGCCTTGTTTTCATCGGTACTACCTGTGGACGTACCTAGTCACTTTGTCGTAACATGTGTATTCTATTATACCTTTCCATAATATCGATCTTGTTGCGCGAAATTTTGCTGTTTGGTTTTTTTGTTGTCCATCGTTTTCTACTCTATGTAATGTGCGATGTATACCACATGCAAGTGGGGTCTCCCAAGGCTACAGTATTTGAGTCCCGACGGCTAAACCCCGAAGGATGCAAATCCCGGTATTTTCGGGAGAAGGCAGGCTTACGCCTCCCGGGGGAGGCGGCACGCCCTTCGAATTCGAAACTCAGGGTCCGTGCAACCCGCTTTTGAGGGCGCTTTTCAGGGCTCATGGCTCATGGCTCATGGACACCTTTCGCAATGACTATTGATCACACCCTGGGCAATCAAAGCGCAATAAAAACCACCAATAGACATCCGGTGATGAGGAAAACTCCCCACTACACAATTTATCTGTATCAACGTGGTCCCACTGTTCTCGGTCCTCTCGGTCCTGTCCGCCGTCCCCGAATGTCCCGACACGAGGCGAAAGAGCGGGGCGTTCAGTCGTCTGGTTGCTCTTTTTTTCAGACTAATTCTAACCAATAGTTAGAAGTTATAAAAGGCTGCCTAACGAGGTGAAGCTAGCCCTGAGATTCTAAGGGGATTGGTAATTCATTTGAAACTACTTCGTATACTACCAGCTCTCTCGAAGAGGAAAAGCGTCGAAAAATTCTGCAAGGGCAGGTTCATGCGGGTCAACTAGGCTTACCCTCTAGGGTCTTTCCTGAATCAGGGTCGGTTGAGGGGTCCTGGTTCGGCCGCTCCGGCACCGTGAGGAGGTGTAAGGCCAGTTCTAGACTATATAGCTTTTTAGAATCTCGAAGTATTGGTAAGAACTAGTCTAAAACGAACAACCAGACGAGGTAAAAGGTGCATAATTCATAAATTACTGTATATAACCGCTAGTACCGACCTATCTGAACTAGCCCCAACCGCTAAAACTGACTAGACGACGCTAAATTCCTTGGAAAAAGCTTCGCATGGGATACTCCACTCGGACAAGGCTGCCGGAAAGCTTAGCAAATGCCCCGTGAACCTTACCCCAACAAGAAGGCGCCCATCTTACGATATTGTTTTAATCTCGCTAAGAGACTAGAGAAGAACGCCGCTGAGCCGACTTATCACTAGAAGAGAACGCTACCGGGTCAACCAGACTCTATGTTCATCGCTTAAAAGCTTCGCACCCTCTTTCGTCCTCGAAGCAGCCAATGAAGATGAGATAGGCTAAAGCCTACGGGGGGCCATAGTATGTATCGCTCCATAGGCATCCATTGAGGCGCCAGATGGTTGTGGCATTCTCGGCCGATTCTCGGGAGGTGAGTGACGGACTCCACGGCGACTTTAAATTGTTCCCTCTCGCCCGACCCCGGCCAAGCAAGCATCAACAATCATGATGGCGCCGAAATCACTTCAGACTGGCCTCCTCATTCTCCTCCTTGCAAAGCTGAAGCTGGCCTGGGGGATGACTTTGGTCCCTCGTCAGGTTACTTGTGACTATGAAGCTGCCGCGAGTTCGGGAGATACATGCACGTCCTTCGCCGCCGAATGGGGGCTGACCGAGGAGACCTTTGCGTCTCTCAACCCCTCTGCCGCTTGTCCGAGCCTCGTGGCCGGTCAGAACTACTGCATGGTTGGCACTATTTCAGCTGCATCGACGACGAGCTCTTCATCTTCCACCACCTCGTCTTCCACTACCTCATCTTCCACTACTTCATCTTCCACTACTTCGTCTTCCACTACCACCTCGTCTTTCACCACTACTACGGCGTCGGAGACCACATCCACCGCCGCCAACGGGGTCACCACGCCTATGCCCGTTCAGTCTGGCATGATCGACTCGTGCAGCAAATTTGACCTCATCAAATCTGGCGACACTTGCGCTTCCATCGCCAGCACATACAACATCGACCTATCCAGCTTCTATTCCTGGAACCCGGCCGTCGGCTCGTCCTGCGCCTATCTTGACGTCGGCTACTACGTGTGCGTCGACGCTGTGCCCTCACCCGTTCAATCCGGCATCACCGAGTCCTGCAGCAAATTTGACCTCGTCGAATCTGGTGACACCTGCGCTTCCATTGTCAGCACATACAATATTCCCCTTTCGAGCTTCTATGCCTGGAACCCCGCCGTCGGCTCGTCTTGCGCCTACCTCGACCTGGGCTACTATGTCTGCGTCGGCACTGACAGTTCCACGGTCGCCACCTCGACAACTTCGGCTGGCAATGGAATCACGACGCCGACGCCTGACGAGCCGGGGATGGTTAGCGACTGCACTAAGTTTTGGCTTGTTGGCTCGGACGACACGTGCACAAGCATTGCTAGCAGCGAAGACATTACGGTCGCTGATATCGAGAAGTGGAATCCGAAAGTAGGAAGCACCTGCACAGATGTCTGGCTCGGCGATTATATCTGTGTGGGTGTGTAGAAGCCGGAGCGGTGGGAATACGGAAGTAAAATACTTTGATTTTACTTTAAGGGTCCCTGCACCGTTCCCTAGGCTATTGGCCTGATAGCATATTCATGAACATGTACTGTTAGCTAGAAAAAGAAGAGTTGAATGGGGAATTTCTTGGCATTATTATAAGCAAAAAGTTTTATATCAAACAATAGGATTAGTTGGCTTATTCGATACCTCTCAATTGATTCCACATAGCAGAAATTTCAATTTCCATTAGATTTGTATGCGAATCACAGCGTACAGCATGCATATTCCCCATGGCTTTAGTGCCGCATCACCTTGTAGTTGCTCTTGAACCAATTCTCGGCCGTGGTCAAGTGGGCATATGACCCGTTCAGGTCTTGAGCTAAGGGAGCGACTCGTTTCATAAGTGCTTCCCGTCTGTCTTGTATTCATTCAATACTTTAGCGCTACTTTAGTCGGATATTGGCAGCTTGTTGCTCAGTACTTTTTGTTTTTGTGAAAATAAAATGCAGACAAAAGTAAACCGATACTCAAACGTGATTGGCTGGATCGGATACTTAGCTCAACGGAGACAATTGTGGGACTCTCGTCTTCCCTTCCCCAGAGCATCACCTTTTGTACAATCTCATCTGGATCTATCTCAATGAACAGCTATGCCAAGCCAACGGGTTAGAAAGGGGGATACTCCTGCCCAAAGAAGACGAGATGGATGTACCGAGTGTCGCAGGAAAAAGTCAAGGTAAAAACCATATCGCCCGCCATCGGTACAGAACTAATGTCGAAGGGTGGGTTTGATAGTGGACGCTTTCATTTTGCCTGGTCGCCCTTTCCCCTTCTTCTCCACACTCCTCAGCTACAGAACTGGATAAGGAGAATGAGTTGCATACTAATGCATCCGATCTCTCAAATATTTTGTATTCTATATTTAACACATAGTGTCTTTTGGCATGTTATTAGACTGCTTGCTCTCCCACAAATTCAAAACACTTTTCATTCGTCGTTGAACTTCTCTACGCAGAAGTTGCAGAGCTGAGGTTCTTGTAGAAAAACAGCCCTGCTGTACAGCTAATATCTATATAGTGTTCACACCGAGAAATGTCAGTATACGGCTCTTGCGACGCAGTTCATCTGATAATAAGACATTCACATCGGCTCAACTGGTGGCTGTTCACACGTAATGACTATCATGGATATGACTGACTCAAGCCCGTCATTGGCTCGCGTGTCATCAAGATGACCCGGATTAAAGGGTAGGTACTACCGCCAGGGTTGCAGTTGCCGTGGCAAGTGTATGTGGTCGTGGCAGAACAGGAGAGGAAAATTAAGTGTTTTGAAGTTATACATTCGAGCTCTGATGGGCGTTCCCTCTTTAAGTATTATCCAGCCTTCTGCGCTAGGCTTGATTTGCTGGTCGGTAGAGGCTGATTTGAAATATTTCCACTCACGTACCGCAGGTTCATATCTAGGCAGGTTTTCGTCTGAGGCTTGTACGAGAACAGACAATTGACTGCTCCTATCCTTGATCCTTGCTCGCCTCGCTTGCAATAAGTTAGCTAGTTAGAAATGCCTTTCTGGCTCTATATTGGTCCCCCGGTGCATCCTGTACGCATCGAAGCGGGGCAAGAACAGTAATTCACACTAGTCAATGCTTAGTGCCGGTGAAAAGCCAGTTATACACAGCTAACCGAAATGGGCTAATGGCCGTACTTAGTAACGGGGGCTGTTGATTCTGTATTCTCAGGGGCAGAGGAGAGGCTTCGAAGGTCCCATCATGTAGGATCAAGAAAGATTCTAGTCAGAGCGCGTCAAGAATTCTGTTACGGGCGAGAATAATTCCCTAATGTCATTTACAGATTCAAGAAATTAGCCTATACAAAAGAGCAATGCTTTAGCTTTATGGAGTACATGATCAGAAAAAGGACCTAAGCGAGTACAGAATGAAGGGGTCCGTGTGTAGCGAGGTGATATCGTCTGGGGCACTGGTATTCCATACGGGCATCTCGTGCCCTTTGATGTTTCAGATGACGCGTATACTTCCAATGATTTGCGGTTCACTTACCCATCGGTTGATACGATGCAACTAGCCCATTATTGTGGACCTCGGGTCGTGCCGTAGCCATTGGAGGAAATGCCTATGCAATTAAACCAAGTGGATCTATGCTTGGCCCCTGTTGATTCAATCGAGATTTCCCGACCTCAAAAGTTCATTGACCTTTGCCCCATTTGCGCTCCCCGATTTTCCTGGAGCTCGCATTCATCACTCCAGCGCGGCAATTATCGGGTGAGACCATTCTGTGCTATCGACTTGGCTTTTGAGACTCAAATGTGACCATCGAACCAACCAACGCGTCCTGTTACGTAACAAACAAACTCGGACTAGGCGGGCATATCTCTTCAATATGTCTTCGGAGCTCGCTAAGTGGAATGCTCCTCAAATTGGCCACAGCCAGCAGGCGGCGGTCTTGAACGTACCACTAGTACTCCTCTTAGCTGGGGCTTTGCTGGGGCTTCTTCTAGTATGTCACGACTGACCGTCGATACATGTGGATTCATGTCAACTCAATCTAATCGACAACAGGCCATATATACCCACGGGTGTGTCTTCGCAACACTAATCGCGACTCAAACACCCAATGCTAGAGTGAATTCATCACTCTCGCGCCAGCATTTCAGAGGACTGCCCATCTTGATCTTACATCGGCTAATCAAGATCTTTGTTATCTTTCAAATTTCTACGAATGGGCTTAGTCTACTGAAGTTGGCACTTCATAGTTTAATCGCCGACTTGCTGCTTTCATACCTGAGAGTAGCTAATGTGCATGCGATTCTGAATCAACACTCGGGAACATTACCTTACTGGCATTGCCTTCCCACATGGTCAACATGGTCTAGGACCTTCCGAGCAATGTCGTTGTATAGCATCAACTCAAGTATATGCTTTTATCTCCCCGTCTACCTCATTCGGTTAGCGGGTGCTTTGGAAGGGCGATTAGAGGTCTCGGAAACAGTGCAGTTCTTCTGTCTCCTTGGTACTATTGTGATTCTTTACTTTGGAACAGTTGTGCCGGCATATGCGATTTTCATTCGAGTCGCTACTTCTGCACAAAGGAGTGAATCGTTGACTATCAAGGGCGCGTGGCAAGGTCTTCGGTGGTCGTCTCGGGTACAGTTCTTCAAATTACTCGCCGAGGTGCTCGTCATGGAGGCAGGTGCTACTATCGTTATTTTCGTGTCTCTGCTCGCTTTCTGCCATCCGAATTTGCATGATGGAGTTTTCCAATTCTTAGTCAAATATTTTGGTTAATTCAGTATTTCGGGAATGAAATGCGTGTTGAATGATAATGGTGCCTCTATTAAACGTCACGCAACATTATATCCATCTAGGCGATTGATGTGCTACAACCGGGGTTTCATCTAGCGCTTCGAGGCTGAAATCGCCAGCGAAATGCGCAGCTAGGCCTCGAATTGTTCTCGGAAACCACCATCACCGGTTGACATTACACGCCGGGCTCGCACACTCGACCGTTTCTGGCGCCAGAGGCTGTCATTTTCGGCGTCATTTTCACAGGTCTCTATATTCTAGTTGTAAATAGTATGTTTCATTTCTTATTGGATAAGATGTTTGATAGGTGCATGATATTGAAGGCTGCGCTCGTGTTCACTCCCAAAATAGCAAGTCAATGTCTTGTATCGTTAACATGGGGTGTCGTCTCCATCAAACGAGCCAAAGTAACAGCTTCCCGAAGCGCCCGTCCCACATGACCCCGCACACCAGCCTCTTCCATCACCATCAAACCGCCAATCGTGCAGCCCTCAGGAGATGTTCCTTGATCCTTCAACAGAGCTGGGTGGATGCCACTCTGAAGCATCGTTGCTGTTCCTTGCATTGACTGGAAGATCATGGTATGAGCCAGGTCCCGTGGCATACCAACCGCCACTGCGGCATCAATCATTGCATCGCAAATCACAGCAAAGAAAGCAGGTGTTGAGCCCCCGACAGCGGTAGTAGCATTCATCAACCTCGGATCAACGTGTACCGCTTTGCCAATTTGCTCGAAGATGGACGTCGTTATTTCGAGGTATCGTTCGGGCAATGCAGGCTCCGATGTTTCAATAGCCGTCAGTGACTGGGATACCTGGGCCGCAATGTTCGGCAATGTGCGCACCACCCAGGCTCTGCCAGATGTGTTATCAGCAGTAGTTGCGCTGCCGTAAACTGTAGCTTCGAGCTTTTGTCTTGTCCAGCCGGCTGCAATGCTGATGATAAGCTTGTCGGTTAAGGCCTCGTGGAGCCCCGGTTGCGTTAGGACGGTCTCAATATCGGCGGGATCCGCGCCTAGAATGATCACATCGGCGGTTTGTACGGCCTGTACATTGTTGCCGCGAGAAATAGTTATTTTGTCCAAGGACTCGGCGAATCGATCGGATAGTCTCTTCTCTGAGCTTTCACTGCGCACGCATGCAATGTATCGAGCGAATGGTAGCTCTTTGGACTTTTCTGCTGGTGCATTGACCAACCCGTCTAGAATGGCAATTCCCAGGTTTCCTAGAAGCATTAGTCGATGTATTTTGCTTGCGGGCTTGCGCACTTACCACAACCTAGGATGCAGAGGGTTCCGTTTTGGATATCCATGATTTAACGTTCAAAGCAAATAAAGAAGTAAATTATTAGAAGGAAATAAAAGCAGAAGACAGCAAGTTTTGAAATTTGAAGCACATCGGGGACGCTTCCGAGTGTGGAGAATTTATACCCCGCTCAAATCAAATCCGATGTATGAGCTTCATGAGTTTCGTGAGTTTCAGAATATTTGAAGACATTTCGAGAGTACATTTTTTTAGAAGCTATGCTTATTTTGCATTTATTTCTCCTTGAGGCTCCAAGTACTCTGTAGCTGGATACATCGGTTCCAGCTAATTGACTTCGAGTGTTCGGGTCAGCAACATCTTTAGATGAATTCTGCGGTGAGTAATCTCACTTTGAGGTAAGTTAACATAGCATAGTTTATATAGAAAATACATATAGGTTATCTAATACATATAGAAACATAAAAATTTGGAGAAGCATCGGGAGTCCTCCCGATTATCGGCGCCAATAGTTTCCCCTCAGCTCTTATCTTGGGGGGTACTCTTCTCCAACTCCGCATAATATAACTGTTTTGGGGGTAAATGCGGGGGAAATACTATATCAGCTCAATAGCCCACAAATAAGCAAATGCACTTTTATTTTCTTTCATCATGGGCATTTCCCCATCGGACTCTATTATTGTCGTCGGCGCTGGCGCCTTTGGCCTCTCGGTAGCACTGCATCTTTCGCTACGAGGCTACACAAATGTCTCGGTGTTTGCAAAAGATGATTACATCCCTTTCGGGAACTTGACAAATGTAGTGTGATAATAAAGCGAAAAGAGGAAATAGAATAATTGCTGATGACTGTACGATCTAAATATAGGTCTATCGTGCAGCACAAGATGCAGGAGTGCGATTCTTTCTGGGGCAACAAGTCGACCAAATAGCCTATGTGAGCAGATTGACCGGGAGAAAGACCGCTGGTATCCGCACAAGGAATGCCGGATTTTATCCCTCGTCGCTTGTCATTATCGAAGCGGGGGCTAGGGATAGTGTTTCATCTGAAACTGGCCAGTTGCATGCGCCTGACCCCTTGGCCATACCCCTTTCTTCCTACACCAGCATCAACTCAGATTCCTTCGCCGAATATGTGCCAGAAACATCTTCCTCGGTTATACTTCTGTCGGGAAATTTGATACAACCCTCCCAGATGTCTGTGGTGGGACCACTGGTCGTAGATCTCTTGGAGGGAGCGAGTGGTCAAACTGCAGTGCAGGTTCAGAAGGGGAAAACTTCACCTCAACCCTTGTCTAAGCTGTGAAAAAAATTTCATCAAGGATCGAAAGGCAAATCGATCTATTTACCATCACCCAATAATTCCCGGTCTCCGAAACCGACTTGTATTCCTTGGCACCGACCGAGGCCTACGATGTGCAATCGAACTATTTCTAAACATACAAACTTTCAAAATCCAACCTACATCTACTCTATTCAAGAGTAAGGTAGCTGCATTTTATTTACGAATCATTTTAGACGCTAGAAGTCAAACTATGAAGTCAAAGAGTCAATATTGTAGTGCTGCCGACGAGCCCTGTCGACCGGCTCAGGGTTGACCAATTCAGGAGCTCCTGGAATCAACACACCCCAACCAAGACAGGGACGACAAAGACCCATGGCAAAAGCCTCGGTAATACGGAGGACGGGACGTGGATTGGGGCAAGGTACTCGTCTCTCGCGGGCATTTGCTTCTTTACAGCGCTCGATCCACACTGCTTCTGTATGCCCACAACCACTGATGCCGCAGTGGCCGCGGTACCATTTATAACGCACTTTGCACATGATGGGTGATGGGTTTATTGGAAATGGTAGAGCTCTGGGGAAAGTACTCGCAGTACTAGCCTTGGGTGGAAAAGGCTGTGATAGAATACGGGACTCAGAAGAAAGCGTATATATTTGTATAATTCTAAAAGAAAGCCATGAAGCTCAATGAAATGAATATCATTGAAGTTGGGCTGCTTTCATCCTAAAATTTGCCTTGTCTAGGACAAAGAGGTCTCTGTAAGATGCAATCAAGATTGAGAACAATTCATTTGTTGATATCTTTGTTCCAAATATAAACTACTCGTAGATCCTCCACTTCCACTTGCTTTCCATTCTATTCTGTGCTATACTATCACGTGGATTGACTAAGTTTACACATACAATAGTTATTGTCGGTATCTCATACTCACTGCATGCTACAAATAAGGTCAGAGCTAGCATGCAGAGTAATAATGGATTGTTGCATTTTATTTCGCAATATGCTCTTTCTAATTATATAACAAGAGCGCGTATAGTATATGTAAAAATAAAAAAACTTGGTCCCATCTGTAGCATGATTAGTTAGCACTTCCAGACATCCATTGCATCAATGAAGGAAAGAGGAAATTCGCAAACATAAGGAATCTCGTAATAATATTCAAATATGTATATTTTACTACACGCAAGATGCACAATGGGCTTACCTATTCGGGGGCTTCGGGGGCTGGGGGTTGGGGTGGGGGTGGGAGGGGGTAACGGCTGTAAGTTCTATTAGTATCCAACGTCATATGTAGAGCTCGATGTAAGTATGCTGTAGGAAATACCAATCAATCCACCTCTCCACCAACGAATCGGCGCGTCTCACCAGCAAGACGGTCAGATACATGGCTAAGAGGGCCCATAGGAACTCCCCCTGTCGAGGGGTCATTGCGGCTACTAGTCGCTCAACAAAGCCCTCAATACGGGCGAAGTAATCGTTGGGTAGCGGACATTCGCATAGAGGAAGAGCGGGCAGAGCGTTTTCAGACGACATCTTGGGAGGGTAGGTCATGTTAGCAAAAAAGACCCCAAAAAAGACACCTGGAAAGACATCTGGGAAGGCTCACTATTGCAAGAGTAGTGTTGGTTTGAGGTTGCGAAGTTTACAGAATCAAGATCTTACTCTATGTGAGGTAGCAAGGTAGTAAGGCAATTTGGAAGGTGCACGTGAAATGTGAACTACAATGGCAGGTACGACTGTTCCGTTCCGAAATAGGAAGGAACAGTGTAGCAAGTAGGCAGTGCCCTAGAAACCTAAGGTACAACTTCTTCATCATCCTCTTCGTCAATAAGCACAAATGGTTCATCGGCTTGGTCCGTCTTGCCTTTTCCCGTCTGCTCTTTTGACACATCACTCTCGTATCCTGGAGGCATTACAATCAGATCAAAGGGGCTGTCATGACTGTCAAGAGATAATCCCCATATTGAAACTCGATTGATCCTCTGGCGGTAAAAGGTGTTGTCATTCACAATATGAAAATCTTTGACGATTTTCTTCTTTTCTCCTCTGGTAAGCTCAAAACTCCGACTTTGGTGACAACATCCACATGCCATCGTACAATGCCCAGCTCCAAGCCGTCGTGTCTCATTAAGCTTGCGATCAACGCAACATCCGCAACGACGGCTGCAGCATCCTCCCCTCCTCATGCAATCCTCGAACAGCACTCGGTGCATATACCATAGAGGATGTGATCGCCATAAGCTAAATCCTCTTATCAGGGGCCCCTCCACGAATGAGTTCCGGACTTGCCACCACTGGCGCTCTAGCAACCAATATTTCTTGTCCAAGGCCTGAAGTTCAGCCTGTACATCATTCCTATATAGTGGCCAGCTGCCAGTGGCCTCGGGTTTCTGGACGAGCCATTGCTCTTGCTGGACAATATCTCGGAGATCCTGTTCTATCTGCAGAAGCTCAATCGTTCGACCATTGAACAGGTCCCGTCTCTTCCACCGATACCGTTGAAGAGCATCGATATCTCCACTCTCTTCGATCTCGATTTCATCTTGCGTCTGTTCTCTAGGCAGGGCCAATTCATTTTCTGATTGAGTCGGCTGGTCCGCAGATTGCATGTTGAGTTTGTGTTGACCGCAGAAGCTGTGTGCTCGTAGAAACTCGGTTATCTTGTGTCAGGTATAGAGAATAAAGGCTGATCTAGTTTATGAGATAGGGAAGGTCATCCTTAAAGTTGAGGTCTACCTGGTGAACGACTCATCCTGATGTCAGATATCCTTCCGTGCTCTTTCTATTGGACCTGCAGGTAACCGAATGTGTGCAACCTTATTAGTTCGATCACACCATCTTAGAAAATAGCTCGGTTTCTCTGCTTTGATTGCCCGCTCCAAACTCCGTAGGCGGGCCGATGGAAGAACCATCAGGATGATAACCCCAGAGGATGATAAAGGGACGCGGATAACATGTGTGAGTATAGGCATGGCGAGCCTTGGATCTCGAATGCCCAAGTCACACCATGTAACACAAGAAACCCCCTTGGATCGACACACTTTGCGACGCCCGGGTATGTGGAGAAGCCCCATACATAATTGTGTTTTCATCAACAAAGACTTAACTGCCATAAGTGGGCATTGTTTGATCTGGAAGGTAAAAGATGTTTATGTTTCTACCGGGCTTTGTGGATTGTGCTGGTAGTTATCTGGCGGTGTGGCTTGGCCCTGCTAGGAGAGCTCCAAGCCACAACGATCATAAATAAAGTATTAAATATCAACATATAGTTGTCTAAATTTTAATTTTCGTAATTTGATTTCATTCTTATTTCTTCTGGCTCTAGTGAAAATTTGGTTTAAGATGAAAGAAAAAAATGCTGACATAGTGGTGGTTTAGCTGGTGTTCAGGGCTTAAATATATATATAGTTCTCACATTCAAAATACCAATCTCAAATGAACGGTCAAGCGACTATCTTGAATTTCGAGTATGAACAATAAGAAGATATTTATTTATGTATTGAGCAGAGCTATATCAGATAATGTGTGTCAAAAGTATTTGGTAGCAAGACCCAGTACGATGTCTGCCTGCTAGCGATATGGCTATGGATTTTTCTGTCAAATCACAAAATTTCTTGCTTGAATCTAAATTACCAAATTACTCATACAATTATTTTTATGCACAGCCTAGGAATATTTTCGTGTACGGAGTAGTAGCTGACACAGCCCTATATTATCAGGAGAGGCTGTTGTACAGCCTTACGTAGAGATGACTAAAGCTGTCTACGGATCCTGTCTTACAAGGGGTTAAGCCTCTCAACCTCACAATCTCAGTTGAAGACAAGCTTGATTCCATCCCCCCCAAAATTCCTATCATGGCGGATCTCAAACCACCATTTACCGAGGAGACTGCGCAGAAAAAAGTTAAAGCAGCACAGGATATGTGGAATACGAAGTAAGTCTCAGATCTATTATTTCTATGACCCTTGACAGACCATGTGTTTGAAAGAAGGGTGTTGAAGGTTTCATCCCTTGCATTCTTGCTGACTTGTATTGTTTGTTTGTGCGGTTCACCCTGGACACATACGAGTGTATCCCAACTGGGAAGGGTCTATCTTGCGTTCTTGAGATGAACTATTGTGATTTGATTTTCAAAATTAGATGACGTAGTGATTTCATTGCCCGCTCTGACCATCTGCGATTAGGGACCCTGCCCGAGTCGCTCAAGCATATTCCCCAACATGTATCTGGCGTGTTCGAGACTCATTCTTTACCGGGACAGAAGCTATTGTCGCGTTCTTGCAAGGGAAATGGAAACGCGAGCGTAGTTATCGACTTCGGAAGGAACTTTTTGCCTTCCGGGATGATCGCATTGCTGTGCAGTTTTGGTATGAGTTTCAGGATGCGGAAGATGGAATGCGCTGGAAGAGGTGCTATGGATTGGAAGACTGGACTTTTGATGAGACGGGAAAGATGCGCAAACGTATGATGAGTGGAAATGATGTCCTGATCGGACCGGAAGGTAATGGTGAGGGGCGATGGTTTGGAGATGAGGTTAACGTGAACGATGTTTTTATTAGTGAGAAGCATTGGTAATTCTACGATGGATGTTCATGTATTTGAATAGTTGAATTGGGCCAGAGGATGTAATATTATTGTGGCTCTCTATATAAATTGCATATACGAAGGATATGTTGTGCAGGTGGGTTTATCTGAACTCTTAATTTGACCATAGGAATCGTATGGAGTATATTAGAACATGAAAAGCTTAGGAGGTATGGAATGTCTAGCACAGATAAACCCCTGTACAAATAAAGTGGCTAGTGTCCCTGGAGTTGAGAGTTGATTTGTTATTATCCCCCTTCTTTAGGGGAATGCTATCTTCCTCGTCGATCGCAATTGATGTTGACAATGAGGGCATGATATGAGTTTAAACTGCTTAATATGTATTCATTTGAGTCAAGGCCTGGAATAGTTCTGAATAAAAGAGAGAGAGAAAAAGAAGAAAGAAACTAAAAAAGACGTCCGTGTAGGCGCCAGCCCCGGGAACGGGGAGGGTGGTAAATGTGAATAGTGGCATAGAAGTTTGGACGGTTCTGCCTCACCAGGACGCTGATAGGTCAATTCACACAATAAAACTAGGCAAACATGCCTACATGGAGTCAAACAGTACATCGTAGATAGTAAACAAGAGGACCAAGGACATTCCGATGGGAAGGAAGGAATCTCTCTCATTCCAGTCCAGCCGAAGTATGCACAACCTCTTGTCCTTCATGAACATTGGCAGTTCCAATATTTTTTCTTTCGTCTTGTGCTTTTATCTCATTTTCAGTCAGGGTTTGTCGCTTGAGGCCTTTTCTCTTTTTTTTTTGCCCGTTGCATCTCCGTCGACGATGTGGTGTTAACCAGTCCTTTGTCACTCTTTAATTTCTCTTCTTTCTTTCCCAGAAAAGTCTGGAGCCAATCTTTACACCTAACTTCTTTTTGTTGACAGTCGAAAGGGATTTGTACCCTTTTTTTAATATTTGCGTTCGACCTAATTTTCTGTGCGTTGGCTATTGATATCTTTGTTGGCATTGGATGGTCAGCTAATGGAAGTCTAGATTGACGATTAATCCCCCAGCTTAAAGGAGACTTGGAAAAACACTGCAAAATGTCTCACACCAACTACGCCATGGACCAGATGATGTCGGATGTTAATGACTCTCAGAGGAGGCGTCAGCCCTTGAGAGATGTGTCGAGCCGGATGAACCACCCCAAGTCGCCAAATGTCGAGACACCGCGCCTGAGGATCCACGAATCCGAGCAGCTGAAGAGTCCTGACCGGATGTCCTTTCTTATGACACCAACTCCACAAAGGAATAAGGAAAACGACCGGCTGTCCGTGGTTACCGACCTGCAGCCCGACTCGGCCCGAAACTCAATCATGTCTGCGGCATCTATCTTGTCAACCAAAGGGAAAAGGAAAACACATGTGGGACCATGGCAGCTGGGACGAACACTGGGGAAGGGAGCCACTGGACGGGTTAGACTAGCCAAGCATGCTGTAACCGGGAATACGGCCGCTATCAAGATCGTTTCAAAGAAGTCAGCTGCTATGGTTCAGAGTGAGAGTATCGCGGCGATGGACCGTAACATGGGAAACTTCCCTACCAATTCTGCCACCAGACAAATGCCCTGTGGGATTGAACGCGAAGTGGTCATCATGAAGTTGATTGAACATCCGAATGTGATCAGTCTTTATGATGTTTGGGAAAATCGTGGAGAATTGTGAGTCCCCATTAGTTCCGGGTTGAAAATACACTGACACAATAGCTAGGTACCTTGTCCTTGAACACGTCCAGGGTGGAGAGTTGTTCGATTATGTATCTAACAATGGACCGCTACCGGAAGAAGAGGCTGTGCGACTGTTTCGACAGATCATCGCGGCCCTTGGGTATTGCCATCGTTTCAATATCTGCCACCGCGATTTGAAGCCCGAAAACATCTTGCTTGATTCAAACCATAATGTTAAGCTTGCTGATTTCGGGATGGCCGCGCTACAACCCGCAGGTCACTGGTTAAACACTTCATGTGGTAGCCCTCACTATGCGGCACCGGAAATCATCTATGGTCGAAAATACCGTGGCGACAAAGCTGATATGTGGAGCTGTGGTATCATCCTGTATGCCCTTTTGACTGGTTATCTGCCTTTTGATGGAGGTGATTTGGGAAGCACCCTGCGACTTGTGAAGAAAGGAGACTACATGATTCCCCCGGAGCTAAGTGATGAAGCAGCCGATCTCATCCAGCGTATCCTCCAGAAGCGCCCGGAGGACCGAATTTCTATGCAAAGCATTTGGTTGCATCCGTTGTTAACCAAATATGAAAAACTGCACAATGCCATGGTTGATCACTACGTCGGCCCTCCTCCGCCTCTGTCGGTGAAGGACTGCGGCCAAGCCCTGTCCTGTCAGCAGGACATCGATCTCGATATCCTTCGCAATTTGCAAACTTTATGGCATGATGTTAAGGCCGAGGATCTGATGCAAAGGTTGTTATGCATCGAGTGAGTACTACCTGCTAATCTTTAAAACGCCTTCCGTGACGCTAACAGACTATCATTAGACCGACCCACGAGCGGATGTTCTACAACGCCTTGGCAAAATTTCGCGATGAGCAACTGGAAAACTACCAAGGTCAGCCTCTGGAGTACTCGGCTAGTGACTATCACCACATCTCCCGCCCCGGTGGTAGAGTTCGTCGAGGCCGCAGCCAGACGGGCCAGGGTAGCTCCAAGCGTCGTGCTCAATTCCCATCTGTCAAAGAGTTCCCTCGTCGCCTGAGCTCTTTTAAGGAGCCGATGTCTTCTGGTACTACTGCGAGCTATGACCCGTATCGGTCTCCCAATCACGACAGCACAGCGTCAAAAGCACAGTATACCCATATTACCGTCCATCGAGAGTCGCCGGAGCAATCTCAGGCTATCCTATCGTCGCCCAGGGTGCAGCCCCCCCCTTCCATTGCGGAGGAGCAAGAGCCAGAAGAATCGGACGGGCCAGATGCCTCGCCATTTACTGTTCTCCAGAAGCGCAAGCACGGGCCGAGCTCTATGAAATCTTTCGTCTCTTCCAAGGTACCTCATTCCAGCTCCCGCGCTCCCGGATTATCGACACACTCCATGAGCTATCGTCGTAATGTTTCCTTCCACCACGCACGCAACCGCTCACATGGGTCTACATCTGCCAAACCCAAGAAGAGAAAGATTGCCCCACAAAATCAGCAAAATGAAATCAAGCGGTCACCAAGCACCTGCAGCTTGCAAATTTTGGCAGATGGCCTCTGTCTGCCGGACATGCCAAGCAGCCCACCCTTGCCAGCACAGCCAACCGTGGTACGAGCCAATGGTCCCAAGGTCAAGAGTCTGGGGCAAGTCAGAAAAGTCCGCGAGACAGATTACACGTGGAAGGAGGACACTCGAAAAGTCTCTCATGAGCTCAGCCAGATCTGCGAGGAGGCATTCAATGGCAGCTCTGTTACAACCATTCGGACTACGAGCGGTGGATCTGGATACGAAACACCGGGAACTCCAGTCTCGACGGCAAGCCTTGATCAAGTCAAGCCCACTTCGACGATCCCCGTGGCTCATACTTCCAAGGAGTCATCCCGACCTTACAATATCAAGGAGCTTACTGAGACACGCCAAAAGCTCATTGAGCACAGCCGGGGTCGAAAAGACAACGTGCCTGCCTATCTTTCTGGTGTGATCACTCATCTCGACCGCTTGATCGAAGAAGATCAAGCCAAGAATGGTACCCAGCGGGAGGTGGAAGTAGCATCTTACCAAGATCCTTTCATAATTTCACCAAACGAGACCTTCCTCCCTGTTATCAATGAGAATTGCGCAAGCCCTGTCCGTGAGCCCAGTGAGGCCAGCCCTCGACGTCAGCAAAAACCACGGACTTCGCTAGCTACATCTCACGGCGGCGATGCCAAGGCAACAATTCGGATGGTCCCCCATAGTTCGCTCCCATCCATGCAGGAAGTTAAGCCCCTTACCATTCGCAAGAAGAATCACAGCAAGCTCGCTTCGTCAGATGTTCATGAATTTGCTATGGGTGACCCTGCGGGTAGTGACCGGAACTTTTCCATTGGATCCCGACATGCTGCTCAACCCAGTGGGCTGGCTCCCATCGAAGAAGTTCCTCTGTCTCCTAAGAAAACAACAGCCCGTGCTCCTGAAGGGAAGAAATGGTCATGGTTCAAGCACCGATCGCAGGGCTCTGACAATCCTCCTGCTCTCCCACCCAAGGATAGCCACCTCATTATTCCCAGTGGTGGCACGATTGTGCACAATCCAATTACCCTCGAGCCCGCTTCTCCTTCCAAGGGAGAGAACACAGAGCGAGTCCCAAAACGAAAGACATCCATGGATCGGTTTGGCGGTGGCTTTTTTAAGAAACTCTTGACCAAAAAGTCCACCCAGAATGAGGAAGAATCTCCTGCGAGTAAGTGCAGCCCCGGCAACTTGCGTCCGAAATTCTAACCACTATATAGACAATGAGAACGAAATCCAAACCACGCCAACCAAAGATAATCGTTATTCTTCACTGATGTGCAAGGGACTTGCAGACACCGACAGTTCCGTTGAAGCTGATGATGCCCCGAACCCCTTCCACCAGAAGCGCCGCTCGATTGCCAACCACAACTGGTTTGCCCGAGTTTTCCAGATCAAGCCTGCAACCCAAGTCATTGCGCTCAGTACATCAAAGGTCAAAGGTCGCAAGGAACTCTACAAACTGCTTCGCGAGTGGCGGGATTTTGGTATGGAGGATGTGTACCTTGACAAGACCAACAGCATTGTTCACGGTCGTGTCAGCGAGGCAAACTGTAAGTCACTCATCCCATCCAATTCAACACCTATACTAATCACCCTTTAGTCCTCCACCTTCGGGAGGTTGAGTTCACCGCTGAATTTTACACTGTCCTTGAGCACGGCCACCAAGCCAACCTCAGCCTGGTCCGGTTCAAACAGGAGCGTGGCGCCGCTTCATCCTTCAACAAGGTAGTGGACGCTGTGCAGAGCACACTGATGCGCCGTGGCATGGTTGTTGAGGACCCATCTCGTGCAGAGAACATGATGCGCGTTCTTGACTCTGTGCCGAACCACAACTAAGTTATCTCACGACCCATTTCCTTGGTATCTCCTCGATTTTGTCATCAAGTATCTCCTTTAAATACTGTCAACCAACTACCGTCTTTCGCTTCCCAACATTGCGCCCGCAAAACACCCCTACAGCATGCTGCGTTCCAGCCCTGCAAAAGCACTTCCTTTGCATCTCACATCGTTCGATCATTTACATCCACACTCGTTTTTCATCCCATGCAAGACCCAGGTACCACACAGGCCTAGTACTGCAGGACACATCCATAGTTTTATTCCATTTTCACCCTCAATCATTTATTGTCTGTCAGCCACTTTGTTTTTTTGTTAATTATCCATTTTGTCTCTGCCCGTGTGCCTTTTTGCCCTGGGCTCCTGGATTCCTTGTCCATTTGTCAACTTCAGTAGATCCTCTAATCGTTCTTTTTGCTGCCTTTATTTCCGATGTTTGGACTTCAATAACTTGGCACAGTGCTTAATCTCGGCGAGTCGGATGTTTGTACCTCACCCATTCGCTCGCTGTTCTAGATAATACAGGCCTCAAGCAAATTTCGTTACTGTACTTAGCTATATTAGGACTTTTCCAAGCATTATACTCTCCTTGACGCATACATACATGCTAGTCCTAGATCCTCTATCCAGATTAGGGCAAGTCACGTGGTACGTATTCGTAACGGTACTACAACATATGCACCTCCATATGTGCGTCTGCCCTTTCCCGGTCAACATTGCATATACGCACGTACGTGGTCTAGACAGCATGCTGGATGGGGTAGTTGCATGATGTAGCATGAAAAGAATGCAATACTCGAGTTCCATTATGCAGCCAAGATTCCCCCTTCGCAGGGACAAACCCTAATTATTACAGCCAATAGTCCCATTGTCTAAGAGAAGCCACCCAACCCCTCCGACACTCCACTCTCGACAAGGAAGGAGGACAAGCGGGAAGTAAGGAAAATGCCCTGAATAAAGAGAATACTAAGAAATGCACCAGTCCGGATTGGATCGGATCGATTGGATCTCGAGAGCTAGGGAGGAATACTCGGTATAATTCGCATCATAGAATTTCATCAGAAAGCGCTCAGAGATACAGGATCCCAACGGAAAGTAGAATAGCATGCGGCAATAACTGAATAGCAGAAAGAGTGATCAAACAACCTCCGGATATAAGTATAAGCAGATACTTGATAATGAAATGACAGGCAACGGTAAGAAAATCAGGAATGACTATAGAAAGATCAAAACAGTTCCAACGATAATAATCAAGGCAGAGGGAAAAGATGACACAGCCGACCCACGTCTTTTAGTCGCGTAGGCGAAAAACATATGGCCACACATACATCGTCGAAGATGTAAAAGAGTAGTAAAGAGACGAATGCCTTCCCAGTAATGTAAAAATGGAATGAAGAACGAACCCGAGGAAAACACAAAAGCCGACAACAGTGCAAAAACGCGATGAGTGAAAACGAGACAAATTGCAAAAACAGATAGCCACCCGGGATTTAAATAACAATGCGGACAATGCCTGCGGCCCCGTAGCTGGGAAATGAATTCCACAGAAAAGACAGCCGGAGAGAGTGAGATCTGATGGTGATAATCCCAGAATGCATTCATGTTAGACCCTCATGATATGTGGGTTAAACCAATTGAAGCCAGCACATGAATTGCATGCACCTGGAAACCATGTCAAACCACTCTCCGAGCGAATGCAATTCTTGGATTTGCGATTATTCAGATATCGAAGCCGAGACAGATCAAAAAAAGATATGGAAATAAAAAAATTCATATGCCGATAAAACCAGAGCCCATAAATCTGGAAGTCTCAGTATAAAGTTCAAATTCGTGCTCGTGAAGCTCGTGGGTTCGCGTTTTGTGACCTCGTATAGATCAGTGTGACGTTCTTGTCGCGTTCATCGTCTAGGTCCTCGTCATTGTCTGGAATGTCATTCCGAACCTCCCCTTGCAGCCAAATGCGTCAAAAACGGTCTGACGAGACTTCAAATCTTGCAAATTCCAGCACTTGACACATGGCTCTCGGACCGTGTGGCCAGCACACGGTCCATTCCGAATGTTCATCATTCCTCACCGGTCCCGTATCGCATTCTTCATGCGTTTCCCAGTTTCCGCTAGGATATCGAATAGCAATATAGGAATTTCTATTGCGGGCCTCGGCGATTCAGCGCATTGAGCATGTCGCTATCGGTACTGGAGCGGCCTTGAGAATCGCCGGGGTTCAGCATATCGCGCACGTTCAAACCACCTCGTTGCGAGCCACCGGGGGTAGAGGTTGGCGGTGGTGTCACACCCCCTGGCTGAGGGGTACCACTTGACTTAATTGGTGCGCTGCCCTGTTGAGCCTGGACTGGGGGTACGCTGCCCTGGTGTGGAGTCATGGGCGCCTGGTGGGGCTGCATAGGTGGGAAGGGCGAGCCGTGAGGTGAGGAGGAGGGGCGTGCATCGTAGTTATAAGCCGATGGCGGCGAGGTGCGTCGATCGTGGGCAGGCGGAGGGGGATATGCGTAAGGGCTCGGCGTAGTGTGAGTTTGGTATCCTGGAGCAGATCCAGCGGGTGTCACGGGAGCCAGATTGGTCGGATCCGGGTACTCGAATCCGGAGTTGGAGCCTCGACGGTGTCTCTGCACATCAAAACATCAGCTCATGTCTCTCTCCCTCTTTGCTTTTTACCCGAGAGGGAATGGCAGCCTTACCGGATCGGGCATGGTTGACGCAAGGGGCAGCGGGGCACCATCCATGGGAGGTCGTCCATTTTGATAGTACATCCCTTGAGGCGGCGGCAAGGTGGTCTCTGGGCCCTGTGGCTGCTGTTGAGGGGGTAGAGGCTGTCCGTGAGCGCCGTACAGGACAGGCGGTCCACCGCGGCCCCCTGGTCCTGGTCCATTCTGTCCAGGTCGTAGATGAGGGTAGGCGGTGTGAGCGGGCACAAAGGCTTGGGTTTGTGAAGAGACCGGGGTGAACATGCAGTCTTGGTTGAATCGAACGCAGTTGCTGCACCGTCCATCTGCAGAGGTCTCGAATCCCGAGCAACGAATCTATCGGGCAAAAATTAGCGCGTGGTAACTCGTAGATAGGGAGATATCCCCTCCGTACCTTCCGACGCCGACAGTACCGGCATGCAATGGCCGTTCGCTGTCGCGGAGCTGCTGCTTGGTAAGGCCCTTGTCCCGCCTGGGGTCCATATGCATCGGCGCGATAAGGACCCGGTGGAGGTGGGAGACGATAGGGATCTTGCGCCCCGTGGATGGCGTTCATCGCTTGTGGATGCGGGTATCTTGGATCCTGATACTGCGCCGGGGGGTATTGTGATGGGGCGTACTGCGGAGGAGGGGGGTACTGCGATGGCGCGTATTGTGCAGGAGGGGGATATTGGTAGGCACGGTCCTGGTCAGGTGGTGGAGGGTAAGAAGTCGGCGGATACTATGAAGCTATCAGCAACCGGAGCCACCACAAAGGCACTGCGCTTTGAAGGCCGAGACAGCACATACTGGGTAGGAAGCCTGATCATCCGGATTGTTCCACTGGGTGGCTCTAGGGTCCCTAGGATCTCTCGAATCTCGAGGATCCTGACGATTTGGATCACCCTGACGATTAGGGTCGTGATCGTTGGGATTGCCCGACATTTGTAATGTTAGGGAAGAGTAAGACGAGATGAGTCAAGGATGCAGGGATGTGACGTCGAGTTATTGAAGAAGGGAGATCGAATCACACAAACAAAGTGAGCATAGCGCGGTCACGCAGGGGAAGGGGAAGAAGGGCAGATGCAGGAAAATCCCAAAAAGAAAACAGAAATAGGAAATAGGGAAGCAGAAGGGGGGGGAAAAAAGAAAAAAGAAACAGAAAAGAAAAAGAAAGCCTCGGTGATTATGACGTGAGCAGGTATAAGGAAGTGAAAACCCCACGACAAGATAAGCAGAGAAGGGAAGAAGAAAAAGAAGCTCAGATCGGAATGGGCAGAGAATAAAGGAAATAAAAGGAAATGAATTATTTGATTGGAAAAGCACAGGGGAATTTTTAGAGAACGGGGTGGAGCCCGGGCAGCGCGGGCTAAAGCGGCGCCAGTGACCCATAGACATGGAGGGGGGATTACTATACAGTGTATCTATACGCTCGTGGACGGATTGTATGTAACAAGTTTGTGTGTCCATGTCGAATACACGCATCGATACATCGAGTGAGATGACCTTACCTTACGCTTTCCTTTCGTAAAGTGAAACATGGCAGACAAGACTTCGAACCATGGATTTCAATCTAGGGTACCAGATTCCCGTTGCTATGAAGCCGAGAACGGCGACCGCTTTTGTTTTCTTTTTCTTTCTTTTTTTTTTGTTTTCTTTTTTTTTCCTTTTCATTCTCCATTTTTCAACTAGCAGTAGCGGCCGAGATTAAATTCCCACGTTTTTGCCACTCTACAGCACTACCGGAACAATATATCTACAGAATAATAGAAAAGCTCTACATGATCAGAAAGATTATTTCAACTGCCAAAGTTGACATCATCAATGTGGCAGGTGACCTCTCATTTGCATGGATCAATCCATGCACGTCAATTCCTCCGAGTGACCCTTGCTGCGTAACCCGCCCATGGACGAACGACCGCCTCGGACCGTAGTCGCACAACCGCAACCGGCCCCGCGGAACCAGGATCATTTTCCATGGCGATGGGCTCGGGTCGGGGCGACACATTCCCATGCATATCGGGGTTGGATTTTATTGTAATTTTTTTATTATTAATTCTAATCATTTAATGATATTATTATGCACACTCTTTTGGGGTTTCTTGCCTTAACCAGGACTACCTAGTCCATCAGAGTACATGAAACTACTGCATGTAGGTACTATGAAAGAAAAATTCAAGCGGTGAAAGTGTGGCGATCAGACTTCAGCTGAGGGAGTGGGGTTCGGCCTGACCACTCGCCACTCTTTAACACATGGAGCATCCATAGGAAGACGAAAGTTGGATATGGAAGTATGGTGCGAAGTCTCTGTGAAGAAAAATTGTGGCGACAGCGGATCCCCTTCTTTCTATGACAGAAATGAACCAGGCTTTGGAAGGAAGGAGGGAGAGAACGAAGGGGGGTGGAGTGCCCTAAGTTCCCAGGGCTGTAGCACTGGATCCGGAAAGCCCATAATGAGCCAAGGTAACCTGCATTAGCGCTGCGCTGACAGGGCGGGTTCCTTGTCCAAGAGCCACAACCACGTTGTACGGGGGGGCTATTTAGCGTACGCCCCCCGTCACCGCCAATCCCTGATGAGATTTTCAGCCCAGGTCATCTACCAGGGAGTGTGGGTTTGAGATATAGTAGTATGAATAATAGCAGATAGTCATAGCGACGGAGAAATGAAAAAAGCCCACCCTCGCAACCATGGATTGAATAATATGTGTATCGAGTAAATTGTAATAATACGAGTACTATTGCGCAGGATTAATCAATCAGGTTTCGGGGTACTTGTCCCACGGGCCGCTCCGGCCTTCCCGCCGATCTATGCATGTGTGCCATCTGGCAAAAATACATCATTGGTTACAGTACAGTATTCGTCTGCCTCCCAAGAACACATATGTGTTCTAATCAATCATTCTAGGCATTAATCAGTTATAATAGAAGGTTACATATGCATGATATAATTATATGAATACCTACTTAAAATGCGTACTTTTATATAGTGTTCGGTTGAGATTTCCGTTTTCATAAATATAGTACTCCGTACACTATGCGTAATACGGAGTAAAACGGCGTAAAATGGAGTACCAATATACGACAATCCTTTCAGGCCACGTTTTTTGAACCCAATCGACTGCATTGCCGTCCGCGTCTTTCCGTTCCCCACTCTCAGGCGTGGCCTGTTCAGCTTTGTCCCTCTACTTTAGCGTACTCTCCGGAGACTCTCTCAGATCCACTCGATCCAAAGATGCTGGCCACTCGATGCTGTTTGTCCTGGGGACGCGCTAGCTGTCCTCAAAATTAGCCCTTCCGACAGGGACTGAGCGCTGCTTGTCGAAACTGAAAGCCCAACGCTAGGGGGACCCATTCCGACCGGGCCTTTTTGCAGGCTGCGACGTTCCATCGTATTTTATTATTATTATTTACAATAAATAATATTGTGTACTTTTTCAGGTTTCAACTTTGCATTGGTGTAAATTTTAAATTTTTTAGTTTCTTTTTAGATTTCTAAGTTCTCGTGCCAATTCCAAGGTTTCTATTAGCCATAAAACCCCTCCTTTACCCACACGGGAGCGCGTCTATCAGCAAGGATGGAGACGGGTCGGGCACTAATAGGCGCAGCCCGCATGTCGTTACGGTCACGGGAACACCATATGCACCAATATAGTAATAGTAATAATGGGTACAAAAAATGATAGTGAGGCCAAGGTCTGTGCTGTGATCTGACGTGGCGAGGGTTTTTTTCTGCACTCAGCCGGAACGAGGCAGTGCTTCAAAGTCGGTGTACAACGAACTCGAACGTGCAGGTCGTGTGATGAGAGATGCCTGATGACTACCTGATCCTGGGAAAAGTATATGCAAGATCGGCAAGTCATTATTAGACGACCTTTTTGATCTTTCTTTGCTCTGTTATTCGTTCGCTTTTTGGCTTGAGGAAGTTTCTTATTTTTTTTATCTATGCGATTCGCGTAATAGTCGCATCTGATTGGTGCTTCCCACCATCTTGTCTATACCTCGTCAGTAACACAGGTGAGACCAAGATTGGGACCGCCATGTTGCACGCTAGACCTCCCCAACTCTATTCGGGCGCCATTCGGGAGACAAAGCGAGTGAATCTCACCTTGCTTTTTCTGGATGCTGCTTGCCAAGCGGTTTCTCGGGATCGTGCGTGGAGCTAGTGATTTTGACATATTTAATTAATGTGCGGCTTAACCGATTCTTTTTCTTTGCTTTTTCGAATACCTTTTGCTTCTTTGGGCTTGCTTTTGACTTTTCGCATTTGAAACTAGCTAGGTACTTCCAGTTGGATTGGATTGGATTGTGCGTTGTGTGATCTGCATACAAATGCAACTAGGGTATCTGCATCACCAACCTAACAACTGCAGGTGCCTCATGAAATTGACCGACTCTCTCAAGGTTTCAAAGGTCGATCCCCGCACGCCCAGCCGTCTACCTTGATCCCTGGGTTTGAGTTGATTGGCCGTTTCAGTTCAACAAACATTATGCCTGTCGATGCACCATAACTAGACAAACAAGACAAATTGACATGTGATTATTTCTACCCTAAACATTGAACATCAAACGTATACCTCATAGCTTGTCAGCGGTGAGCGAATATTCAATATGATTCGCGAATTCAGACTGGGATCCGGGAGGTATACCTAGGGAACATCGATGAATACGATTAGCATCGGTGCTCACGTAGATGGATTATAAACCTATGGTGGCCGCAAACCCCAAAATCGGAGCCCTAGATACCCCCTAGGAAGTCAAGATACCATTTTATATCTCGCAATATTTTGGTATGTTCTAGTCTCTGTATATCAAGTAACTTACCCAATACCACTATTTTTGAGCTTTGTGTCCCAATTATTCACAAATATCAACTTTTCTCTATGCGTACGATTTCATGTGTTCTCACATAAAATTCTAAATTATCAGCGAGGATCACTTTGCGTTTTGCAAGCAATAACATGACCGAGGTCCTTTGTGACCGATACTAGTGGGAATGTCAATATTGGTTTTGATACGTGAAGATCCATGGCAATATATGTGCTGGTACACAGAAATAGCAGAGTATCAAGTTCATACATGACCACTAAAACATGCTAGACTGATACCCGTGGACCCTGTCTAAAATCACTAAAAAAACAAATGGCGTTGACCGAGAACCAAAACTCCGCAATCCGTACCAAACACACGCAGGATGCACTACGAAGAAACAAAACAATACCATCCAGTCAAATAAATGGAGTCCATTCCAGAGAAGGAAGGTGCTCATCTCAAGCCCGAAATCTGGGACGGCGGAATAAAACTATCCGCCTCAATCCACATTGCCTGCAGGCCCATGTTTAGCCTAGCGGGCATGCCCGACAACGGGCCGAACGCGGGCGCTTGCGGTGGCGATATCATGCGCGTCAAGTGAATGTTTCATTTAATTTTGAAATTTCTGTGTTCTATTGTTTGCTTAACTATGTTATACATTCAGGGTTTGGCCTGGAAGTGGTAGATTGAAAAAAAAGGTTAAATTGCATATTGCACGCGAGGGGGCGTCGCAGCCATTGGGTGCTGGCATGGGTAGCAGGATTGTGTCGAAGTGTCTAGAACTGTATATGTGTCACGTTGAGGGGAAAGGCAGTGGTAATGTCTCAATTTGGAGCGTTGCCCGCGTAATGTAGTCCTATGCAGTGTTCAGCGTTGCGGTACTACAGCAACTAGAGGTGATATGACTGCAGAGAAAGTGTTAGGTACGTTATTTGGCCCCGCGCGAGTGTTAGGCATGCAAGTAGCAACCTAGGAAACGCGGCGGGGACTGACGAAAGAAGCCATGTGCAGGAGGCGTCAAGGTGGGGGATGGGATCCCGGTTTCAAGTCGAGGAGTAGCCAGAGACAAAAGACCCGAGCTAAGGCAGATATTGAATGAGAAAAATAAAATGGAGAAATTTGACAGGTAACAAATACGAACAACTTCATACCATCACTCTCATACCACAAACATTCTCAGAAGTAAAATGAGGTAAAACAGAACACAGATCGATCTCTCTTCCCCTCCCGTCCGAAGCCAAATAGGCGCGGGTGACTTTCCCCAATCATGTCCCGAGGTCACTGATCGGGCATCACTACACTGTTGAGATACGTCACCTGTTTGAGAAACGAGAAGCGGTCAGCAGTCAGCATTACAAGTACACACTCATAAAGGCTATTGTCTTAACATCCTTCCCATCCTGTCAAAGCGGGAAGAAAAAGAAAAGAAAAAAAAACAACGATAGTGACACCAGCGCTGATTTGGGTGGGTAAAAGGGACGGCTAGCACCGCCAAAGTGGCTAGCTCAGAAGGGAAAAACAGACTAGTTGAGAGGGGGGAAAAACCGGCGGGAAAGGGAAATCGGGAATCGATAGATTGGAAAAAGGGCTTACGAAAGGCTCCATGACCCCAACCAAAACAGCAATCTTCTCCTGGGCATCATCTCCAGTGAGTTCATCGTCTGAAATGGGCTTCCCAATAGTGAAACTGCGTAGTCGAAGTAATTTGATGTTCTTGTTGTCTGCCTCGTAGCCCTACATGGAAGGTGTGTCAGCGGTAAAGGAATCCCATGGATCAGACGTGGAGCCTGGCGCGATAGTGAACCATGGAACCAAACTCGACGGCGTGAGAACAAATCCCTTTCCAGCAAGTGCGATTCCCCCATTGAGATCAGCCAAATTGCCTTCCATGGTTGCTTTCGGGAAAATTGGCCTAAAAACACGGGTTGGCCTTTCCCGTAACCCCGTGCGCGTGTCTTCCACATCTCTTTCGTTTGATGGTTTGAAGCACATGAAGCACCTGGGACACCTGGGACACCTGGGACACTTGGGAACTCTTAGATTCTCTCAAATCGTCATATGCCAGGTTTATTTCATTTCTGGCCGGGTGAGGAGCCGTGGTCGCGCCCAGCAGCCCAACCAAGGCATCTCTTAGTCGACCAGAAAGATCGGATCTCCATGATCTCATTGGGCCATTGCCACCTAGGCATCAAGCCTTGAAAGACATGAAGATGGAAGTGAATTCCGTTTCCAAGATCAACCCCGGTCGGGCAATTGATGCAACCTCGATGACGACCTTGTGTCCCCTGCCTTCAAGACGTTCGCGTCCCAGCCCATAAATAATAAACAAACAGCTGACAATGCAACCGAAGCACAAGATGGTGACGGGAAGGGGTAAGGTCTGTCTCAATGGACAATATCCTCCACATTGGAGTGAGGGTGGGCAATAGACAACAGAAAAATTCATACCTTGGGCTTCGTCTTGAGAGCAGACTCCTTATTGTGATGTGTAAAAGCGTCCACAACCGCATCGTCATCGTCGGACGCCCCCTTCAGAAACTCACGACGCATCTCCGGCGCCCGGAGTACCTCCTTCAAGCCAGCCGAGTTCTCGTCGATATCCTCTCGCAGCAGTGCAAGTGGCTCTGACTCGGGGTTCCACAGTCCGCAGCCTATACACAGTGGTATTAGCCGCAATAAATGGGGATCACAAAATGAAAGGCAGGACAGCGATGGTGACGGAGGAAACCACCTGGAGACAACCTACCGACAAAACAAGAGCCTGGCTGGAAGTGGACATAGTATGCTGCATACGGACCCTTTTTACCAGTCCGAGACCTGCACTATGTTTAGTGGCGTGTCTCTTCCAAAAAGAGGCATCGAACGTTGACGCTTACCAGGCAGCAGAGAAATGCGTCTATACATTTTGAGTCAGCATAAGCACCGCTAACGAGCCCACAGTACCACACGCACATCCGCCACATACACACATGCGACAGGCACAGCAAAAAGGACCCAGAGGGGAGGATAACCTACCTTGTACGGAAGTGGATTCTTGCTGAAACGCACATCCCTGTGGATGCGGAATACCTGGGGCAAACGTTTGTGAGCGCCGGGAACAAATACAAGACAGGGATATTCGCAAGCCTACCAGGTCCTTCACAGGAAGTTCAGGGACGGTAGCGTCTACCTCTGCAATCTTCGGCGTGAGGGAATCGACGAATGTCTCGAAGTCCTTCTTTGCTGCGCGATAATCCGGATCATGCGCTATGCAAGTCAGCCAGCAACTTGATAACCGGGGTATATGTGCGCTTCTCACCCTTTAGCCATTGTCGGTCATTGTTACCAGCTAGATCGATCAAAAACAGTCTGGTATTGGGATGCAGTGTCTCATCTTGGTAAGGGGTCTTCCCCGCGTCTCGGGCCTTGGGCTTTGCAATGATAACTTCTTGCCCTGGCTCCAGGCCCGCTCTGACGCCTTCGCGCCAGAGCTCTTTGCCCTTGATAATGTCATTTCCGCTGCTGGTGCTCTGTCGTTGCTTCCCCTTCGCGCTGAGTTTCTTCGCGTCGTCGCCGGTGTCGGAGAGTTCTTCCGGCTCCGCTTCGTCGCCGGTGGATTCCTCCTTTGCTTCCTCATACACAGAGCCAGAAGATTCCCCCGCAGAGGCATCGGAGTCCGAGTCGGGCTCATCGGAGTCTTCCGGCTCGAAGTACTTGCTCTTGCTGGTCGTGGACTTTGCCTGTCGAAGGGACAGGTCAACGTTTGACTTGACCCGTTTGACCCCCGGTTCGGCGGCGGACAGTCTAGCTGAAGCGCGTCGCTTTGACGCCGTAGGCGCTTCAGGCGACGTAAGATCAGGCCGAGATGATTGTTTAGGCATACTTAGATAGATGAATTGAAAGAAAGTGATCGAACTTGGCGGACTCTGTTTCCTCTCCTTTCTAGACGTTGAGGAGTTAAAAAATTCTCAGATTCTGTATTCGAAAGTCAAGAAAGGCAGAAAATAAGCCAAATAGTTGTAAATGAAGATAAAAAAGTGATAAATTGAATTAAACCAAGACAGAGGGCCCGCATGCCTTAAAAACCGGCTGCTGTAATAAACGGCTCCGCTTTGAGTACTGACACCCTTACCTTGTTTTTCCGTTTCCCCCTCCTCAGATGTATCGTTTGTACTTTCAGAGACATCAATGTTACTTGTTGAAAAGTGATGTAAAAAATGTCACATTTCATATGAAAGAGCTCTCTTGTCCAAACAATGGGTATATACTCCGACCTCAGTGGTCGTTTTGGGCTGGGCACCAATAGTAGGATGGTCGTCTTTGCATGGTATATAGCGATGGCAAGGCGAAACAGACGAAGGCCATGCGCCCGGTCTGGCACGCTCCTATGATGAGCATCTAGGTTTATCTCGTCACTTTGAAGGAGCCTGTTACATCTTGCAACGGGAAGCGTTAGCCGTGCCTCGATGTCACTACCAACCCAATATAATTTTCCCGACAACTTAGCTGGTCCTGATCTAGGCCGTTGACTGAATGACAGTCATACTTCCTCTCATATAATCCCCTTTTTTTTCGGCCGTGTCTGCTTAGCCTCTTCAAGCGTATTGCAGCCTGCGCTCGGTTGGTCTCCACCAAGGATCGGTTATTCCCTGTCACGATAATGAGAACTCTGTTGGCAGGAGCTCCTTTCCAAAGCTTGGCCTCAAATTTATCATTTATGATTTGCCGGCAAGTGTTACTAGGTGAGTCGTCAGGACCGACCGTAATGAGAGGTCGGATTCTTGCGTGATAAATTCATAGCTCCAAGATCAAGATCAAGTGATAGAAGGTAGACCAGGAGTATGATACCTCGGAAGAAGACGATGATATGCTCAAAGAGGCAGCGAGTAGAAAGTAAAACCCAGTGAAGGACTAGTCAACTTCAGCAGTCTCCCAGAAACAAAGAAGACTGAAAGAATACCCTGATCAACCTTGCATTAGTGTTTTGCTACTTAATTTTGACCAGCCTTACATTGGTGTCGTTCTATATGCATGTTGCCGCATAGCCTACATAGCCTACAAACAAGCAAAGACAACACCTGCCTAAAGCAAGTCTACTAGAAGCAAAAAGAACAAGAACGCAAGAAGTAAAAGCAAACGCAAGAATTAAAGACAGACGCAAGCTAGCTAGTCAACTAACTAAGAAGTGACATGAGAGCTAGAAATAAATGAAACTCAAATGAGTTTCTTTCACAGCGAGATCTCGCAAACCGGCCAAGCACGTCCCGAAGGCAGCAGCCGTGGATGGTTGATTTCGCTGGAAGTAAAAGTAAAACAAATAACAAAAAAAGCAAATGGCGCAAGCGCCGGGGAGACAAGGGTTTGTTGAATAAAAGTGGTGGATGTCTCCATGCATCCACGCAGAGAATACCGGCAAAGGGACAAAAACAGGAAGAAAAAAACCAGAGAGAAGTTCAAAACCATTACCGTGCTGATAGACCAGCACTCCTAAAGCAAGAAGTACTGGTCCAGAGTACCCACCACGTCCGGTCACTTCTTTGCGGATCGGGTACTGCGGCCAGCAGCTCGGAGCTCATCAAAGGCCCGGCGATCGGTGTTCGACAGACGGGTGGCGTCGGAGCGAGAGCGGTGGCTAGCGGGAGCAATCGAAGGAACCGGTCCGAAAGGGTCGGAGGAAGAACGAACGTTCTGTGCAGTCGGGTGCGGAGCACGGTACATAGGCCGCATCTCAGCGTGGCTCTGAGTTGAGCCAGTCGCAGGTGCCTCCTGGGTCTGAGGCATACGCCAGCTGACAGACTGATTGCGAGACTTGGTTTGATCGGCAGGTCGTTGATGCGGCGGACGGTAGGGAGGGGCCGATGCACGAGGCCGGTGGGTAGGGGTGTCCGGCAGATATTGGTCAGCATCAAGTCGCTGAGAGCTAGCACGGGGGATACCAGGGACATTCCAGTCGTTACCATGCTCACGGAGGCTGCTAGTCGTGTTGCTGGTGACCGAAACCGTTGAGCTTTCCTGGGAGGCAGGGCTGGGGTTCACCGAGGCACTGTGGGACACCGAGATGGTGCGCTGGCTGTCAACTGAAGTGATACTGTAGGTTGGAGACGAGCCAGGAGCAGTGCCAATGGTTGAGATGCTAGATTTCCGTCTGTGGAGCTGCTGGAATCCAGTGATTATGAACTTTCGAAGAACACTGGCTTCGTAGATTATTGCGTCCTTGAAGACCTTGTTACGGGCAACGCCGTCATCCCACTCAAACCAGAATCTTCCGAAAATTCGCTCGATCTCAGGGTGAGTATGCTTGTTGAGTAGACCATCATTCTCGGTGCGCAGAACAGAACCGTGAGACATGACGTAGGAATAAAACTATAACAATTAGAGAATGGATTAGCAATCCTTCGAAAGAAGGCAACATCACAGCCATGTTTCGTACCTGAATGGCCGCAGAACTTTGTCCAGGAACATATGTCATAGTATCGAACGGGAAGTAAAGGCACCAGTCATGGTCCAGCGACTCAATGCCTCTCTGGTCCTTTGACCACCAAGCAAAACAATACTTCATGCGAGGATTAAAAGCAGGGCAACTGATTCCCGCATGAACCAGCTCACTGAGAAGACGGATATCCAATCCCACTGTGTTTGACTTTTGCATACGTTCCACCAGAGTCCTGATCAAGGTACCAAGAGTCTTGAAAAGGGCATTACGATGATGCACAGTGTAAAGATGGGTTGCGTGCCATGGGAACTATATCATAAGACAAAGAATGTAAGTACGACACGGAAGAGTAAGCGGAGATGCTAGGAGAACAGTTGACTTACCTTCCAGATAGTGGTGATGAACGATTCATAGCAACGCTGAGGAACCTTGCTAGCAAACGCACTCTACAATGTGTCAGAGGATCAGTAACATGAAACTGAAGGGTAGAAAGAGAATTCAGACGTACACGATGAGGTTGTTCTGCATGACGAGTGAGGCAAAACAATTCCTCGTCAGTGAGGAAGCCATCAAACCCAGTGGACCAGCTATCTTTGTTGACAAGCTGAACAGGTTCTCCATTCTCCCATGAAATGCACTTTGCCCGGGGAAAGACAGCCTTGAGCAGCTTGGCCGGGGTGCTCATCTCTATGTCGACATGGCGGTTGCCCATACGTGGGGTGCTGCCAGCATCATAGGCATGACTGATCCGATTGACAGTGTCTTCAGCATCCTTATTAGTTGGAAACTCAACATAACAATCCATTGTCTTTCCAGTGGACCGTTCCATAATGATGTGAATCGGACATCCTTGAGAGGATGGGAGCAGGTTAGCACTGCGTCCAAGGAATGAGGCCACCTCCTGGCGAGTCACAGTGTACGGGATCTGAGTATCATAATTATTAGCAACAAAATATTAAACAAAGCAGCAGTCATCAAAAAGAATATGGCAAAAAGAAAACTCACGTTAGAGATCACCAGAACGCCCTTGCGAGAAGGTGGGCGCGTCTCGGCAATACTACCAAATGGAGTGGAAGCCTGCTGAAGGAGATCCTCGATTGAGTAGCTTTCAAAACGGTCGAATGCCCCATAGTCGGGGAGCCCATCCAGGTCAAATGGCCAACCCATGTTGGTGGTGTTAGACGGAAGAGAATCGGGTTCGGAGGAGCTTGCTGTAGTAAGACTGTTATCAGAAGGGTTCAAACGGTGCCAATGGTGATGGTACAGTTGGTTGACCGGTCATGACAAAGAGGAGCAAGATGATGCTTACCAGGGGAGGGGGAGAGCTGACGAGCAAAGTCGACAGGATTGTGGTAGACTTGGGGTACAGTCTCAAAAGGATACTGGTAGAATTGGGACTGAAAGCCGAGGGGAGGATAAGTCTGGGGTACAAACTCAAAGGATTCGGAAGAGTGTCCAGGTGCCAACTTAGGATGTTTTGCAGGACGGATGGTGGAAGAGGAAGATGAACTTTGGTGATGGGAAGAGATAAAAGAAGATGGGGCTAAAGGAAGGGGAGAATGAATTGGGAAGGTAGACACCGGAGCAGATTCTGGAGCGGAAGCCTGAGCAGGATACTGGGCGCCTAAAGTAGAATCAGAGGATGGATTGTTCAGAGAAGCACAACCAGAGGGGATTGGGGAGGGCGAGTTTTTGCAGCTGTTAGAGTCGGTCACAGTGTGTGGCTCTGGATGTGCCTCCTCTTTGGGAGACAGTATGTCATGATCAGCTACCAGATGACTTATAATGGCAGGCCATTCATCAAGTTTGGGCATATGCCCAGCTTTTTCAGTCATGTTAGGGCTTGGATATGAGACGAAATAGTTAGTGCGTGGAAACAAAATATTTTCGAGGAAAGGTGCGTTTCGATAGTAGTAGGCTATTTATATGCGTGGAAATAGCCTCGACGCGCGTTTTTGAGTCCGTCGTTTTAGGAAGGTACTTGGATGTGTCAAAGAAGTGCTGTATTTGCAGAACCCCTCTACTAACCCGTCAAGTTTCGATCTCGCTTTTCTCAATAAATTTATATAGAATGGCATTTTTTTAATATTTTTAATTTGAAATCAGTGACTTGAAGTACTACACATGTCGATCTCTTCAATACTATCAATTGTGGTGATATTTAGAAATTCATTGAACATCGAAGCTAGGAATGTCTCTATATCCTGTCCGAGTCAGCGGAAGGTACGTATTTATAACGACGCACTCATCTATGCTATAATGATTTGTTTCCACGCACTTTAGCCGCATCAACCAAAATTCCACGCCCTCCTCGTAAATATTTCCATTCTACACACCTTCGATACAAATAAGCATTCTTTTACCACGCACTTATATGCCCCACCCTTCTATTCCACACGCACTTTTCCCATACAATATTTATTATCTGCGCACGATTTACTCCTAATCCGACATATGCCTTTTACATCGTACAAATAGTAATCTTCCCAACTTCCTATTTCAGTTTGGGCAGATATTATTCACTTCATGCTCAAATAATAAATCATTGCCATTGTAAATAGACTTTTGTTGGCTTAAAATTTGTCCTGTCGATGGTGGCTATTTAGCCTGATGGATTGCTCTTGAGCCATAGGTTGTTGAAGATATGTATTGTACTACGGTGGAAATACCGTTGCCCTCTGTCTAGTTTCTTCTTCTTTCTCCTTTAATTGCTGGATAGCGCTATGAGGTGATTTCTGTGCAATGAAGAGGAACCAGGCCATACGAGGGCAGCAGGTCAGCATGGGCCCTACGCTAGTGGAAAGGCTCTACCTTGCCACTAAAAATTGAATTGAACATGGATAGAAAATATCGATCGACAGACATCAGGATAAGGTTATCTCTCTTAATCAATGCAAGCCTATGCTATCTGTACAGGAGTTGAAAGTGGGAAACACAGGGCCATTCATTATTCGGAATCAACAAGAAAACGCTAGGCAACTTAATCGAACTGAATGATCGTCAGCAATTGAGTCAATGGTAGACAGCTCAATGAAAACATACCGGTGTCAGGAAAGACTCGGCAACAAATCGAGCACGGGCATTCAACTAGTGAGTTGTTAGTGACCTATGACGAAAACGACGCATCCGCACACATACGAAGAGCTTCATCTCCGAAATCTCCTTGTCCACCTCTTCCATGAATTCGATCACGAAGTCAATTAGCTTGTGAGTAAGCATTTTTTCCGTGTGGAAGTTCGTAATGAGGAAACTGATATCGTATCCCTCAACTGGCTTCCGGCGCAAAATGAAGAACGATTCCGCTCGCTGGGTGAGGAACCGAGTGAATTTGTGCACAAGAATGTGCTCGATCTCATCTGCCTGCTTGATTCTGATACTTATGCGTACAGAATTGTAGCTTGGCTCAATTTTGACCTTCTCATTTTCATTCCTGCTGATGTGTAGCCTGAAAAACCATCAATACGCTTGTCCAATACGACCTTGGGAAGAATGATGATCAGACGTACGGGTTCAGTAGGATCTCAGGCGAAGAATTTGCCTCGACTTCTGGGCAGTTACTGGTGGAAGAGAGTATATTAGCATCTTTCATGTCTAAAGTTTGCACCATATGCAACTTACTGCCGCTCGGAGGTCTGAGAAGCGAAGTTGGAGATCGTAAGAGCCGCGGTCAGAGAGGACCGAACACTAGTAGATTGTGAGCAAGTTTGCCGCTGAATATTTATTATAAATCAAAACTCACGCCTGGAGGTAGGGCCGGAGGGATTGACTCTGATAATCAATTAGTATAGAACGAGCTGGCTGATTGGAGCTGTACCCACCATGATGAGGGGTGTTTGTCGAGGCCACGAGGGTGCAATCGCCACGGAGAATAATGCAGTTGGGAGTTAGCTGGGGAGAAATTGGAGTTAACCCGTTGTGAGAACCCTTCGTCCCAAAGCAGTGAACGAGAAAGGCAGTTCTCTAGATAACAGGTTGTCCTAGGCAGAAGAGGAGTTGACGTCGGGGTGGGCGGTGATGATAGTGGTTGGGCGGTGAGAGGCCCCCACGCTTCCTCGTCCCAGGCTGTTTACCGTTTGCCCCAGCAATTCCAAGCTCTTTCAAGCTCTTTATCCTTCTCACATCATCCATCCCTAAAACTTATTGAACATGGCAGCTATACCAAGTATGTGTGGATATATTGGCAGTTACTAGGCCACTGCTAACAGATACACAGTTATTGTCAAACACGCCGGCAAGCGCCACGAACTCGAGCTCGATCCTACGTCGAACGGCGAAACACTCAAGTACCAACTCTTTTCCTTGACTGGTGTGGAACCCGACCGCCAAAAGGTCTTGGTCAAAGGTGGCCAGCTTAAAGATGATACACCTCTTTCGTCACTTAATGCCAAGCCCGGGCAGATGTTCATGATGATGGGCACCCCGTCGGGAGGTCAAGGTTCCGCTGACCTTGGTCGGCCAAAGGAGACCGTCAAATTCCTGGAAGATATGACCGAGGCCGAGGTGGCACGACAGGAGGGTGCTACTCCTGCTGGTTTGCAGAACCTGGGGAACACATGCTACCTCAACTCTTCCCTACAAACCTTGCGGAGTGTCCCGGAGCTTCAGGAGGAGCTCCTGCGATATCGGCCAAGTGGAGGAGCTGGTCAATCGAATTTGTCAGACCTCAGCAGCTTTGGTATTGGTGGCCTTGGAGGTTCTCGGGATTTGGCCGCTTCTCTGCGAGATCTGTTCAAGCAAATGTCCGAGACCCAGGAGGGCATTCCCCCACTGATGTTCCTCAATGCTCTCCGAACTGTCTTCCCTCAATTCGCTCAACGTGATCGAAATGGACAAGGATACTCCCAACAGGATGCCGAAGAGGCTTTCTCCCAGATCTTGAACCAGTTGCGGACTAAGTTGACCATCACCGAGGGCGAGGGTGAGTCTGCCACTACCACCTCATTTGTAGATAAATATCTTGCGGGCCAGTTCGAATCTGTCACTGAGTGTGAGGATCCCGCCGCTAAGGAACTCGGCGAGCAACCGAGTCAGAGTTCTGATGTTTTCTACAAACTTGATTGTCATATCGGAAAGGAAACGAACCACCTACAAGATGGAATTCTGGCCGGCCTCGAAGAGGAAATCGAGAAAAACTCTCCTCTTCTGGATCGCAATTCTGTGTACAAAAAGCGTTCTCGCATCGCCCGACTGCCCAAGTACCTCACAGTCCATTTTGTCCGATTTTACTGGAAGCGTGAGACGCAAAAGAAGGCCAAGATCATGCGCAAAGTGACATTCCCTGCCGAGTTGGATGTTGTGGAGTTCTGTACCGAGGACCTCCGAAAGCAGCTCGTCCCTATTCGTGACAAGGTTCGCGAGATCCGCAAAGAGGAGCTGGAAGTTGAACGTTCTCAGAAGCGTCAAAGAATTGCCGAAGAGCGTGCAGAGCGACAGCTGAAAGAGACCAACCTGGGCAAAAGCGTGGAGCCAATGCAGAAGAAGAAGGCCACGGAGGAGAACAAGTCTAAAGTGAACGACAAGGACGGCGACAGCCAGATGGAGGAAACTTTCAAAACAGATGCCGAGTACGAAGCAGAAAAAGCGGAATCTATCCGCGTTGCTAAGAAAGAGCTCCAAGAACTCATCAACCAACGGGGTGCTGGGGACAGCGGGACCAATCAGTCTGGTCTGTATGAGCTTCGTGCCGTGATTACCCACCAGGGTGCTAGCGCCGACAGCGGTCACTACACGGCATATGTCAAGAAACAGGAGCGGGATGAGCCTCAGACAGGCAGCAAGCGCCGCGAGGCAGACAACAAGTGGTGGTGGTTCAACGACGACACGGTGACTGAGGTGGAGGCACAGAAGATCGAGACCCTTTCGGGTGGCGGTAAGTGAACTGCACTCTACAATCCAAGAGCCATTGCTAATGATATATCTAGGCGAGTCACACTCTGCTCTCATTTGCCTCTACCGCGCGATTGAGCTGCCCAAATCCGAGTAAATGGGTTTGCCTTAGCATCTGTTCACATGAGAAAGAAATCTGCAAATGTTGCCTCTAGATGAATAGAAACGATGAACATGAATGATGCTTGTCTCCGCCGCCTTAACTGTTACGAATTGATTGTCTTATGCCTTGCAATGATCTACATTCTGTAGTCCCCATGAATATTTAGATTTCTTCCAATGACAACTTTGTATGTCAATGACTAATAGCGATATACACGTGACCTCATTGAGCCTCGGCGCAAATTGTCCAAAGCTCCGAATCCAATCAACATTCTAATTCTAGAGGAATGGCAATGTGACCACCATGATACATTATCGCAGCATCCTCCAGTCGGCCTCTCGCCAGTCTTCCATCCAGACACGAAGCTTTTGGCGACCAGCGATCCGAAACGTCAGTACCGCAGCACAACCAAATGCCTCACGAGAACCGTCGCGTTGGACGCGCCGCCTGATCTATGCCGGCATCTTTGGGACACTTGGCGTCGGCGCAGGGAAATGGCTGGACAACAAAATCGCAGTGCCACCGGTTCCTGGGACTTTAGAAGACCAATTGGAGCTTCAGGAAATCCAGCGGGTGTTCGACATTGGACTCCCCATTGTTCAGGAGCTGCGTAGTAACCCCGATTACGTGGAGAAGCACGTCTACGAAAACTTTACGGATGAGCACAAGACGCACCGACTGACATCAGGCCCTTTGGCTGGCAGTAGGGGCTTGGGATTACAGGTTGGTCTCTCACTTTCTCATTGGGGTCCGAGGCATGTTTATTCTACATGAATGCCGGAAATTTTGACTGCCGAACCTCGGGATTCCATTTTCTCTAACTGTTCTTGTATTTAACAGAAAGTT